TGGTGCTTAGTCCACCAGACTTTTTCTTAGGAGATTTGTGGAAAACTTCAGAGGCAATGTAGCATGTACAAAAATGGTGACGACTTCAGAAGGGGGCAGACCTGGGTTTGATTGGCCTGGTCATTAAGCCGTATGATCGTGGGATGTTAATTGAGCCCTCCAAATCCCCCCTCTGCATCTGAACATTTTTTGATGTAAAAGCACTAGTGTTAGCGAGTTCTTTTTTTTTTAATTATCATAGTTCCTTATTTTTTATTATTTATTTTTTATTTTTGGCTGTGTTGGATCTTTGTTGCTGCACTTGGGCTTTCTCTAGTTGCGGTGAGTGGGGGCTGCTCTTCGTTGCGGTGCGCGGGCTTCTCATCGCGGTGGCTTCTCTTGTTGCGGAGCACGGGCTCTAGGCGCGCGGGCTTCAGTAGTTGTGGCTCGCGGGCTTCAGAGCGCAGGCTCAGTAGTTGTGCACAGGCTTAGTTGCTCTACGGCATGTGGGATCTTCCTGGACCAGACCTCGAACCCGTGTCCCCTGCATTGGCAGGCAGATTCTTAACCACTGCGCCACCAGGGAAGCCCCTAGTTCTTTATCCTTCTCTAGGCAGAGCTGTGTCCAGTATGCTTCAGAAACAGACTACTGTTCTCTGTTGAAAATTATCTGAGAAAAAAAAAAAATCTTACTACACTCCCTTCCCCCATTACTTTTGTCTATATCTCTCTACTGGTTTTCATAGTTACTTAGTTATTATAATCACACAAAGACTGAGAAACAGTAAACTAGGACTCATGTAAATTTCTTGTAAGGTGGTTGAATTTTGCTATTCACAGGTGTAAAACATAAACCGGAATTTTCAGAAGGAGATATTGGGGCCTTGATGTAAAACTAACTTTACATTTCAAGTACTTCCTTTTTCTTGGTGTTTGGTATCCTACTGATAACACGATCTCACCTGGTCCGCAACCCTGTGTAATTTATTTAAATAATTACTTGATGACCACTCCCGATTTTTATACCCTATGTTCAGGTCTTACCTGTCAATAATAAATCCCTCATTATTGTTTCTTCTCTTCTTTTTTTTATAAATTTAATTTATTTTATTTATTTATTTTTGGCTGCACTGGATCTTCGTTGCTGCGTGTGGGCTTTCTCTAGTTGTGGCGAGTGGGGGCTACTCTTCATTGCAGTGCGTGGGCTTCTCATTGCGGTGGCTTCTCTTGTTGTGGAGCACGGGTTCTAGGCGCGCGGGCTTCAGTAGTTGTGGCACGTGGGCTCAGTAGTTGTGGCTCGTGGGCTCCAGAGCGCAGGCTCAGTAGTTGTTGCACATGGGCTTAGTTGCTCCGCGGCATGTGGGATCTTCCCGGACCAGGGATTGAACCCGTGTCCCCTGCATTGGCAGGCGGATTCTTAACCACTGCACCACCAGGGAAGTCCCTGTTTCTTCTCTTCTTAATCCTAATAACAAGTATTTAATAATTTCTGACTTTTTAAAACCTACTGTTCATTTAAAATCTGATTTCCATTCCACCACTCTCTAGAAAATTATTCTCACAAAAAGCACTCTTATTTGTAGGAAAATTCAGAAAGCCTTTCTTAGTTTTCGTCCTCCTTGTCCTGTAGCATTTGATACTGGTGATCATCTCTTCCTTGATTACACTTTCTTGGTTTGTTGCCTACCTCTTTCACTGCCTTTTCCCCTACCCCCCCCCCCCTCCTTTGTTGATTGCTTTCCCATCTCCTGCCTTCTAGTTTTGGTTATTCCTTCAGGCTCAGTCCTTAGCCCTCCGCTCTTCTTTTTTGCCCTAACACTGAAAGCCCAACATTTCCCATGTCTTTGGCTAGCACCTCTATGCATATGACTTCTAAACTTAAGTTCTCATCTGCCCCAGATTAAATTCTGGTATTTTCAGCTGCTTCAAGAACATTTCCATTTGTAGCTCCTTTGCTGTTGTTTTAAATTCAACATACTTCAGATTGAACTTGTCAAATCAAACTTCCTTTCCAACTCTTATGACCTGCTAATTTCTTGAGTGGTGCGCTGTGGTTGAACCCTTGGACCCACATGAGGGAGGGGTCTTGAAATCTTAGAGCCACTGGTGTGTTGGAGTCAACTGTCATGGGCTCGTGAGAGCCAAATATTAAACTTTCAGGAATTTTGTGAGCTATATTTGCTAAGCACAGCCATTATTAAAAATTAAATTATGTAAACTTACAATTAAATAAATTGTATTTAAAATAAAGGTAATAAATATTCAAAGCTCATCACTTCAGTTACTTTACTATGTTATTACCATCTGTGCTCTTGAGGTCAGTTATGTCTGTTGTATCTCTCTGATGGAAATTCTATATATTGGTGTGCTACTGTACATTTCTTCCCAACATTGCTTTTAGTGATATTATATTAATAGCTTGAAATTGGTCATTTCAATAGAGTATTTACACCATGAAAATCAACAAGTGATACAAGTCTGGGGTAAATGTATTGTTTCATTCATTGTCTAAACTTAAGAAAGTGAGGGAGAAAATGTTAGTATTGCAGATTAAACTAAAATATGTGTCATATTGTCAGTAGCACAAAAAAATTGAAGAAATATTCTTTAAATATTTGAAACCTATATTTAATTTTTAAATATTTGAAACCTATTATTCAATTTATCATGAACCATTTTCTCCAGTTGGGTTATCTACCTGTCAACTTCTTATTCCTTCGCACACATGTACAAACATGCATGTCTTGCATGTTTCCACCCCTATACCTAGCCTTATGTGGTTTTCCCCTGCTCTTTCTTTCTATCAAACATTTTCTAATCCTTCAAGTCCTTTCTTTTCTAGGAAGTTTACTAAGATGTTTCCACCCTTTATCTTTTCTGATTTGCAATCTGTTTTGAATGCTAGAATATTATAGTTGGAAAGGACTTTAGTTCAATCTTCGACGTGAATGTAGAAATTCCAATATCCTAGTCTCTGCTTGAAAAACTCCAGTGACTAGAAATCCACTATTCTGAGAGTAAACCCTTCCTCTCATTGTCTAGAAAATTAATTATGTTGAAAAGAATCTTCTTCCTTGTAATTTCCAATTGTCTTCTGATTCTGTGTTTGAGCATATCAGTGAAGTTGTCCCTAGACTTGGAAGGCATCAGTCACTTTAGGCACTTCCCACAGCTGCGTGACCATAACTTCTCAGAGCCTTAGCTTCCTCAGTTTCTGTTATAGAATGGGAGTAATAAGTAAACTTCACAGGGCAGTTGTTTGGATTAAGTAAATAAAATGAGATTATGTCTGATTACAAAGCATTGTAGTAATGGCAAAGACTAATATCAGAAAGACCAGGGCTTCCCTGGTGGTTGGGAGTCTGCATGCCGACACAGGGGACACGGGTTCGTGCCCCGGTCCGGGAAGATCCCACATGCCGCGGAGCGGCTGGGCCCGTGAGCCATGGCCGCTGAGCCTGCGCGTCTGGAGCCTGTGCTCCGCAATGAGAGAGGCCACAACAGCGAGAGGCCCGCGTACTGCAAAAAAAAAAAAAAAAAAAAGAAAAAGAAAGACCAAACTGAGGCCCGTCTTTCCACTTGTGACCTTAGGCAAGTTACTTAACCTCTTTGTGTCTCATTTCCTCATGTGTAAAACAGGAATAATAATACCTACCTTATGGATATGAGGGATAGATGAGATAACATCTAAAGCATTAGCACAATGTTTGACATTACCCACACATTTTTCTAAAGTGATATCTATTTGTTTTTGCATAGTTTCAGTTATAAAATTAGAATTGTTTTTTCCCAAAAGAAAAGTATTTCTCAAGTTCACTATTAGAAGTATTTGGTAAGGGGCTTCCTTGGTGGCGCAGTGGTTAAGAATCCGCCTGCCAATGCAGAGGACACGGGTTCAAGCCCTGGTCCAGGAAGATCCCACATGCCATGGAGCAACTAAGCCCATGTGCCACAACTACTGAGCCTGCGCTCTGGAGCCCACGATCCACAACTGCTGAAGCCCATGTGCCACAACTACTGAAGCCCTCGTGCTTAGAGCCCATGCTCTGCAACAAGAGAAGCCACCGCAGTGAGAAACCCATGCACCGCAACAAAGAGTAGCCCCCACTCTCCGCAACTGGAGAAAGCCCGCACGGAGCAACGAAGACCCAACTCAGCCAAAAATAAATTAAAAAAAAAAAGTATTTGGTAAGAAAGGGGTTAAATTAAGGTACACCGTATGGAATACTGGGTATCTAGCATTTTAGTTTCCTTCGTAGCACTCTGGAAGGCTTTTCTGACTCTGACTGGTCTCATCTGTCCATCATTGGCCGTCATTTCACATTTTGGTCCATAATAATTCCTGAGATGTTTCAGGATGATTAAGACTCCCCATCCCTAGTCCAGACTTTCTGGAGTATTTTTCATGGTTGGCTGGAGTATGTAATGGATCTGGCTTCAATTTACTTATTAATTATAAATTTACTTATTTATTTTATATTTATTTTTGGCCGCGTTGCGTGTTTGTTGCTGCACGCGGGCTTTCTCTAATTGTGGTGAGTGGGGGCTACTGTTCGTTGCCGTGCGTGGGCTTCTCATTGCGGTGGCTTCTCTTGTTGCGGAGCGTGGGCTGTAGGCGCGCGGGCTTCAGTAGTTGTGGCTCACAGGCTCAGTACTTGTGGCTTGCGGGCTCTAGAGCACAGGCTCAGTAGTTGTGGCGCACGGGCTTAGTTGCTCCGCGGCATGTGCGATCTTCCTGGACCAGAGCTCGAACCCGTGTCTCCTGCATTGGCAGGCGGATTCTTAACCACTGTGCCACCAGGGAAGTCCCTGGCCTCAATTAAAAGAAAAACACACATACACTTCTGTTAAGTGTTACCATTTCATATGTATTATACTCCAACCTGAAAATTCCTGAGTTTTTTGTTGTTTCCAGTTTCAAATTCTTTAATTTGTGTTTACCTAGGACCAGAGATTCTTGTGTAGATAATAAAATAATTCAAGATAGAATAAAAATCAGTCTGTTTCACTCTCATGCACAGGTCCGGAAGCACATCAATGATCTTTATGAAGATCTGCGGGATGGCCATAACCTGATCTCTCTGCTGGAGGTCCTCTCAGGCATCAAACTGGTGAGCTTGTCTCTTCTCCTAATCAGTTGACCTCACAGGTGTGGCCCTATTAATGACATATGGGTCCACCTTGTTGAGTGCTAGGGCAGTGACTGTCACTGTGTCCTCTGTTACATGGGAGGAAAAAGTAGAAGAGGTAATTGGTGGACTTTATAACTCAGACTTAACACTTTATAAATGCTGTAATTTCATCTTAATTTAACCTGATGTATCATATATTCTCATTTCTTGATGGAATCAAGTATCAGTTCTGTTCCTTTCATATTTGCATGTTTTCTCCTTACTTGTTCTTTATCTATTTATAGATGCTAGTGTTTCAGGAATAGCAGATTTACATTTAAAGGTTTTTGAATAAGGTGTATTTTTCTTCCTACAGCTTTATTTCTAGTCTATATAGACTCCTCCTATTTTTGCTTCTACCTATGAATTGTTCTATTTCTATATTCAACAAAGACCTGAAATTTACATTTAAAAGCCCAGGTATTTAGAGTCATTTTTTTCCAAATCACCTCACTTTCTCCCTTCTGGGATTCACTGTCTTTCACAGGGTCGGAGAAGTGCTGAAGTTGCTGTCTGAGCATAGCCCCAGACGGAGTACATCTGGGCTCCTTGGATAATTAAACATGCCTGCTTCCTCCCCAGATGTATTAAATGTGGCTTGTGGAAACACTTACCTGTCTGAGGGCAAAGGCTGTCTGAACCTCTTGGCTCATGAGTTCTTATCTTCACTTTGTTTGAGGGATCAGCTTAACCTCTCTGTGGGCTCATTGTTTCCTATATGGGAGCCTAATGGAAGCCTGTGATCCTATGCAGCTCCTGCTCTAACTCGAGCGTTGTAGACAACATACTTTTCATTTAGAAAAGGCCAGGGCTGAATACTGGAAACACCTGTGAGGGAGGAGCGCTCTGGAGAGGCACACCGCTCGAGGAGCTGGTGGAGCCAGCGTGCTCACCGCCTTTGGTGAATTCTTAGTCATTGTTGGTTGTGTTTCAAGAGCAGGATTTGGCACATTAGATTTCACTCCCTAAGTAATAGCTTCTTCCACGGTTGGAGCTTGCCTTCCCCTGGGGCCTTTGTTTTGGTTTCACTTTTTTTTTGGTCTTACAGTAGAATTAATTTTATAATGTTTAGTGGCCTAAAATTGACAGATGCTTTTATTAACATAGCCAGTACATATGATTTCTAGTTCTTCTCTGGCCCTCATTTATAAATCTCCTAAGTAATCAGAATTTTACTTTCACTGTGCTGGACTTAACAGTGCTCACAAAGTTATATTTTGGGCAGTTTGGTTGGTATATTTGATGAGCTTGTAGTGATTTTATATTGAAAAGTGATTCTTTTCAGTGATTTTGCTTAAAAAACAGGTTAAAACGACTCCAATCTGATTTCTTTGAAATTTCTTTGAAAACCTACAGGTGTTTATGGAGATAGTCGTAAAATATCATCTTTTCACCAAAAACCACCCAAATATGTCTTTCATGGTTATTCTCATCCTCCTCTCTGCCTTACTTGATTCACAGAAGTAGGGAGGGTGGGTGGCCGTGGAGAATTAAAGCTGTGTTTCAACAAAAGAAGTGTTCAGTATAACCATCTGCTCTGGTCTTAATTTGGTTTTTGCATCTTTCTGGAGGTGGGAGGGTATTTTCATATTTATTTTCACCTTTTTTTTTCCTGCATTCATTTCCTTTTCGTTCATGTGTTGTGAATTTCCTGTTACTCTGTCATGTCTTTCTCTTGGTTGGTGGCCAAAGGAGCCAGCGGGGCTGAAGACCCTCCGTCTGGTGAGCATGCCCTCCTGGCGCCATACAGACAGCAAGGAGCAGGAGGAAGATGATGATGATGATGATGTAGTAGGTCCTCCTGGGGCCACCAGCATCCCAGCCGGCACTGCAGGGCCATCAGAGAGTTTGGGGTTCTCTAGGTCTCCAAGTAGCTCAGTTACCAGTTGCCTTCTTCCCTGTCCGCCTGGGAATTTGGGTCCCAAAGAAAGTGGTTAAAACTAATTGTGCCTCTTGCCACTGTTAGATGATCCTGGAGTGGGAGTTGTTTTGCTTATCTGAGAGTAGCTGGCACGAAAAGCATGAGGGTGTTTGGTGGCATCAAGTCCCTTTGTGACCTGGAGACCCGTGGCTTTCTGGTGGCCTTGCTATGTTGTCTGAGTCGAGATCACAGAATCATGGAAAGCTTAGTTGACAGCACGACAGTTATTGCTTATGACTCCACACTCCAGACTAACGGGGACTGTCCATCTCTCTGGCCTCCAGGTTCTCACCACACACCATGTCATTTGTTTTCAGAAGAGCCTGGTGTTTGCAAACCACTTACTGCATGGTGATACGCTGCTTGGTCAATAACATCTTTGCTGTAGAGGACAGTATTTAACCTGCATGTTCTTAAGCGTATTTTTGGTGGGGAGTACTTAGGAGTAAAGATTAGAGTGTGTAAGAAGGCCATTTTCTGCTTGCAGGCTCTAAGCTATAGCCTGTGATCTTTCTCCAGAAAGAGGAGGCAATATCCCCATTCCCTGGCCTCTTAAAGTCATCTTTTCACCTCATTGATCTCCCTTCCCATTGCCTTAGAGTCTTCAGTTTCACAGGCTCTGTCATCTTCTAAGCTATAGTCACAATTAGTTTAGCTGAAATGACTGAGAAGAGGTTCTCACTAAGAAGATTTTTCCTAAAACTTTGACTTATGAAGTTATCCTGTTTCACAGAGAGGCCTCATCCTCTCTGTCGATTACTCTGGTTTGGAAGTTTTGCTTAGAAGGGTTAGGGGACCCCCACAGGGATGCTTCCACCCCATCTTTCCATGTGGTGGGTTACTTTTTGCCCATTTCAACCTGGGGCAGTGTTTCTTCTGTGCAGGTGCCCACAACAGAGCTACCTTGTATTTTATTGGCCTTTAATTAGTACCAATTTGACATTTACAAATGAATTGGGTATGATCTAGTGAGAGTAATGTTTTAGTCCCAATTGTAGTAAAATAAAAACAACATTGGAAAGTGAGCAGGAGAGAATGTTCCAGAGGTAGGTAGCAGTCCCTGTACCCACTGGGGAAACACTTCCTGCACTTCTGGATAGATAGGAGTTGAGCAGTGGACGAGGCAGTGGGGCCTGGGTGATGGTGGGCCTCTCCCCCGTGGCTGTTATGACATCCAGGACTGAGTGACTGGCAGGAAATACCTTTCTTTGGAGGACTGTGTTGAACAGCCCTACGTCATCAAGGTCTTTTTTCCTCTGGGTATTTCATACTGGGGTAAAGGGTGGCTTTGCTACACCAACACCCATCTTCCTAGAAAATAGGTTTCTTCCTGATTCCTGCCTTCCATTCTAGGTTTTTTCACTTGCTTGTTGAGCATGTGTACCTCCTCATTCCCTAGTATAAAATTGGCTACCTCTAGTTTCTCTTGCCAGGTTTGTAATACAGTTGGCTATGTCCATTACTGTGCAGTATGCAATTAGGACTTGCTACCGTTCCTTACAATAGCATTTAACTGCGATTCTGGGAGCCATAGAGGCAAGTCTTTGTTCCCATTAACGTCACATCCAGAATCAAGTTCTGCCACGTACGACTGCAGAAGAACCTGTAGAGGAGCTGCGGCACTACCTAAGCGTTTGCATTCACACGGGCTGTGTGTTCACGGGGATCCTAGTGGTAAACAAGGCCTTCTGGGGCCTCAGCAAGCATGGTGAAAACACACACAGGTCCTGCCCTGGGGGGTGCTTTATGGGATGCTCCCACGCCTGGCTTCAGTCATGAGGAATTCTTTGTGGTCTTTTAGTCCTTGAAATGAAAGAGGAAAGTGGTCTGCACGGGTAAATTGGTGTAGCTGAAATTAACATCCCTTTTGTTTGTTTGTTTGCAGCCCCGGGAGAAGGGCAGGATGCGTTTTCACAGGCTGCAGAATGTGCAGATTGCCCTGGACTTCCTAAAGCAGCGACAGGTAAGAGTGTCCCGTGTGTTCCCCATTCTGCCAGGGAATGTTGGCATCGGGTCCCTAGATGTTCTCAGTGCCCCTGGTATGTCCTCAGTAAATCCGACCGATGCAGTTCTGAGTCGTGCTTGCTGGTGAGCAGCTGTGTTGTGTTTGAACAAATCATTTGGTGGTCCTTACATAGAGTGTGTGGCCTGTCTGAGGAGGGGAGAGTCTTAGAGAAGAGCGAGATATGAAAGATTGCCTCACCTCGGGTGGAGGTCAAAGGGAAGATGAAAAATAAATCAGCTCAGAAGATGGGAAAAGGTACATCGTCTAGGAAGAGGGAAAACCAGAGTGCTCCATCATCATGAGAACTGGGTGAGGGGATGGTCGGGATGGCTGAATGGCACATGGAGCTGAGGCGAAGGTCTCAGCTGTGCAGCATTGCTGACTTAAGAGAACAGCCTCAGTAGAGCAGAAAAGTGTTTAGGACATAGTAAAGAAGCTTTTCCCTCTTTACTAAATAAGGAAGGAAGGATAAAGAAGGAAGATGGCAACATATTTTTAGACATAGGGGGAGAAGCCAACGAAGAGAGGAGAACAGAATGAGAGCAAGGAGGAGTACGAGTCAGAGCCTGTTACCCCGGAAGGTGCCTTGGAGATCCTCTAGTCCAGCCTTTTTGTTTCATACGGAAGGAAACTGAGAAATGACCTGCCCCAAATCACACAAGGTAGAGCAAAGCTGGGACTTCCACTGAGGTCTCCTGACACTTGTTTAACGCTCCTTCCGTGCTGCTTTCTACACACGTTTCCTCCTCCCATTGCTTCCTAATTGATGGAACCAAGCCCAGGGATAGAGGGATGAGATACAGAGCACAGCTGACGTGGTTTCTTTGAAAAAGAAAGGAAAAAAATGCCTCTTCTGTGATACAGGGAGGAGGAAGGAAGGAGGGATAAAGACAAAGAGAAAGTTTGTGGAGAGGAGGAAGGTGGATGGATGAGGGAGTCAGAGATCATCTGCCTAGAGGGCTGTTTGGAGAGACTTGGTATAGCTGCAGTCGCCAGGCAACAGCACTGGTCACGATGACATTAGATGGTACACATATTTTTGGAGTTAGTTCATTTCTGTCACACTTATCGGTAATTCTCATTAACTTGGGAAATTCTTTTTCTGTGTACTCCTGTAGCAGTTTGCTTCTAATATAATACTTATTACTTTATTGTTATTTCTCTGTTTGCTGTAATGCATTGTAGGCCCGTGAGGACAGGGAACGTGATCTTACTTAACATTTTTATCTTCATCACCTGTCATCATGAATGGTCCATAATCAGCACTTAATAAATATTTGTTGAATAAATTGATAAATGAAAAGAGGTAGGAGAATTGGAGGCTGACGTGTTTAGGGGACCAGAGAGAGCAGCGTTGGAATGTCTGTATGTAGAGTTACAGGAAACCAGAGAGGGCCTTAATGGGCAAAAGGTGAATTGAGAAGAACTGATTAGCTAGAAATATAAATAAGGATGGAGAGGAGATTGGTTACTTGGCTACAGTAAAAATGTGAGCGATTAACAGTGGACACAGAGAAGGGCAGAGAGAGCTCTAGAGCAGTTCTTGCTTATGGTGAGGTTGTAGCTGTGCAGGTGTCCAAAGCAGAGTGAAAATGAAAGTCATCAGAAGTGGGAAGGCAGACAAGTTGTACAGATGGGTGATACTTGGGTCATAGAGATGAGTGTGACAGTTATCAAGAAGGGTGGTAGAAGATGAGGTAGGAAAGGTAGGAGTTAGGTGTGAAGTCCCCGAGGAACAGATTGGCAGAGGTTGGAAGGCGGCTTGGCCAAGGAAGGTAGACTTCAGAAAACAAGGGGAAAGCTGACAGAGTTGGGACTGAGGAACGTGGACTTGGCTGATACTGCCAGCCTGCCAGCTGTGGGCTGCTTGTGATTAGAAAACCTGCACTCAGACCAGAAGCAGGTTGTGCCACTCCCAATATACAGAAGAGGAAACTGAGATGCAGAAAAGGGAACGAATTTGCCCAGGTGTCTTGGTCATTCAGGTTGCTGTAACACAGCATCACAGCCCTGGTGGCTTATAAACAACAGAAATTTATTTCTCACAGTTCTGAACGCTGGGAAGTCCAAGATCGAGGCAGATTTGGTATCTGGTGAGGTCCTGGTTCAGAGATGGCTTTTAGCTGTGACCTCACATGATGGAAAGGTCGAGGGAGCTTTCTGGGTCTCTCTCTCTTTTTTTTTTTTTTGCAGTACGCAGGCCTCTCACTGTTGTGGCCTCTCCAGTTGCGGAGCACAGGCTCCGGATGTGCAGGCTCAGTGGCCATGGCTCACGGGCCCAGCCGCTCCGCGGCATGTGGGATCTTCCAGGACCGGGGCACGAACCCGTGTCCCCTGCATCGGCAGGCGGACTCTCAACCACTGCGCCACCAGGGAAGCCCTCTGGGTCTCTCTTATAAAGATACTAATTCCATTCCCTCAAGGCCTAATCACCCCCAGAAGGTCCCACCTCCATATACCTTCAGATTGGGTGTTAGGATTTAACATATGAATTTTGGAGGAACACAAGCATTCAGTCTACAGCACCGGTCATCATAGTGTAAGGGAGAAGTGAGGCTTCTGTTTGAGGTCACTAGGTTCTTTAGTACATGAAGATTTCAGTTCAATTGAAGAGATAAAGGGAGGGCAGCTTCAGGATGGTTTGCCACAGTTGTCAGGACCTCCATGAGGGTACAACAGACACTCGCAGGGGTGGAGGTGGAACTGGAAGTAGGCTGGTTTTCCTAGGACACTCTTGGTTTCGGGACTGAAAGGCCCACGTCCCAGGAAACCCCTCAGTTTCCAGCACCCAGGGATGGTTGGTCACCCTGGTGGGGGACGGGCCTGTGTGTCTGTGCACATCGTGTTGCTGGAATGAGATTTTAGGAGTAAAGCATATGCTATGGGAGGTGTGGGTAGGTGGGGATGTCTGCGACAAAGGAGGGGAAATAGATGGGAGCAGGCCAGAGACCAGTAAGGGACAAGGGGCAGATCTCTCTCTCTCAGCCTTGAAGAAATAAGAAAGAAAAAGAAAAAAGTCAGGGCTGTGGTGACTTAATTAAAGAGCAACTCATAATAGCATGTGCTTGCAAGGTTGCTTTGCTGGTGGGATTGCAAAATGGTACAGTCACGCTGGAAGATACTGGTTGGCCAAAAAGTGCGTTCGCTTTTAAAGTAAAAATCAGGCACATTTTTCGTTTTCGCCGAGAACTTTATTGAACAAATATATTCGCCCTTTTGTTCCACTGCTTTCTGCCATTTTTCAGGCAACTTCGTAATTCCATTTTCCCAAAACTTTTTATCTTTTTGAGCAAAGAACTGTTCCAGGTGCCTTTTACAGTCTTCCAGGGAATTTAAATTTTTTCCATTAAGAGAATTTTGTAAATACCTAAATAAATGGAAATCTGAAGGTGCACTGTCTGGTGAGTACAGTGGGTGAACCAGAACTTCGCAGCCAAGCTGTAACAGTTTTTGCCGGTCATCAAAGAAACTTATGGTCTTGGCGTTATCCTGATGGAAAATTATGAGTTTTCTGTTGACTAATTCTGAATGCTTTTTATCGAGTGCTGCTTTCACTTGGTCTAATTGAGAGCAGTACTTGTTGGAATTAACGGTTTGGTTTTCCAAAAGGAGCTCATAATAGAGGACTCCCTTCCAATCCCACCATGTACACAACATCACCTTCTTTGGCTGAAGACCGGCCTTTGGTGTGGTTGGTGGTGGTTCATTTCACTTGCCCCACGGTCTCTTCCATTCCACGTTCTCGTACAGTATCCACTTTTCATCGCCCGTCACAATTTGTTTTAAAAATGGAACTTTTCATTACATTTAAGTAGAGAATCGCATGTGGAAATATGATCAAGAAGGTTTATTTCGCTTAACTTATATGGAGCCCAAACATCAAAGCGATGAACATAACCAAGCTGGTGCAGATGATTTTCAGCGCTTGATTTGGATATTTTGAGTATGTCAGCTATCTCCCGTGTGGTATAACGTTGATTGTTCTCAACTAATGTCTCTATGTGATCGCTATCAACTTCAACTGGTATACCTGACCGTGGAGCATCGTCCAGCGAGAAATCTCCAGCACAGAACTTCACAAACCACTTTTGACATGTTCGATCAGTCACAGCACCTTCTCCATACACTGCACAAATTTGTTTTTGCGTTTCAGTTGCATTTTTACCTTTCTTGAAATAATAAAGCATAATTTGCCAAAATGTTGCTGTTTTTCTTCAACATTAAAATGGTTACACAGAAATTCACCAATTTTGATGTCTTTTTTTAAACGCACACTGATATGACAGCTGTCACATACAATCTAACAAAATTGTTTTGAATGAAGTTAAAGACAACTAAGTGCTACTAGAGCCATCTGACGGAAAAAAACGAACAAACCTTTTGGCCAACCCAACAGTTGGGCAGTTTCTTATAAAGCTAAACATACACCATATGACCCAGCAATCCCACTTCTAGGAATTTACCCTAGAGAAATGAAAACATGTGCTCGCACAAAAAACTGTACATGAATATAGGAGCTTTATTCATAATTGTCCCAAACCGGAAACAACGCAAATGTCCTTCAATAGATGAGTGGATAATTACAGTGTAGTGTATCGGTATAGTGGAATACTCCTCCACAACGAAAAGGAGCAAACTGTTGTTACATGCAGCAAGTTGGATGGGGATCTCATGAACATTATGCTGAGTGAAAAAAAGCTATTATCAAAAGATTACATACTGTGTGATTCCATTTATATGACGTTCTGGAAAAAGCAAAATTGGGAACAGATCAGTGGTTGCCAGGATTTAGGGCTGCGGGCAGAGTTTGACTACAAAGGGGCAGCTTGAGATCACCTTTTCGGGTTGACGTACCTGTTCTGTTATCCTGATTTTGGTGGTAGTTACACAAATCTGTACATGTGTGAAAACTCAGAACCAATTTAACTGCAAAAAAACCAATTTAACTGCGTATAAATAATGAAAATCTATAAAAATGAAATCAAAACAAAAAAGTCACAGAGCTCTGAGACCAGCTTTTGTTTCTTTTTCAGGTGAAACTAGTGAATATTCGCAACGATGACATCACAGATGGCAACCCCAAGCTGACCCTGGGCCTGATCTGGACCATTATTTTGCACTTCCAGGTAGGGTCTATGAAGTTTGTGGTCCTGGTTGCTTGGTTTGGACATGGCCTAGAAAGAGTTAGAGGTTGCTCTGCCTTCCAAGGGCACACTGAGGCTTGCTTCTCCATATTTGGCAGTGAATGAGAGTGAGAGTGGGAGTTGGAAAGGAAGATTAGGGTGGCCTGGAGGCAAAGCTCTTGCAGTGTAAACCCAGAACTTCCACATCATTTGCATGATGAAATGGGATTTTTCACTTGTTTGTGCTTTGGCCCTTTCATTGGCAGTCTGGTTATTAAAAGTCTGCTCAGCTGAGTCAAAACTGTCTCTTCAGGGACTCAGAATGTGAGGGGTGGGGAGAGATGTTGGATTTGATGCTCTAGAAGGGTGGAGCAAAGCCTTATAATCCTTCTTTGTTGTAGACTTTTCCTCATCTCTAATGATCTTAAACAAGCCTAGTTAATTGTAGCACTGTCTTAGTTATTTCGGGCTGTTATAATGAAACACCATAGGCTGGGTGGCTTAAACAACAAACATTCATTTCTCGCAGTTCTGGAGGCTGGAAGTCTAAGATCAGAGTGCTAGCATGGTTGGCTCCTTGGTGAGGGCCCTTTTCCTAGTTACGCCCTTGCATGGCCTTTCCTTGGGGCATGCATGCAGAGAAAGAGATCTTGTGTTCCTTCATCTTTTTATAAGGACATCAATCCCATTATGAGGGCTCCACTCTCATGACCTCATCTAAACCTAATTACCTGCCAAAGGCCCCACCTCCAGATACCATCATATGAGGGTTAAGGCTTCAATATATGAATTTCGAGGGGACACAAACATTCAGTTCATAGCAAGCACCTTGGTCTCTGGGTTTGTATATGTGTTTATAATCACAACCTTGTAGCATCCATCACACCCAAGAACAGTGGCATGTTGGTAGTGTTCACACGGTCACACAGCCTTCCTGTTGGCCCCCCCTAAGAAGATAAATCCTTTTCAAGTCTGGATTGCTATTGGAAAATCACAGCCCTATTTTTATAAGTAGACTATCTTGAATCACGTTAGCTCAACTAAACAAAACTATTTCTCAGACAGTTCTCCTATACCCAACAGCTGTACACAAGGCTGATCGATTACAGGGAGGACTTCTTTTTTTTTTTTTTTTAATTTATTTATTTTTGGCTGCGTTAGGTCTTCGTTGCTGCGTGCAGGCTTTCTCTAGTTGTGGCGAGCGGGGCTACTCTTGCTACTCTTGGTTGTGGTGTGTGGGCTTCTCATTGCGGTGGCTTCTCTTGTGGAGCACGGGCTCTAGGCATGGACTTCAGTAGTTGTGGCGTGTGGGTGTGGCAGACTCAGTAGTTGTGGCATGGGCTTTTAGTTGCTCTGTGGCATGTAGGATCTTCCCAGACCAGGGCTCGAACCCGTGTCCCCTGCATTGGCGGGCAGATTCTTTACCACTGCGCCACCAGGAAAGTCCCCGGGGAGCATTTCTTGAGCAGGTGGGAAAAGAAGGCTAATACAAATATCTCAAGGCGGTGACTCCCAGGGCTGTGGCTGCTGTGATGTCCCAGTTGGGGAGTCAGCGCCACCTGCTGGGTGAAGGCAGAACAGCAGGTGTCCCAGAATTCCTGAGAATCTGGGAAATTCTGAGAGCTCAAGGTTTATTTCTTGGCGCTCTGGTTTGGAACCAGTGCTGGCAATCTGCAGCATAAGTAGGCTTAGGAAAGTGTGGATGTGACGTGTGTTTTTGTGGAACCACAGGGTGTCCTCAGGCATGCTTCGGATATAGGGATAACCACGAACATGAACTTGGCAGTGTGCCTTGGCAGGGTGGGAACAAGAACTTTGCTGAGCTTTCACAGAGTTGCCCTCTCGGCACCCTTATGAACAGAGGGGTTTTTTAGAGAAACTTTGTTGGTTGTTTGTATTTCACCACAGACCTGCCTTCACTTTGAGAGACCAATGTTATTCCTCATAGGTATGAAGTAAGAGGAAGCTGTCCACTGGGTCTTTGTTTCTCCTGACTGCAACTAAATTCAACAAACAAGGGAAATTCAGGGGTCAAGGAATGAAAATTGAACTGGCTAATTAAAATTTTCCTGGGATGGAGGAGATGGCGGTAATGTTCCTTAACTGAACACTGCATCAGGAAAATGTTCTCTCTTTAAAAATTTGTTACGAAAAATTTCAAACATATATAAAAGCAGAGAAAATAGTATAGAACCACCATGTACCCATCACCTAGCCCTACAGTTGCTAACTCATGGCCAGTGTTATTTTGTCTATATCCTGATCCACTCCTCAAACCCCCAGGCGGTTATTTTGAAAGGAGTCCCAGACATCATATAATTTCATCTGTAAATATTTCAGTGTGTATCTATTAAAGACTCTTCATTTAAGCAAACCACAGTGTTATAACACTGTAAAAATCAGTAATTTCTTAAAATCATTGAATATCTGAGCACTGTTCAGATTTCCCCAGTTATCTCATTTAAAAGATGGCTTGTTTGAATCAGAATCCAGAGTCCACACATGTGTTAAATTTTCCCCTCCTCTTTTTCTCTCCTTTTGGTTTGTTGAATAAATCAGGTCTTTTGTTCTATGCAATTTATGTAAAGATGCTGGTGGCATCTGTGGGATGTTTTCTAACAGCATCCTCCATCCCTCTCTTGTATTGCCTGTAAACTGGTGTTTTAGACCTGAGGCTGGATCATACTTAGTTTCCCTTTTTTGTGGGGCGGGGGGGGGGGGGGGCAAGGAGGGTGGGGTTGGGGTGTATACTTTTTTTTTTTTTTTTTTTTTTTTGTTGTATTTTTTTTTTTTTTTTTTTTTGTCTGTGTTGGATCTTCATTGCTGCGCTTGGGCTTTCTCTAGTTGCAGCGAGCGGGGGCTACTCTTCGTTGCGGTGTGTGGGCTTCTTATTGCCGTGGCTTCTCTTGTTGTGGAGCATGGGCTCTAGGCGCATGGGCTTCAGTAGTTGCAGTAAGCGGGCTCAGTAGTTGTGGCTCACAGGCTCTAGAGCTCAGGCTCAGTAGTTGTGGCGCACAGGCTTAGTTGCTCTGTGGCATGTGGGATCTTCCCGGACCAGGGATTGAACCTGTGTCCCCTGCATTGGCAGGCGGATTCTAAACCATTGCACCACCAGGGAAGTCCCGAGTTGTATACTTTTATTGCTACACATCAGAAGGCACATAATGTCTGTTGTCCATCTGTTCGTGATGTTAAGCTTGATTAGTGAGTTCAGGTGTTACCAGCCTGATCCATCCATTGTAGATCCGCTCACTGTTAGCTCTTCACCTAAAACTTTAGCAGCTACTGTTTGTCATTGCTAGTTCCATTATTTCATTAGAAGTTGCAAAATGGTGATACTCAAAATTCTATAATTCTTTTGTAAAGTAGAATTTTACTTTATCCATTACCCTGAGAGATAGCTCCTATAGGAAAGGCAAGATACAATGATAAATGCTTTCTTCTTTCCCTCTGTTTTACCAGTTTTCAGAATAATTAGTTGATCCTCTAAGTTTCTCTAAAGACCAATGAAAGTTTCTTTGTTGATATTTATTTTCCTTTATATCAGTGTGACTCATGGATTTTTAACAGACTTAAATGTGTTCTAATCAAATACAGCTGTCATTTTTCTTAATACTCAGCTCCGTCTTTGGCCAGTGACCTTTTTCAAGTTGACTCTGAGTCCTTTGTCATGATCCCCATAGTCTTGATAATGTGCTTTATTTCTTGTGTGAAGAGCTGTTCCAGATATTTTTTGTATATTTCCTGTTTCAGGCCTGGGATTAGCAATTTCTCCAAGGAACTGAAAATTCTTTGTTGACAACAATCTGAGTGCTACCGGGTTGGTCACTGTCTCTAGGCGTTTTCTGTGGACAGAGCTAGCTAACACTTGTATTTTTCTCTTTTAAAAAAATCAAGAATTTATAATGATGTTTCTAATTCAGACTTAGAATTACAGAGTTTTATTCAACTTCTTTGACTTTATGTTTGTATCCTTTTTTTTTCTTATGCTGAAAATCTTGATGCTACTTTTTCCCTTTTTCATACACACACAAGCACACGGATGCACGCATACATAAAATCATATATATGTTATGGCATGTATAGAAAGTCATATAAATTATATGTAATATATTTGAATCAAAATAACAATGACTGTTATTATTAACAACACGATTACTGAAAAATTTGTGATTTCTTTGCAGTTCTTTTTGTCCTTAGTGTTTATCTCCTAAGGACGTACAAATAATCTTGTTTTATAGTCATTTGAAGTAACTTCTCTCTGTGTTGTTAAGCCATTAATTCAATACATAATTAAGTTCATTTGTTTTTATATTCCTTCAGTTTTTAGGGATTGTTTTTTCCCTTTCAATTTTATTTTATATTTTATAGACCATATACATTGTTCCAAAGGGAAATTTTAAAAAGTGAACACAAGGTGTGTTCAGTGAAGTCTAGCTTTCATCTCTGCACCCTCCATCCTGTTTCTTCCCTTTCCATATAGTTAGCTAATTGTTTTAAAACATTTTTTGGTTATCATTCTGTTGTTTGTTTAAGAAAATACATTCTTTTTTAAAAACAACTTTATTGAGGTATAATTTATGTACCATAAAATTGACGCATTTTCATTGTGTAATTCAGTGATTTTTATGAGTTGTATAACCATCACCATAATCCAATTTTAGAACATTTTCATCATCCGACTAAGGTCCTTCTTGTCTATTTATAGTCATTCTCCATTCCCATCCCCAGCCTTAGGCAACCACTAATATGTTTTTTGTTTCTACAAATTTGCCTCTTCCAGACATTTCATTTAAATGGAATCTTACAATATGTGCTCTTTTGTGTCTAGCTTCTTTCACTTAACATAATATTCTTGAGGTTCATCTATGTTGTAGCATGTATGAGTACTTAATTCCTTTATTGCTGAGGAGTATTCTGTTGTATGGATATATCATATATTTTGTTTATTCAGCAGTTGATGGACATTTGGGTTGTTTTCATTTTTTGGCTATTATAAATAACGTTGATTTGAATATTTGTGTGGATGTATGTTTTCATTTTTTCATTTCTCTTGGCTATATACCTATGGGTGGAATTGCTGGGTTATAGGGTAGGTTTATATACAACTTTTCAAGAAACTGCCAAACTGTCTTCCAAAGTGGCTGAACCATTTTATATTCCCACCAGCTCAATTGTGAGAGTTCCTGTTTCTCCATATCCTTGTAATTGTCTGTCTTTTAGATTATAGCCATCATAGTGGGTGTGAAATGGTATCTCCTTGTGGTTTTAGTTTGCAGGAGAATGTATTCTTTTTTTTTTTTTAAGGATTTTATTTATTTATTTTTTGGTTGTGTTGGGTCTTCGTTGCTGCGCACGGGTTTTCTCTAGTTGCCGCGAGTGGGGGCTACTCTTTGTTGCCCTGTGTGGGCTTCTCATTGTGGTGGCTTCTTGTTGCGGAGCGCGGGCTCTAGGTGCGCAGGCTTCAGTAGTTGCGGCATGCAGGCTCAGTAGTTGTGGCTTGCGGGCTCTAGAGCGCAGGCTCAGTAGTTGTGGTGCACGGGCTTAGTTGCTCCATGGCATGTGGGATCTTCCTGGAGCAGGGCTCGAACCCGAGTCCCCTGCATTGGCAAGCGGATTCTTAACCACTGTGCCACCAGGGAAGTCCCGATTTTAGTTTTTAATTATGAAATTGTTAATTACCCAGAGAAGTACAGAAAAGTGTATAACAGATCTTCATGTGTGTAGTCACCTTCAAAATTAAACAGATGTTAATATTTTATATTTGCTTTTATATATGCTTTTGTTTTTATTTTCCAGTATACCTTTCGTTTTTTCAGTCACTCTGAGAAGGCCAGTATGACTTACAGTGTTGTGTGACACATACTGCTTTGTAACGTGGTTATTTGTTTCACTCAATAAGTACTTGTTAAATGAATGGATATTGTATGAAATTGGTCTCCTCGAAGCTGTGGGGTAGGAAGACCAGATAAATAGACTGTGGTGTCTGTTTTCCTGTGCCCATTGTTCAGATGAGCAAACTGAAACACGGAGACCAACTGACTTTTTTAGGTTATACATCCAGATACTAATAATAGGATTTCTTATCTCTTGGTTTTGTCCAGGCCTGTTTTAAGGTACATGTTAGGATTTATGATTTTTCTAGAAGATAAGTTCTTTAAAAATCAGAATCTGACAAAATTAGCTTTCCAACTTTCACATGTTTATTAAATACTAGTGTATGTATAGCACTCTGAAAGTTAAGAAGTCTGGGAGTTTAGGTCAAGAGTGGTCTCTGTTGGGTTTACATTTGTGTGTACTTTATGACACTTAGTGCTTGGCATGTAGATGAGGCATCATTCATGCTTGCGGAGTGAATGAATGAGCTTTTTTGTTCTGGAGTCTTTTATGCCCGCTATCTCTATGGGAGACCTGTGGGCAGTAAACAGTTAACTAGAAAAAGCCAAAGGATAAAACATGAAAAATATGTGGGCACTAGAAATCTGCTCTCCCAGAAGGCAGCTGGCCATGTGTTGAGAGTTCAGGCTAGATGAGAAGAAGGTCCAGGGGAAAGTCCTTGTGATCAGAGTTAACTTACTCAGTAAACTAGGGGAAGCAGCGCCCCTATGGAGAAAAACAAGCACCTAAACTTTGGACGTTAGAACATAGCTACTACTTTCCTTAGAGCCTAATCAAGGAAAAGAGTATATTAGGACCCTGGTGGTGGTGGAGTGCCTCATACCTCTTAGCTCCAGTAGTAAATGAGGAGAAAAGGGACTTAACATAGACCAGGCAGGGAGCTGAGCACTTTCAAGACACCATCCCATGAACCCTCTCTACAACCCCATCAAGTAAGGGGTAGCATCCATGTTTTAGAGGTAAGGAGACTGAATCACTTAGCAAGGTAGTTACTTAGCTACTGAGTTAACAGAACTGGGAATTTGAACCTAGGTCTACCTTGCTGAACTCTCTGCTCGTTTCCTAGACCAGTTTTCCTCTGGAGCAGAAGGAAATGAAAGCCTGATTTGCCCAACATATGCAGAAGTTTAAGAAAGAAAAGGCTCCTAGAAGTCAGAGAAAACTGCAGCAGCAGCAGTCATATCCAGAGGCTGTCTCTCTTGTCCCTGAGTTGATCGTTTTCAGGAATTCCGTTTGCTTGTATTTCATGAGCAAAATTCAAGCTTGAGCCTTGGGGTGTACATCTGAGAAGTTCCACAGTTCCAGCGCTCTTTGTTGAAGGAGTAGAGGCCTGGTACCTGCCTGGAGAATTATATTGTAACATCAGATTTTTTGCCGATTAAGTGATTTTTCTGGAGTCTGACTGAGTTTCTCTCTCACGCTAACCTCCTTGTCTTGTTCCTTGCTATGGTTTACAATGGCCATCAGATGGTGCTACAGCTTCACAGTCAGCCTTTGTAAAGGCTTAGGGGAGAAAGGACACCTCCTGCAATGGTGAGGCAGATGGGGCATCAGTAGGGTCTCAGAAGTGCTGTGGAAGAGCTGTTGCTTAAGGGTTCTTATTGCTTTCCTTTGGTGGTGGGCATTTTTCAGGTCTCCAGGAGAGGTGGGTAGGCTTACGTAGAGCCAGGCCGACTTTTTCTCTCTGCAGTGTGGTCTGGATCCTTTCGGTATAGAATAAATAGATTTGACCAGGAGGAAACACGCATAAGCTCTGTCCTTCCACTCCATTTGGAGCCCTTTGGATTGTGCTGTTATCTCACCTGTCACACGCTATGCTAAAAAGCTGTGGTGGGCAAAGCCCACTGGCACAACAGGGTGGTTATTGAATCCAACGTTTTAGACTTTTATTCTTTTAAAGATGAGCTTTAAAGTAATTCCTGTAATTATTTTTAAAAATATTTATTTAATTTATTTGGTTGCACGAGGTCTTAGTTGTGGCTCGCGGGCTCCTTAGTTGTGGCATGAGAACTCTTAGTTGCGGCATGCATATAGGATCTAATTCCCTGACCAGGGATCAAACCCGGGCCCCCTGCATTGGGAGCACAGAGTCTTATCCACTGCACCACCAGGGAGGTCCCACTAACTTTTTAGACCTTTAATTCAGACTTCCTGCCCTGCTGCAATTTGAGTAAAAAGCATCTGGGCCTCATTTTAGTGACTTCCTGTTACTCCCAAAGAGCAAGAGTTATCTTTTTGTTTCAGCCCTTGGTCCATGTGAGTCTAGTTGCCAATTCAAAACAGTGGAGTATCTTCCTGTTTTACTTAATTGAGTACAGACTTCCATCCCTGCTGCAGGTAGAAGGCAGTGTAACAAGGGTTTGAAGTTCAAAGTCTTAAACAGGGGTTCATGTTCTGGCTTTGCCACTTTGTGTAGTCTTGAGCAAAGGAATCCACTTTCTTGAACCTCAGTTTCTTTATCTGTAAAGTGTAAAATAATAGTTTTGACTTCATTTGGTTACTGTGGGAATTAAATGAGACAGTCTATAGCTTAGCATGGGGCGTGGCACATGACAAATGCTAAAAACATGTTAGCTGTCAGTAGCAGCAGTAATTACTGTTGGACATTCGTGTCAAGTATTGTTCAGCAGAAACGCTGCTTCTCTGTTGTATACGGAAGTGGTATCCTTTTTACTGAGCATCCATATACTGTACTCAAAGCCGATTTCCGGATTTTTCCTCCGTGTGTCATTGGCCAGCAGAATTAACAGATGTCTCTCTCTCTATTTCTCTCTCAAAAGTAGGGAAATAAATGCTACAGGAGACTAGATCTTTAAAGCTTGTGTTCCTTTTTGTAACTATGAGGATTACAATGCTCTGGTCTCTCTTCTGGTTATAATTTTATTGTTTCTGACCTGAAAAAATCGGGAGTATGTTAATCCTGCTTGATATTTTCTTTTGGACATCTTGGTGCAGCAATTGAAATCTGTTTCACTTCACAGTTTGGGGGCCATAGTCCCCGGCCCTGGTTCCTCTTGGCCCTTCCCTTCCTGGTTGGTACCAGCCGCTGGCTTGCTTTTCCCCTCTTTCTCCTCCTCCTTCCTTCACGTTACCTTCTCCCAGGGCCTCTTTTCTTTCCCCCTCCCTTTTCCATTTACTCTTACATTCCCTCCCTCCTTCCTGCCCTCCCTAATTCCTCCCCTCCCCTGGTTTCTAGCTCCTTTTTGCTTTCTGTTTGTGTTTCTGAAGGCAGTGCTCCAATTACCTCATATTTGGAGAGAGGAAGCTGTAGCCAATCCGGTTTCTGTCTGCTTTTAGGTCAAGTGATTTCTGAACTGCAGTGAGATGCTTTGAATTTGTCTTGTTGCAGCTCTGAGCCTGTAAGATGGCTGTCTGAATCGGCAGCGGCTGGAAGAGACAGAGAGAGGCGGGGAGGGAGGAAGAATTGGAGGGATCGCCGGCATAGTGCATGTTTTTAAATGTGCATCTAATCCGATGAAGCCAAGGTTGGGATTTCTCTGGGATCCCAGGACTGGCTTAGCTGCGTTTTTGCTGAGATTAGGAGAGGAAAGCAATGGGAAATTCGCTGGGCTGCGTTAAGGAGCCGAAAGATTCAATAGCTGTTCCTGAGAAGACTCCCATATCTCCTAAGAAAAGGGTTCGGCTCAAAAGGAAGTGGAGGGGGAAGAAAACCTCTACTCCAGAGGTCCCTCGCGAGGAAGAACCCTTGCAAGGAACTGGAGTCATCGAAGAGACGGAAACCCTGACGAAGTTAACAGTGAGTCTCCAACAGGAGGAAGGAGTGGGAGGGGTAGAGCCACCCCCCACAGACATTTTACTGCCTGGGGACTCGGCCCCCGACTCAGGGGTGGGAGATCAGGGGATGATCGTGCAGGTGAAGGAGAGATTCCAGGGGGAGATCCAGACTGCTCAGCTTTTGTTAGAGAATGAGTCATCAGTTGCCAGAGGGGTCTGGGATTCCCTGGAAGAGGGGATGACTGTCATCGCTCACCTGCTCGATAACCCCGCAGAAAGGAGCTGTGAGAAGTCAGTGAGCCAACTGGTGGAATTTCCGAGGACAGCATCCTGCAGCAGCAGGGCTGTGCTGCTGCCTTTGCACGGAGGGACTGCAGTGGGGAAAGGAGATACTCAGCTTGGATTGGGGAGCAGCACTTTCCCCAGGACAGACTGCCCCACCGACACAAGAAATCAAGACCATCTTTCCAACGGATGGAGTGTAGGGGGAGGAACCAAGGGTATTTTGAGTGCCCCTCAGACAGGTGCCTGGATTGTGGAACGTTCTCCTTCGTCACTACCGGCCCAGTCGAGAGGCCAGAGCTGCACAGAGCCTGCCCACGTGGGTCGAGTGCCCCCCCAGGTTCCCAGACTGCCTGCTTCTCAGAGTGATTTATCCATCAGTGGCCTGACTGAGAGCATCTTGCCCTCCTCCTCTGGCTATGGCAGCGATGGGCTGCACTTACGAGGGGTCCAGCCTAAAGATACAGAGCCTGAAAAGAGCTCCACGTCCTTCTCAGAAGAGGACGGCACCCTTTCTTTGGAGGCAAGCCCCACCCCCTTAGGGGGTCTGGAGGAGGTAGGTGGGCATGTTCAAGGGGTAGTCACACAGCGGTTTGTATTACTGGCCTCAAACTTATGAAAGTGGAATGTGGCGAGCAGTGAGGAGCTTGGTGCTGCTCCTCAAACTTTACCTGTTAGTCAAGTACTAGTAGTTAGCGACTGCTGCGCTTGGCAAGCGAAATCTATTTCAGGTCTGCCCCTTGATGCTTGAACCTATCTTGTTGTCTCTGGGGGATCCCTGACTCTGGGTAACCATGCTATATAATTGCTGGAGCTATCTGGTGGGGTTCTCTCTCCAGGTGCAGTGCTAGGTAATACTTAACTCTCAGGAGGTCTGTTTATCAGCGTCCCTGCTGTAGGAGGTTGTGGTATGGCACGGAGGTGATGGGGAGGCCTAGCTGATTCCAAGATGAGTGTGGAAGGGGTGAGGGCTGAGGCACTGACTTCGGTGTGGTCGTTCTTCTCCTCTGGAGAATGATGTTCTTATTGGAGCTGATGTAATTCCCCCCCTTGGGGACACTGCTAATGGCAACACCCATTCAGTATGTGTTTAGGTGGAGAGGCTAGTCCTCCTTTGGTTCCTAATTCCAGCATTAGAGGAGAGGGGCATGGATTTATCTGGAGATTAGTCCAGAGCTGGGGGGAGGGGGTAGAGAGGGAGTTAGGGCAGTCTGAAAGTTCAAGGCTAGAAACAGTTTGTTTTCTGATTGGACTTGTTTATGGCTCTAACATGTTTTTGTTTGTGAGATATATATTCAGACATAAGTGGAGGTGGTGGTAGTTTTAGGTGGTGGGTGTTGTGAGGGGTCAAGGAGCAAGTGAGAATTCAAGAGCTCTGAACACTGAGAGGGAAGGAGACTCAGCAAGACCTTGGGTGGCACAGGTTCTGGTCTGTCACACAGGGGTGTGATTGTGTAGGTGACTAAAGTTATAATTCATCAGTGACGGAAGAACTTTTATTGGCATGTCAGTCTCTGCAGCAGAAGAAATAAAAACTTAGGCTCCCAGAGCGGCAAGAGGTGGAAGATGGAACATGGCATTTTCCTTGCTAGGCTGTGGGCAGCTGCCCTGGTGTCTGCAGAGCAGACACTGTGGCCCACCTACAGGTGCCCTGCTAATCATCAACAGTATGAGGCTGAGGAGAGACGTAAATTTTAAGCTGATCTGTGCTTAAAATGACCTTTTGGGCGATGAATTTCCCCCATGGATAGGCCCATTTCAGTGCCCTTTGTTATTATAGAGTTTGGAGACTCCGAACAGTTGGAGGAAAAGATGGCCATTGAAAAATATTTGTTATGCGGTTGGGCAGGAGGCATCCTTGGGCTTTTCCATATAAAAATGTGTGTGTGTGTGTGTGTGTGTTTGTGTGTGTGTGTTAAAGCGGGAAGGGAGGCAGTGAGGCTGCTGGGGGGTGGGGTGTATTTGAGGTTCATCGGATAAGAGGGAATGTCAAAGTCAGCCTTTATCTTTGTACAGAACAGATGGAGAGTAATTGTGGCAGAACCAACTGCTGAACTGACCGCTCCTTTGATATTCCTGGGGTTAAAGTTGAAGCTGTGGAGGCATCACGATGATTTAGGATACGTGCTCATAATTCGGTGTGAGACTTTCAGAAAGTTTGGAGTATAAAATGTGAAGGGACTCCTAGTGGAAATCAGTTCTAGATAATGGCCCATAAGTGACTGTGGTGCTTTTGGTGTGGGATCTCCACCCTGGAGCGGGAAGGTTCTGGACAACTCTGTGAGGAGTCTCCAAGAAAAGATTGGTGGGAGTAGACTATGATCTGTAGTTTAACAGAATCAACAGCAGTGTGATTCTTGGGCTGTTCAGTATGAGAATCATACTGGTGTGTGGCGTTTTCTGGGCAGCCAGGCTCTACATCCCGTCCCAGCTACCCCTTGAGAGGAGACACAACCAGACTACTCAGTGATGGCCCAGGCAGAAAAACTAGGTGGCCCAGAGTCAGCTCAGAAGGCTGACACGTCTCTGAGGCTCTGTGTCCATCAGGTGATGCAGGGACCACAGACTGACCATTCTGTATGACAGATAAGAAGTGACTTCTCAAGATAAATGTGAAATCCCTTCAGGATGAAAGTCCTTAAGGTCACAGGGGCCTCAAACCCTCTTTGGTCTCTGAAGGCATTGTCTTCAGGGAGCTGCCCCCTCCCTGGCAGGCTGTTCACACGGCCTGGGGACAGCTGGGCAGCTCGAGAGACAGGGCAGTGTGTTTTGACACTGCAGACCTCCTGTGAAATGTGGATTGAACCACAAGGTGAGAGCATCTGACTGGAGTGAGAGCCCTGGGAGGACACGGGGGTCAGAAGAGCCCGCCGCTGCTGGTCACACACCAGCTCCTTCGCGGAGAGGGGCAGCAGGCGCTTCAACAGGGTTGAGTTTTTGTTTGTTTGTTGGTGCTCGTTTTGTTTTGTCTTTAACATGTCAGGGTAGTAACCCTCCATAGAAACAGTTTGAGCTTCAGAATGGTGTCTGTCCTTGGCATAACTCAGGCCGCCTTGTCCCTCCCGTTGATCACTCCAGGGCATGGTGATGGGAGTGGGGCCAGGCTCCGGCTGCACAGAAACTTGGCAGTGGGTTTGTTTCTTTTCAGGATGGAGAGAAATGGGAACTGATTCTGATGCTTGCTGAGTGCCGGGTTTAGGTAATAGAAGACAAATGGTCTGCTTTTCTGTTCACCTGGTAGAGCCGATTCTTCTCTTGACAGGAAACAGTTAACAAGAGAAACAGGATGACAGGGGCCAGGGGACAAAAATGGTTTTCAGAATAAGTAGACTGAGATTTGGAGCCAGATGGGAGCGAGTTAACAGCAGTTGTACTTTGATGTCAGACAAAGGCCTTCGCTGGTCCATTCCATCTCTCAGGAGGACTCCCTACTCCCAGCTGCCATCAATAGCCGTAATACCTGGCTTAATGGAACAAGGAAAATTGTTGAAAAACCCTTTCTTTTCTCTGTCTTGGCTCCACTGCCAATTGTTAGTGGATTGTGTTGATGGAGAATTGGCTGTATACCATTGCCCTTGCCACAAATCCTTAGATTTCAGGTGAATAGTCAGATAACTCTGGGGCTAGGAATGATGAGAAAGAAATCAGTTGGTATATTATTTTCTGGGCTGAGCCTTTTCAGTTATAAGTATCCCTTTCCCATTTCTCCTCTTTCATTATAGGGAAAGTAGTTTTACTAATATTGGCTTTGTATTACAAGAAGAAAGCAAAATTAACCAGATGATACTATTGGAGGAATGTAGCAGTTAAAGTTACAGTTAGAGCTTCATTTAAGAAAGGAATTTTCATTAAAAAAATTTTTTTCTTTAAAGAATGTATTTATTTATTTTTGGCTGCGTTGGGTCTTTGTTGCTGCCCGCGGGCTTTCTCTAGTTGCAGCAAGTGGGGGCTACTCTGCGTTGCGATGCGCGGGCGTCTCATTGTGGTGGCTTCTCCTGTTGCAGAGCGCGGGCTCTAGGTGCACAGGCTTCAGTAGTTGTGCCGCATGGGCTCAGTAGTTGTGGCTTGTGGGCTCTAGAGCGCAGGCTCAGTAGTTTTGACGCACGGGCTTAGTTGCTCCGCGGCATGTGGGATCTTACCGGACCAGGGTTCAAACCCGTGTCCCCTGCATTGGCAGGCGGATTCTTAACCACTGCGCCACGAGAGAAGTTCCTTTCAAAAAATTTTACTTAATTAAAAATATTACCAAAGAATCATTATTTTTCAGGTGTAACAATGGTGTTGTGGTTATGTTTAAAAAAAAAAGTCCTTTTAGAGATACATACTGACGTGTTTTTGGAGGAAAGGATAGTGTGGGCTTTGCTTCATAATAATAGGGGAGGGGTGAAGTGGGTGGAGTGTAGATGAAACAAGATTAGCTATGAGTTGATATGGTTGAAACTGGGTGATGGGTACATAGGAGTTCATAATACCATTCTGCCTTTTTATTGTATATATTTGGTATTTTCCGTTTCAAATGGAAAGTTGTTTTTCTGGGTTTTGATTTGCTTTTTGCTGCTCTTCTCACTAATTTGTTTTGGAAAATGTATTTTTTGTCAAATTGTTATTTATATTAACATGTAATATGTTTATTATTATTGTCTTTTTTAAAAATGTTATCCCCACATGTACCTATGGCAACCACCAATCTGTTCTCTGTTATCTATGAGCTTTTTTTTTTAAGATTCCATGTATAAGAAGGATCGTACAGTATTTGTCTTTCTCTGTCTGACTTATTTCATTTAGCATAATGCCCTCGAGATCCAGCCATGCTGTCACAAATGGCAGGATTTCATTCTCTTTAATGGCTGAATACTATTCCATTATGTGTATGTGCCACAATTCCTTTATCCATTCATCCTTTGATGGATACTTCAGCTGTTTCCATAACTTAGCTATTGTAAACAAAGCTGCAGTGAAGGTGCATATATCTTTTCAAGTTAGTGTTTTCATTTTCTTTGCATAAGTACCCAGGAGTAGAATTGCTGGATTGTATGGCAGTTCCATTTTTAAGTTTTCGGGGAACCTCCATACTGTTTTCCAGAGTGGCTACACCAATTTACATTCCTACCAACAGTGCACAAGGGTTCGCTTTTCTCCACATCCTTGCCAGTATATGTTATTTCTTGTCTTTTTTGATAAGAGCCATTCTAATAGGTTTGAGGCAGTATCTCATTGTGGCTTGGGTTTGCATTCCCCTGATGATTAGTGATGTTGAGCATCTTTTGATGTACCTGTTGGCCATCTGTATGACTTCTTTGGAAAAATGTCTATTCAGATCTTCTCCCCATTTTTAAATTGGATTGTTTGTGTTTTTGCTGTTGAATTGTATAAATTCTTTCTGTATTTTGGATGTTAACTTCTTATCAGATGTATGATTAGCAAATATGTTCTCCCATTCAGTGGGTTGCTTTTTCATTTTGTTGATGGTTTCCTTTGCTGTGTAGAAGCTTTTTAATATGGTGTAGTCCCACTTGTTTATTTTTGCTTTTGCTTTTGGTGTCAGATTAAATACATCAGTGCCAAGATCTATATCAAGGAGATTGCTGCCTATGTTGATCTATATCAAGGAGATTGCTGCCTATGTTTTCTTCCAGGAATTTTATGATTTTAGGTCTTAAGGTCAAGTCTTTAATCCACTTTGAGTTAATTTTGGGGTATGGTGTAAAACAGTGGTTGAGTTTCATTCTTTTGCATTTGGCTGTCTAGTTTTCCCAACGCCATTTATGGAAGAGACTGTCCTTTCCCCATTGTGTATTTTTGGCTCCTTTTTTGTATATTAATTGAACACATATGCATGGGTTTATTTCTGGGTTTTCACTTCAGTTCCATAAGCCAAATACCATACTGTTTTATTACTACAGCTTTGTAATGTTGTTGGGAATCAGGGAGAATGATGCCTCCGGGTTTGTTCTTTTCTCAAGATTGCTTTGATTAATCAGTGTGTGTGTGTGTGTGTGTGTGTGTGTGTGTAGTTCCATACAAATTTTGGGATTATTTGTTTTATTTCTTTGAAAAATACCATTGGAATTTTGATAGGGATTGTACTGAATCTGTAGATTGCTTTGAGTAGTGTGGACATTTTAACAGTAATGATTTTTCCAGTCCATGAGCACAGAATTTCCTTCCATTTATTTGTGTCTGAAATTTCTTTCATTAATGTCTTATAGTTTTCTATATACAGGTCTTTTACCTGCTTGGTTAAATTTATTCCTAGGTGTTTTATTCTTTTTGATGCAGTTATAAATGGGATTGTTTTCTTTATTTATCTTTCTGATAGTTTGTTATTAGTGTATAAAAATGCAACAGATTTTTGCGTATTGATTTTGTATCCTGCAAGTTTATTGAATTTGTTTATTCCAATAGTTTTTTGATGTCTTTAGGAGTCTTTGGGGTTTTCTGTATATAATATTCTGTCATCTGCAAATAGTGGCAGTTTTACTTCTTCCTTTCCAATTTGGATGCTTTTTATTTCTTTTCCTTGCCTAATTGCTCTGGCCAGGACTTCCAATATTATGCTGAATAAAAGTGGAGAGAGTGGGCATTCTTGTCTTGTTCCTGATCTTAGAGAAAAGACTTTCATCTTTCCATCACTGAGTATAATGTTAGCTCTGTCCTTTATTATGATGAAATACATTTCCTCTATACCTGCTTTGTTGAGAGTTTTTATAAATGGCTGTTGAATTTTGTCAAGTGCTTTTTCTGTATCTATTGAGATGATAATACGATTTTTATTCTTCCTATTGTTAATGTGTGCTATATCACATTGACTGATTTATGGATGTTGAACCATCCTTGCATACCTGGAATAAATCCTACTTGATCATGGTGTGTGATCCTTTTAATGTATTGTTGAATTTGGTTTGCTAATATTTTTTTAAGGATTTTTGCATCTATGTTCATCGGGAATATTGCCTGTAATTTTCTTTTCTTGTGGTGTCTTTGTCTGGTTTTGTTATCAAGGTAATGCTGGCCTCATAAAATTAGTTTGGATGAGTTCCCTCCTCTTCTGTTTTTGGAAGAGATTGAGAAGTATTGGTGTTAATTCTTCTTTGAATGTTTGATAGAGTCTATCAGTGAAGCTGTCTGGTCCTGGACTTTTGTTCGTTGGGAGGTTTTTGTTTGTTTGTTTTTTGTTTTTTGCTGTTGTGGCCTCTCCCATTGCGGAGCACAGGCTCTGGACGCACAGCCTCTGGACACGCAGGCTCAGCGGCCATGGGTCACGGGCCCAGCCGCTCCGTGGCATGTGGCATCTTCCTGGACCGGGGCACGAACCCGTGTCCCCTGCATCAGCAGGCGGACTCTCAACCACTGCACCACCAGGGAAGCCCTCATTGGGAGGTTTTTGATTACTGATTCAATCTCCTTACTAGTAATCAGTCTGTTCAGATTCTCTGTTTCATCATGATTCAGTCTTGGTAGGTTGTATATTTCTAGGAATGTATCCATTTCTTCTAGGTTGTCCAACTTGGTGTGTAATTTTTCATAGCAGTCTTTTATGATCCTTGGTATTTCTGTGGTATCACTTGTAACATCTCCTCTTTCATTTCTGATTTTATTTGTCTCCTCTGTTTTTCTTGGTGAGTCTAGCTAAAGGCTTGTCAATTTTGTTTATCTTTTCAAAGAACCAGCTCTTAGTTTTGTTGATCTTCTCTATTGTCTTTTTCATCTTTATTTTATTTATTTCTGCTCTAATCTTTGTTATTTCCTTCCTTCTACTAACTTTTGGCTTCATTTGTTCTTCTTTTCCTAGTTCCTTGAGATGGAAAGTTAAAAAAAAATAATGGTAGAATTATATAGTGCATATACTGAAAAAGGATTAATGTCCCGAATATATGAAGTGTAGTATAGGTGACGTGGTTAAGAGTGTGGAGCCAGGTTGGCTGAGTTTGAATTCCAGCTCTACTACTTAGTAGCCATGTACCTTGGGGCAAGTTACTTAAATTCTCTGTGGCACAGTTTCCTCATTTGTAAATTGAGGATAAGAATAGTATGTACTCAATGTAGGGTTGTTGTGAGAATTATGAGTAAATTCAAGTAAAACACAATAGATGTCTGTTACTAATATTATTATTTAAATAATTCCTATAAATAAGAAAAAGGTAAACACACTAGTAGAAAAATAGGGGAAAGCCCAGGAATAAGCAATTCATAAAAAAAGAAAACCCAAATGCCTCATACACAGGAGTCTTTCTCACTAGTAATCAAAGATGTAAAACTCAAAACAACAACAGGATGCCATTTTATATCCCTCAGACTGGCAGAAAATAAAAAGTTTGAAAGTACAGAGTGTAGGTGAAGATGCAGAATAATGGAAAAACCTCTTCACACCCTTGTGGATAGAAGTATAAATTGTTATTGTTATTTGACATTAGTTTGGCAGTATTTAGGAGAATTTAAAAATGCCAGTAGTCTGTGACTTAGGATTTCCGTTCTAATTGTATTCCCCAGAGCAGCAGTCGCCAGCCTTTTTGGCACCAGAGACCAGTTTCGTGGAAGACAGTTTTTCCATGGATAGGGGTGTGGGAGGGGGTGGGGGTGTTTCAGGTGGTAATGCGAAATGTGATCGGCAGATGAAGCTTCGCTCACTCGCCCGCCGCTCACCTCCTGCTGTGCGGCCCAGTTCCTAACGAGCCGCGGACCGGTACTGGTCTGCGGCCTGGGGTTGGGGACCCCTGCCCTAGAGAGACCTCCATGACTCTGAACTTGAATATTGAAAGGAGTACCCCTGATCTTTACCTAACTCTTCTGTAGGTAAGAAACACAGCTGCCATGAGATCCTTCTAGCCAGGCATTTGTAATGAATTATTGCATTGTGCCCTCACCTGTTTCTTGAATGGAAGTTTTCAAAGTCTGATGCCTTCACTGTAGCGGGATGAAGTCAGCTAGAAACTTCAGGACATGTGAATCAAGTATCTGTTAGCTCATTACATCTGGTTTCATTCCCTGAGACTTATGCAGACTTACAAAGTCCAAAATCCTCAGCCTGGTATTCCAACCCCTCCATAATCTCTCTAATCTTCTCTCCTACATCAGTTCCCAGTTTGAGCTTTCATGTCTTTTGTTTTTAATATGCTGAAATTTTTATTTTTAATTAATTAATTAATTAGGCTGCGTTGGGTCTTTGTTGCTGCCCGTGGGCTTTCTTTAGTTGCGGCGAGGAGGGGCTACTCTTCATTGTGGTGCGCGAGCTTCTCATTGCGGTGGCTTCTCTTGTTGTGGAGCACGGGCTCTAGGCGTGTGGGCTTCAGTAGTTGTGGCTCGCGGGCTCTAGAACGCAGGCTCAGTAGTTGTGGCGCAAGGGCTTAGTTGCTTTGCGGCATGTGGGATCTTCCCGGACCAGGGCTCGAACCCGCGTCCCCTGCATTGGCAGGCAGATTCTTAACCACTGCACCACCAGGGAAGCCCTCTTCTTAGATATTAAAACTCAGCATAGATGTTGTCTTATCATCTCTGCAGAGTTCCTCGACACTGCTAGTTTGGGTTACTTGCTTACCTCTGTCACAGCATTGATCTCTCTGATTGGTATATTGTCTCCCCTACTACATTGCTTGAGCTTGAGGCCCAAGGTTGTGCTTTTGTCTTGAGATACCAAGAACTTGAACACAGCTCCTAGAACATAGGTATTGCTCAAGAAATAACAACAGAATGAGTCAGTCCCATGGTGATTGACTTTTTGTTGTTGTTGTTCTCCCTCGTCCTAACATATGGTGTCTGACATAGTGTGAAGCACTGATGAGATGTTGTTCAGTAAAAACTAACTGACTTATTAGGAACATGCTCAGTTTCTAGATAATGCTTCAGAGAAGGAATTAATCAAGCCATGGGAAGTGTGCGTTGAAAGAAAACTCAGGTACATGAGGTTAGTCTCTGAGATGGTGATGAGGCTGTGCTGTCTCTCCAAATGGTTCCTTTTAAACATCCAGATGAGGGAGAAAGCTCCCTGACACTGAAGCTGGAATTCTCCATTTGGGAGATTAAGGTAAAAGCTTCTACGTATCCCAAAGGATAGCACTGTGCAATCCCATGTGAATATTACATGAAAAGATGGACAAAAGCCAAATTTAATTATTGAGATGATTGTGATGATAATCCCATTTTTCTCATCCAGTTCACAATCTAGGAAAGGCCCTAATCCAAACAGGGTATTTTTCCTACCCCTGAGGGATCTAAATATTTCCCTGTCTCATTACAGCTATGTGGAAAATCTGAAGTACAGCTGTTCATTGAACAGTTTCCAATGCAATATACAAAGATACTGTGATTGGCAGACAGGAGATGCCATCGGAGATATTGACTGTGATATTGTGGAGATACAATATCAGTTGACTAACTGGAATTTCTTTTTTGGGTAAAGAACCCAAATACTCACATTTCATTTTGCTTATTCAACTTCTGTCCCTTTTCACTTCAACAAATCTATCTCCTGTTCCCAGCAATGTTTTGCCTTAATATGTATGTGAAGCACTACAGTGGAAGAACTGGGATATGTCAGTGTGGGTGGCATTTAGCCACTGAAATAAATAGCTAGAAATGTCGTGGAGGAGAACTGGCAGAGAATTGGTACCGGTGAGGGGCTGTTCACACTGGACTCACAGGCTGATGGCGTGGGCACCGGAATCCATCATTGGGTCCTTGGCTTGTTTGCTTATATACATTATATATGTTATTTGCTAGGCAAGTTTGCTGTCAATAAAGTAATGTGTCTCAGGATTCTAGGTGGGTCTTACCCCCAAATACATTTATTTGTTTATTTTTATTATTTTGTTTATTAACCAAGTGATTATTAATTAAAACATGTTAAGTGTCCACCATATGACCAGTACAGCACTAGGTGCAATACAGAAGGACCTTGATCACTGAGTCTCAGAGATGCATCCCAGCTTCTGCTAGGACATATCCTGTGTTGAGGAGCTCTCCTTCATAGCAGCTGCTATGATTTTAGGTCGTTCTGATAGTTAAGATGTAGTATCAGCACCTCAGGAAGCCTAGTCTTGGGGAGATATTAAATAATAAAAATACATTAAATAATAGCCAGTTGCAAGATAGCATTTAATTGATGATACAGACTGACAGTGCTTTGGGAGTTAGACAGCAGTAACTGAAGGAGAACCACCATTTATACAAGGAAGAGAGAAGGGAACTTTGTCGAGCTTAGCCCCGTGTTTGGGCTGGGCACTTCACTGTATAATATCGTTGATTGTCACAGCTATCCTGAAAAGGTAATAGGTGTGATTCCCACTTTACAGATGGTATAACCAAGGTCCAGCTTGTAGTTGGTGAACTTGAGATTCAACCCTAGGCTTGTGTGGAATCAAAGGCATGCACTTTTCTCCTCTCTCAGACTGACATTTCTTCAAAGTAGGTCCTGTGCTAGATTTTGGAGGTTTCTTAAAATAACTTTTTTCTAAATATAAAAATATACATAATGTAGAAAATTTGGGAAACATAAAAATCATCTATAATGCTACCATTTAGAGATAACTATGATTACTAATTTGGTTTTTATACACATACATATATGCATCGACCACATACATTATGCATATATATGACTATTACTTAACTATATATTGTATATTTTTCATGTAAAATCAGTGTTATTATATATTATTTTGTTTGTATTCTTTTTCTTTTTGTAAAATATGGTGATCATTTTCCTATCATTAACGTTTTCTAAAGCATATCTTTTTTTTCCTTAAATAAGATTTTTTATTGGTAATAAAATCAGCAAACTTTATATGGTAGAAATATCTCAGAGTATTTTTACACTAGAGGAAGACTTAGCAAAGGCAGCCAGTTTATTTGACAACACATTTCCTTTTTTATTTTATTTTATTTCATTTTATTTGTTTATTTTTCCTCATCAGTTACTTCCTTTTTTACTGAAGCATACCTTTTTAAGTGCTACAAAGAATTCTACCATGTACATGTGCTATAATTTATAACCAGTCAATCACTCGCTTTAGTTTAAGCTCTTTATAGCTTTCTGCTATAAAATATTTATCGTATTTTGATAAGCATTCTTGCGACATATTTAAAGTGTACGTCACGGTGATTTGATACACAGGCCTTGTTTATTGTGCTTTACAGATACTGCGTTTTTTACAAATGTTTGTGGCAACCACGCCTTGAGCAAGACTGCTGGCATCATTTTTCCAACAGCATTTGCTCACTTCTTGTAATATTTCAAACCCTCCACCAGCAAAAAGATTACAACTTGCTGAAGGCCCAGATGATGGTTAGCATTTTTTAGCAATAAAGTATTTTTTAATGAGTATACATTGTTTTTTTAAGACATAGTGCTATCGCGTATGTATTGATAATATAGTATAGTGTAAACATGACTTTTATATGTACCAGGAAACCAAAGCATGCATGTGACTCACTTTATTGTGATTGATATCTCCTCTATTGCTGTGGTCTGGAACTGAACCTGTGGTACCTCCCAGGTGTGCCTTTATGTGTATATTGAGAAAGGATTCCCACCTCTAGTTAAGTGCTAACACATCCATTACCTCACTTTTTGTGTGTGTGTGTGTGAGAACATTTAAGTTCTACTCTCTTGACAAATTTCAGTTATACAATACAGTGTTATCAACTGTAGTCACCTATCTTTTACATTAAATCATCAGACCTTATTCAACTTATAGCTGAAAGTTTATACCCTTTTTCTGTCCTCTTCCTATTTCCCCCACCACTATCCCTTGGCAACTACTATTCTACTCTCTGTTTCTATGACTTTGACATTTTTTCTTTTCTTTTTTTTTTAGATTCCACATATAAGTGATATCATGCAGTATTTGTCCTTGTCTGGCTTATTTCACTTAACATAATGCCCTCCAGTTTCATCCATGTTGTCACAAATGACGGGGTTTCCTTTCTCATGGCTGAATAATATTCCATTGTATATACCACAGCTTTTGGTGGACACTTAGGTTGTTTCCATATCCTGGCTATTGTGAATAATGCTGCAGTGAACATTGAGAGTGCAGATATCTTTCCGAAATCTTGTTTTCATTTCCTTTGGATGTACCCCAGAATTAAGGTCTCTAGATCCTATGATAGTTCTGTTTCTAATTTTTTGAGGAATCTTCATACTGTTTTCCAGAGTGATTGTACCACTTTATAATCCCACCAAGAGTGCACGAGTGTTCCCTTTGCTCCAGATTTTTACCAGTACTTGTTATGTCGTCTTTCTGATGACAGCCATTCTAATAGGTGTGAGGTCATAACTCATTACGGTTTTGATTTGTGTTTCCCTAATGCTTAGTGATGTTGAATACCTTTTCGTGCACCTGGTGGCCATTTGTATGTCTTCTTTAGAGAAATGTCTATTCAGATCTTCTGCCCAATTTTAAATCTGATTGTTTGTTTCTTTGTTTTGAGTTGAATGAATTCTTTGTATATTTTGGATATTAACCCTTTATCAGATATATGATTTGTAAATATTTTCTCCCGTTCCGTAGGTTGCCTTTTCATTGTGTTGATGGTTTCCTTTGCTGTGCACAAGCCTTTTAGTTCGGTGTAGTCCCAATTGTTTGTTTTGCCTTTGTTGCCTTTGCTTTTTGGTATTGATAAACATTCTTGTATAAAATTTTTTGCAGATTTCTCTAATGACTTCCTATCAAGTGTATGTGTATTTTAAGACTTATTAAAAACCGTCCTCTAGAGAAATTATGCCCTTTATACTCTCACCAGTGGCAGTGTATGAGAATCCCCAATTTCAGATATTCTTTCCAATACTGAGTAGTATCATTAAAAAAAAAAAAAGAAAAACTATTCTAATGTGACAGGTAAAAAAGTGACCTCTCAAAATTTTAATTTGCATTTCTTTGACTACCGGATAGGGTGAATATATGTTGGAGTTGTCATCTTGAAGTGCTGCCAGCCTTGGATCTCCCTCTTCTTCTAAGAGCCATAATGTATGAAGAGAAGGTTTAAAGGCTTCATCTTATTTACACTAAATTACTTCATATCCTATCTTTTGGCAGATCTCTGACATCTACATTAGTGGAGAATCAGGGGACATGTCAGCTAAGGAGAAGCTGCTCCTGTGGACCCAGAAAGTGACAGCTGGTTACACAGGAGTCAAATGCACCAACTTTTCCTCCTGCTGGAGTGATGGGAAGATGTTCAATGCACTTATTCACCGATACAGGTAAATACAGTGAAGTTTCAGTGGACCTAGAGAGGCTTCTTCTCATCTCTTGTTTGTAATCAGCTGTAATGCCACACTTCCCCTCAACCAACAATCCAGGCTCTGATTCATTTTATTTATTTTAAAAAGGAATATGTATTGAACTCCTACTGTTCCAGGCACTGGGCTCATATAGCAGTGAAGAAAACAGCTAAATTCTTGCCCTCATGGAGCTTACTTTTCAGTGGGGAAGATAAGCAATAAACAAATAAGTGTATGCTGTCTTACAGTGGTGGGTGCAGTGGAGGGAAAGAGAATGATGGAGGTTGTGGCATTTTGGACGGGGTGGTCAGAGGTGGTCTCTCTGGTGAAGATGTTGGAGCAGAGTCATGGATGAGGAGTAGTGGGCCATGCAGGTCTCTAGGCTCAGCATGTCTCACTCGGAGGAGATAACAAGTGCAAAGGGCCAGTAGTGGGGGACTTGCTTGGAGTGGGTGAGGAAGATAGGAATTCTGAATGATGAAAATCAAAATTTATCGTACTCTTAGTGGTCATAAACACTCATAGGGAAAGTTGATACCTTTCCCTTGAAATCCAACAAACCTACTATTATGTAAGTTTAGAATTATGGAGCACTGGGCTCCTGGAGTGTGATTGAAAGTGGGACTAGTGCGCCTCTAAACCTCTTGCTTTCTCTCTAACTCATCCAGTGTTTTTCAGCTCTGAGTACTTTTAAGAGGGTTTCTTTGTGTGAACTCCTATGTGCTATGTATCTGGGGGCCTTTCATATACCTTGGTGGACTTTTACAGACCTGACCTGGTAGATATGGAGAGGGTACAGATCCAGAGTAACCGAGAGAACCTGGAACAGGCTTTCGAAGTAGCAGAAAGACTGGGCGTCACCCGGTTACTGGATGCAGAAGGTGAGAGCTGACTGAAGTTGATAAGTTGATGATGTTTGGCATATATTCATTATTCCTTCCCCCAGCGGGTTCCTTTGTTCTAAGAAATTTCTTGCCTTTTGTCTCTCAGATGTGGATGTGCCATCTCCAGATGAAAAGTCTGTAATCACTTATGTGTCTTCTATTTATGATGCCTTCCCTAAAGTCCCTGAGGGTGGAGAAGGGATCAGTGCTACGGTAAAAGAACACTTTCCTAAAATACCTTCTGGCTATGATTTGTTTGGGTGGAATGTATTGATTAGAGTAGGTTTCTTAAGCACTCAGTGTATACAGAGCACTTTTAAACAGAGCGAACTGAATCCACATCATCTTGATACATGGTTATTGTCCTTGGTCTGTGGGAATGAGTCTAGATATCACTAATTTTGCAGTGTCCAGCATAGGCTATTCTAGGTGTCAGGAAATTAAATCCCATCTTGAGAGTCCTTGAGGAGCTTTGAAACTGGGACTCTGAGCATTAAACTGAATGGCGGTGTCTGTGTAGGCAATTAGAGGAAAAGATTTTATGTGGTTTGGGATGGCCTGAGCTACTTTCTCCTGTGCTTGTCTTGCATACTGCTAACCAGCAGGTGTGTGATATCTACCTTTTGGCAATAGGAAGTAGACGCCAGGTGGCAAGAATACCAAAGCCGAGTGGACTCCCTCATTCCCTGGATCAAACAGCATACAATACTGATGTCAGATAAATCTTTTCCCCAGAACCCTGTTGAACTAAAGGTAAAGTCATGGACTTAAATTGTGTTTTGTAAATTCACTCTGGGGAGTAAGTCTCAGAGCTTGTTGCTGCTGGCTCCTGGGTGAGGTGGTATGAAAAATTAGACCGGGTTGCTTGCATTCATTCACCAAATATTAATTTTGTAGGCACTTTATAATCAATATATACACTTCAAAGAAACAGAAATTCTGGCCAAGGAGAGAGAAAAAGGAAGAATTGAGGAATTATATAAATTATTAGAGGTAAGGAAACTTATCCTTTGCTGAGACTTAGGGTGTGCTGGTGTGCTCTTTGTTGCTTCTTTGTTAGGCAGATTCCCTGCATCTTCTTCCGAACCTCATTATAACAGCAATATTCTCAGGGTGACAAATCGAGCATCACTCTCAGGCTGCTCTTGAAAATTTACGGTAAAGGGGAAGTGTCAGCCATCTCTATTTTTTAAAGGGCCTGTTGAAAAATGGCATACAGTTATTCAGAAATCTTGAGTTTTGTACATGTTTTCCTGTTTCTCAGAGGGAAGCTAATTCTTTCCCTAGGATAGAAAGAAAAGAGACTTTCCTTCACATTTTGATTCCTAGAGAATTTGAAGCTGTGGAGATGGGCATTTAACCTTTCCACAGTGTGGGGGAGAGGGGTATGGGGAGGACAGGAGGATTTATGGAAAGTATAGAAGGAATGGAAGGATTTCAAGCAAGTGGTCTCTGTATTTTAGAGGTAATTTTTTTAAAAATTTATTTATTTATTTTTGGCTGTGTTGGGTCTTCGTTGCTGTGCACGGGCTTTCTCTAGTTGTGGTAAGTGGGTGGCTACTCTTTGTCGTGGTACGCAGGCTTCTCATCGCGGTGGCTTCTCTTGTTGCGGAGCATGGGCCCTGGCCTCACAGAAGCACATGGGCTTAGCTGCTCCGCTGCATGTGGGATCTTTCCGGACCAGGGGTCGAACCCGTGTCCCCTGCACTGGCAGGCGGATTCTTAACCACTGCGCCACCAGGGAAGCCCCCTAGAGGTGATTTTTTTTCTCACCTAGAGGTGAGGTACTGCTAAAATATTTGGTTGTTTTCTCTTATTAGTCAATGGAGAAAACTGCTGAATGCCTGGGTAAAGAAGCAAAAAATTAATTAAAACTGGGACCTGAGGGCATGGCTGTGTTTTTGGACTTAAAGGGTTATCTCTGGGTTTTTTAGGTATGGATTGAATTTGGCCGAATTAAACTGCCTCAAGGTTATCACCCTAATGATGTGGAAGAAGAGTGGGGAAAACTCATCATTGAGATGCTGGAGCGAGAGAAGTCACTTCGACCAGCTGTAGAGAGGTGGGTCCAGAGCCTGAAGGTGACATTACTTACTGGGCTGCTTTGAGGCCTGCACTTGACTATGGTCTTGATCTCATTTTAGGCTGGAATTGCTGCTACAGATTGCAAACAAAATACAGAATGGTGCTTTGAACTGTGAAGAAAAACTGACATTAGCTAAGAATACACTGCAGGCTGTAAGTCTGACTGTTCTATCTCACTTCTTATGTCACATGTTTTCCACTTCTAACCTTGTGCTCTAATGGTTGAAGTCAACAGTTAAGGGATCCAGCTTCCTTTCTCTTGGAATTGCAGTGGACCGCGTGGCTCCCTTGGTCCTAGTGGGTGGGAGCAATGGGAGTTTTCCCACTCTTCTTCTCCCTTTCTCTCTCAGGACGCTGCTCACCTGGAATCAGGACAACCAGTGCAGTGTGAGTCAGATGTCATCATGTACATTCAGGAGTGTGAAGGTCTCATCAGACAGCTGCAGGTGGATCTCCAGATCCTAAGGGATGAGAACTACTACCAGCTAGAAGAGCTGGCTTTTAGGTGAGAAACATGGGACTTAAATGGAGGGCTTGCTTACTGCTGAGGCTCAAGGATCAAGAGTCGGGCACTGAATCTTGGAACCTGGATGCTAGAGGTCAACGTCTCAGTGGGGATGTTATAGGTATTTGGGGCAGGAAAATTCTCATGGTAGAAGACAGTCTCCCTTTACTGTTGGCCCTGCCCACTAAGTACCTGTAGGGTTCCCTAATCTTTGTGTGGCATCTTATAACGCCCCCACACGCTTCAGGGTAACTGCAGCCGTGTGGGACCACGTCTGCTTTAGAACTGCTGGGGTGATTCGATGTAGCATTTCATGGAGGAGGAAACCAGCACCCACAGAGGGGATGAGGATCTTTGTACAGAGCCGAGACTAAGAGCCGCATCTTTTGACCCCTAATCCATGGTTTATTCTGTTACATCATCCAAGAGTTATAAGAACTGGTATTGATTTATTGCCTCGAGTTAATGCTGTGACTTGGCATTTGCCTCAGTGACAGCTCTGAACGATGAAGATGTTAATAATATCACCTTGCATTCACAGAACACGTTTTCTTTCTCAAAACACTTTTCCTAATGTGATCTCAGTTTTATTTTTACCTCATCTTTGTCAAGTGGATAGGGAGGATTTTATCTTAAAAAGCACGTTACAGATTTAATCTTTTCTTTCTCGTCTTCCATTTCAGGGTCATGCGTTTGCAGGATGAGCTGGTTACCTTGCGTCTAGAGTGCACGAACTTGTATCGGAAGGGCCATTTCACTTCACTTGAATTGGTTCCACCCTCTACTTTAACCACTACTCATCTGAAGGCAGAAGCCTTGACCAGAGGAACCCATTCTTCTTCTACCTCCTGGTTCCGAAAGCCCATGACTCGGGCTGAACTTGTGTCTATCTCCTCCTCTGAAGATGAAGGCAACCTCCGATTTGTGTATGAACTACTGTCTTGGGTGGAAGAAATGCAGGTGGGTGTACATTCCAAGTGCTTATGCAGTGCACTGAGGTTTACTGGATACAGCAGCTTGTCTCAGAGGGTTAGGTTGCTCTATGCCCCTTGTATAGATCCCCTCAATTATTGCTGCTACCTGGGGCCCAAGCCTCCTTCTCTATTAAATTTTGAAAGGATAGGATCAGTTCAGATCCTCAAAATCCCATACTAAATGCATAGGCTTTTCTAATTTGAAGCCCTTCAGGAATCTCTTCCCTTCAGCCAGCTGTGCTCTAAGTGAGAGCTGGTGGAAGAAGTTGCAGAGTCTGTAAATCTGTTATCTTTTCTGAAATTCTCTCATTGTCAGAGGAGCTGCTTCTCTACTGTTGTTTTTGTCTCAGCTCTTAAGAGTAAGCAAGACTGCTGTGTTTCACAGTTCTCAGGGACATTATTTACATGTATTCTAGGATAATGGTTCAAGTTCAAGATTTTCCTGTTATCCTCTAACCCTTTTGTTTTGTATTAAATTCTTCCCATCGTTGGATGATGGATTTTCCATGTACCAATAAATAAAACTATTCAAAGGCAAGCTGTTTTACAATTATCTTCCATTGGCCAATAGTTGGTGGCATGAATGAAGCTTAGTATTTACAGATATTTATTTCTTATCTCCATTCTGATTGTGAAATGGAGAGACCCCATAAAGGGAAATGCCTAAACTATAAAGTTAAGCATTTCAGCCTGTGGGAATGCCTTTCTGGTTGGTAAATGCAGGGATGTATTCCCATAATGCAGCAGCAAAAGGCTGCTTCTGCTGCTATAGGTGGTGGGGTTTATTCTCCAGCTCCTTGGGGGTGGTTATGGCATACTTTCCTGTAAGAGACCAAAATGGAGATAGTTTAGATGTCCTTTTTCTCAATCCCCTCTCCCCAGTCCCTTTGTCCAAACTGATTGTGACAGTTTTCTTTTTCTGCCAACTTAGCAGTAAATTATGTTTGTAATTTTTCTTTTTTTCAGATGAAACTGGAACGAGCAGAGTGGGGCAATGACCTGCCTAGTGTGGAGTTGCAGCTGGAAGCACAGCAGCACATCCACGCCAGTGTGGAAGAACTGGGCTCAAGTGTCAAAGAGGCCAGGCTATATGAGGTGTGTGGCATTCAGAATCCATTATGGGAGGCTGGGGTGGCTGTGCGCGATGGGACAGTGCACAGCGCAGCTGTCCATGTGGAAAAGAAGGATACCCACGAGCAGCACTTGACCACAGGTCCCCTCAGCACATGAAGCGTCTCTTGCTCTTTGAAATAACCTTGTGAGAAAGGTGTTTTTTATTAACCCCTTTTTAGTAAAAAGAATAGTAATACTGAAAGCTAAGGTCAAAATTAGTAAGTAGTGAATGCAGTTTCCAAACTCAAGCCCTCTGCTCCAAAAGTTCATGCTCTTTCCACTTCACCATCTACCTGCAATAGAGAACTGGAGAGAAAAACTATTCACTTGGTCTCTCCTCTCCCTCACTCTTTCTATCTTCCCATTTTAAATTTCAACTCTCCTCTTCCAAAAAGCAGCTGAGTAGTTGGAGGAATCACCAGGTATAGGTTTTGCTTAGAAACCTCCCAGAATTACTAGAAGCACAAGACCATGAGGTCATTCAGTTGTGCTTACTCTGCTGGACTGTTCCTCACTCAGTGCTGCTCTGAGCTATGCAATCTCACCTGGAGATTTGCTGTGCAAGCTTCTGTTTTCTCAGAATAACCAATCTCCATCTATGTGCAGACATAATATTTACATAGTTGAAATCATGCTGTAGATATAGTTTACTTACTCTTTCTCTAATATATTTTTATTTCATTCCTTTCTTACCAGGGAAAAATGTCCCAGAATTTTCATACCAGTTATGCTGAAACTCTTGGAAAGCTGGAGACACAGTATTGTAAATTGAAGGTGAGTTTTGGCTAACTCTCTTTTGTTCTGTTCATGGAGAATGTGGTTCCCTAATTCAGAAAGCTCTTGGTTTGAGCCTGTTTTGGTTTTCTGTTTATTAGTTTTATATTGTTCACTGTGCAGTTGTTCATATATCATAACATTTTCTCAATTTTCTTAATGGATCAAAAACCACTGCCCCAGAAGGTTTTAAGTAAGTAGAGCTTATCCTAGTTATCATACTTCACCAAAGCAGTGGGTGTATGTGCTCTGAGGCATCAAAACTAAGTCCCCCCCCGCCACCACCCCCGCATGGCTTGCGGGATCTTAGTTCCCCAGCCAGGGATTGAACCAGGGCCCTCGGCAGTGAGAGCATGGAGTCCTAACCACTGGAACGCCAGGGAATTCCCAAAAACCAAAAGTTTAAGATTGACAGGGAGGGGACTCCTCTTCTGTCTGTTGTTCTTCATTCCTGTCTTTCAAGATGTCCAGAGTAGGACAGTTCCAGGATCATTCTTTATCCAGGGAGCCCCACACAGGCCTGGCGTGGGATTGACACGGGCTCTCTGGGAGTCCCATACCAAACTTGTACTAAATTTAAGTCTGTGGAGAAGCACCCAGAGATTGAAAAATCAAGGCTAAGTTCATTTTCTCAGCCATTCTTTGCTTTGATGTCAAATGTGATGTATCGTACAGATGAAAGCCTAGCAGTCTAACCTTGTAATCCTGCCTTTGTCTAGGAAACTTCTAGCTTCCGGATGAGGCACCTTCAGAGCCTGCATAAATTTGTCTCCAGAGCTACAGCTGAGTTGATCTGGTTGAATGAGAAGGAGGAGGAGGAACTAGCATATGATTGGAGTGACAACAATCCCAGTATCTCAGCCAAGAAAAATTACTTCTCTGTGAGTCTAGCACAACAGACCTGTCATATTTTGTAATAGCAGCAGAAGGAGCCAGAGGGGCTAGTCTGCTGAGAGCTTGGGTTTCTGGATTTGCATTTTGTTAGATAGAAATAGGGACCCTGCTTAATGCATCTGTTCCTGTGAGAAAGTGTATATGGAGAAGAGGGGAAATCGAGCCCTTGAATGAATTTATTTAGAATGCATTTAGAAAGGCAGTGTCTTGGGTGAAGAGAGCAGCAGTCTGCAAATTGAATCATTTCAGAAGCAGTATAACTTTGTAGTCAAGGTTATAGGCTTTGCAATGAGATAGACCTAACATCAAATTCTTATTTGTCCACTTATTAGCTCTGTGACCTTGGCAAGTCATTTACTCTCACTAGACCTCTGTAAAATGGGATAATAGTAGCACTTCAAAGCATTGTGTAAAAGGTTAAGTAAGATTTAGTAAGTTAATATTTTAGTAAGTTAATATAGCAAAGCACTTAGTATAGGGCTTAATGTTGTTTAACTGAGGTATATTCTTGGCTTCTTACAAATTCTGAATTCTCTTTAATTCATTCAACAATTGTTTGGTCTCCATCTCTTGGTTTGTAAAATGGGAAGGAAAATTCAGCATTGGCCAATGCAACACTGCTTTTTATGCTTTTCAGTGAAAGATAGAAAGTAGGATTGTTTTTTTGTTATTTTCAGTTTGCCCACATTTCAGAGAATTTTTCAGGATATTATGAACCCCATGAAAATAGGAAGATTTTTTAATAGCACTTAAAAACTTCATTAGAGAGTGGTATATGATTCTTCTGAAGTAAAGAGGAAACAATAGATATTGTAATACAATAAACAGTCTGTATGAGAACAGAAATTAGGCTATGATAGAGACGTAAAGAAAGGGAGCATCGAGGAGAAGGGGTCAAATCTGATAGAGAGGATCAGTACCCAGCTGCACAGAAGAGCTGGCATCTAAACCAGGTCCTAAAGTGTTAACAGAATATAGAGGCGGAGCAGGGCACTGCAGCTGAGGGTACAGTCTGAGCGGAGCCAGCCAGTCGGGGATGCGGATCAGGTACCGTGTTCTGTGGGTGCTGACCTGAACCATCCACACCAGCCACGTTCCCTGCTTTCTTGCCTTCAGTCTCATGCTGTGTGACCCCACTTACTCAGGCCTGGCTCAGATCCCATATCCTTTTGAATCATTCTCCTGTAATTCCAGCACTTTTGCTCTTCTCTGAAATCCTCTGGCGTGTACTGTTTATGACTCTCATTTTGGCACTAACCCTGGGTTGTGGACTCCTATAAAGTAGGGCAGGGAGCACAGTTTTTTCTTTATTGCTACTCCTCCCTTAACAGCACTTACTGAATAAAATTGAATTCAATTTTCAGGAATTGACAATGGAACTGGAGGAGAAACAGGACGTGTTTCGGTCTCTACAAGATACAGCCGAGCTGCTGTCACTTGAGAACCACCCAGCCAAGCAGACTGTGGAGGTGTGTGACTTGAAGGTGTGAGGGTCAAGTGCTCAGAGGTTGTTACTATAGAAGTATGCAAATCAGAGACTTAGCTCTGCTTAGGGACTTGGAGCAAGTGTCAGGGAATCATGTGTCTTGGGTCTTCTCCCTTTTCTTCCCAGCCCCCAAAAGACTGCAAACAGTTTTGTTAATAGTCTAAGGAGGATACTACGTGAAACAACAGAAACGATATTGACTCCTTGCTTCACGGGGAAAGTGACTTGAACCATATTTTTTCTTATTTTTAAGTATACATATATATTTTTTCTCCCACGTCGTGAGGCTTGTGGGATCTTAGTTCCCTGATCAGGGATTGAACCTGATCAGCAGTGAAAGCGTGGAGTCCTAACCACTGGACCGCCAGGGAATTCTGAACCATAGTTTTTCAGATAACTGTCTAGACAGACCCTGCGTGCCTTTTGGTGTGGTGCCTGTGTTCAGAGAAGAGATTCAGTGGAGGAAGCCAGGAGAGACTGGCTTAGGCCTGGGTTTTGCTGACCAGGTCATTTAGTTGCAAATGAGTGTGGAAGAGGCCTTTTCTGGGTAACCCCTTCTAATAAAACCATGTTGGATGAAAGACAAACCTCTGTCTCGTGGGAAGCTTTGAGCAGATGCCAGTCAAGTATCTCCACTTATCCTCTGTTGGCCTCTCTAGCATTAGCAGAGGTGTACTTGGAAGAGTGCATCACACATACGTAGCAGGTCTGTTAAACCCATGCCCTTCTGTCCGTGTACCTGGTTGTTGCAGGCTTACAGTGCTGCTGTCCAGTCCCAGTTGCAGTGGATGAAGCAGCTGTGCTTGTGTGTTGAGCAGCATGTGAAAGAGAATACTGCTTACTTTCAGGTACGTGGGCTATTTGTGTGTGTGTGTGTGTGTGTGTGTGTGTGCGCGCGCGCGCGTGCACGTGTGTGCACGCGCGCGCAGAGAGGATGAGGAGAATATTTTTTTTCATTCAGGCAAGAGATTGTGAGTGTGATTGCGTGTGTTGGTGTGTGCCTGCAGGCATGTACACGGGAGGGGTGAGGTTAGAAACACATCTATATCCATTACCCTTTACTGTATAAACCACCACCCCAAAAGTTAGTTGCTTAGAGCAACAACCGTTGGCTCAAGATTCTGTGAGTTGGCAGTCTGGGCTAGGCTCAGCTGAAGGCTTTTATTCATCTTGCCTGGGTGACACATGGCTGTAGGCAGTGGGCAGGCAGGTTGGGGGCTGGTTGGCCCCAAATGGTGACACTCACACATCTGACATTTGGTTGGGGTGATGGGGTACAAGTCCACATGCAAGTCTCTAGCATCCAGTAGGCTATCCTAGGCTCCTTCACAGAATACCTGTGTTTCACAAGCAGCCAGAGAAGGCAGGCCCTGGTGCACAAGCATTTTTTTCTGCTCTCACGTGTATTAATGTGCCATTGACTAAAGCAAGTGATGTTCCCCCGCCCGGCTTCGGGGAGGCGGGGGGGAAATAGACTCCACCTCCTGATGGGAGGGGCTGTAAAATATTAGAACCATTTTTTGTTTTTTTGGTTTTTTTTTTCCTTTAATCTGTTGCTACATCAAGAACATACTGCTTGGGCTTCCCTGGTGGCGCAGTGGTTAAGAATCTGCCTGCCAATGCAGGGAACACGGGTTCGAGCCCTGGTCTGGGAAGATCCCACATGCCGCGGAGCAACTAAACCCGTGCGCCACAACTACTGAGCCTGAACTCTAGAGCCCGTGCGCCACAACTACTGAGCCTGTGCTCTAGAGCCACGTACCACAGCTACTGAAGCCCGCATGCCTAGAGCCCATGCTCCGCAACAAGAGAAGCCACTGCAATGAGAAGCCCGCACACTGCAACGAAGAGTAGCCCCCACTCACCGAAACTAGAGAAAGCCGGCATGCAGCAACAAAGACCCAATGCAGCCAAAAATAATAAATAAATTAAATAAATTAAAAAAAAAAAAAGAACATACTGCTTGTTTTCAGGTGAGGGTGGGAAGAGGAAATAAGCTGTTATCTCTGTTTGGATTTGCTCTTAATTAAATAAGCTCCCTGATCATTTTGTAATCATATCAGTGAATTGAGATACTCAACCTCTAGGCTTTTTATGAAATAAACCTGACAGTCAAGTGCTGCCACTAGCCAAAACTCAAGGGGAAAGATCAGTGATTTCTGAGGAGTGAAGCAGACTAAGTGTTCTGCTGGGTTCAGTGGGCTTTGTGGCAGTTGTCACTACTGTTTCCCTGGCATGGCATTTTGTAATCCAGGATTGTGTAATCAGCAGGCACGGTACGGTTGTTTCTTCTCCATTATCATCCTGGTGTTGTGATGTATTGAGCACAAGGCACCCCTCCCTCTTATCCCCACAGTTCTTCAGTGACGCTCGAGACCTGGAGTCATTCCTGAGGAACCTCCAAGAATCCATCAAACGGAAGTACTCCTGCGACCACAGCACCAGCTTGTCCCGCCTGGAGGACCTGCTGCAGGACTCCATGGTGGGTGTTGCATCAGTGGGATGATTGCTTCTGAGAAACAGAGTAAACCCTTTCGGCTGCTGCTCTTTATATCCTTGAAAGTGCCAGGGCTGTGGGTCACCATTACAAAGTTTGGCTCACATTCAATTAGAGTTTAATCTGTGTTGTTCTTTTCCTTTTCTCTTTTCTTAAAGAAGTTGCTAATGAGTCCTTTGGGTACGCTGTTGAAGTAAGGGCCTAGCCATGTGCCCCTGAGCCACGTAGTGCTCAGCACAGTTTCTTTGCATTGTTCCTATTTTAATTCAGTCGTTGGAGCCAAAGATGGGGGTGTAGAGCATGAAAAATAGGGTTGACGGGATTAGCTGACACCCAATTCTTTTTCACTCTCTCATGCAAAGAGAATGAAACAAAACACCAATGAACTAGACCTGAGCCAGTTGTTTCCTCCTTGGGAATTTTCTTTTGGTAATGATGAGGTATTTGAAACATCAAAGTCTCAGGTAGGTGTAATGCAGTATTTGCTCAGTTTATTTATGTAGTGGTATTAACTTTTTCAAAATAGTTTTGCAAGTGCTATTTAATCCAAATCAGTTCTACATTTATTTTCTCCAGTGAACTATTCCTTCGGGGTGGTGGTAGTCAAATCGCCAGCAGGCCACTGACAGTTACTGAGCGTAGGTTACAGAGCTCGCCAGGCAGGGCTCCAGCGACAGCTCTGACTAAGATGGAGACGTGTGGGCAACAGGGAAATTACTTTTCCTGTGTGAGCAATGCGGGTAGGCTCACATTTCAGTAGAAAATTATAAATAAGAGAACCAGAATAACCCCAAACAGTGTCATTGTATTCGTGGGTGAGACTTGGGAATTAGTGAACATGAGTTGATTTTTTAAAAAACACTTTCAGGTATTGTAGAGCTATGAATGGGTTTAGATTCAGTGTTTCACCTGAGCAAATAACCTGTGAATTTAATTAATTTGGAATGAAGGGTAAAGACCTGACTTTTCTGATGTTGTCTCTAGAATGTCGCTCTTAGAGGTACATCAGGTATGAAGGAGGAATCTAATAATCCGTGGCTATTATCTCCTCCCTCCCACAGAGTACCTTCCTGTCATAGGGTAACTCCTCTGCAATTGTTGTCATATCTTCTCTTCTCGAGGGTCGCTGCTCTGTTCCCTCCTCTCCAGGTCAGGGGCATCGGGTTGGCGGCGTCATCGGGGCATGAAGTCACCTGGGTCTGCTCCTCAGCTTGTCCTCAGCTTGTCCGTCAGGTTCGGGAGAATCTGTTGTGGCTTCTGGTTCTTTTCAGACCTTTTACCATGCTGAGCACTTGGTCTCTGGAGCTTGAGACGTTTGGCTGTGGGTTAGACAGAAATTGACATCTTTATTGCAAGGAAACTGAAATGGGTAGACCAGCTCTCAAGAATGGAACAGTGTGGCTGTCTCCCTGACCTATTCCATTCCTCTTTCTTAACTAATAAGTTAAAGTTGTATTTCTTCCAATCATGCTCCCGGGGACAGGCACAGGTAGTTTATTTAAGCATTTCTTTTTTATTTACTTGCATATTCTTAATTCTTTAATGGCATTTCTTAACATTATTAACTCTTTACTCTCATCACATCCACTTCCATCCTAAGAAAGCCCTCTTCTGGGGACTTTTTTATACCTCAAAATGGGCTTGAAACATCCTGGTTAAGAGATAAAGCTTATCTTTTACTCTTTAATGGAATTGGTAGTAGATTGCTACCCATTTCGTTGACAAGAACTTCATTAGTTTTTAAGAAAATTGGGTTTGCAGAGACTTGAGTATTTCAATTTTGCATGAGACCTCTTTCAAATCAATCAAATTTATATAAATACAGCACACAAGACTCTAAAAGGTAAACCTTAAGTCATTTGTCCCAGTACCTTCACCAACAGCATTGGTTTATAGATTGTTGGTTGAAGAGCTAAGATCTTTCTCTAGAAAGTTTGATTCAATTTAATAAAGTAAAATATTTGTAATAGAGCTTGGGAGATAACATTATTAAAAAAAAATGTAAAAGAGTATAACTCTAACTTCTCCTAAGCAGAGAGGCAAGAACTGGCTTCTACCAGTGAGAAATTTAATAATAATAACAACCACAGCCTAGTTTTTATCATTGTTTTTAACTTCCATGTTCTCTGAACCTTATTTGGCAAAATCCTTTGTTAGCTGTATAGCTGTATTTGGCAGCTAGAAATTCTTTTTTTTTTAATTTATTTATTACTTGTTTTTGCATGTGGCTTTATGTTTCATTGAAAAAGACACAGGGAGAAAGCTGCAGAATTTGAGTATAAAAGCGCTTGGTAGCAGACAGAAGCATCCTCTCCTGTTTTCTTTATCCCTGTGTTTCTAAGATGGCTCCACCAAGGATCCCTACTTAACCGAGAAGTGACATTCTCGGAGGGAGTGGAGCATTCAGTTTTCTTTGTTGACTGAGTCTCCCAAGGAGCAACATTAATGTCTTTTTCGTTTTCTTCCCATTTTGTAGGATGAAAAGGAGCAGCTTATACAGTCCAAGAGTTCCGTTGCCAGTCTTGTTGGGAGATCAAAATCCATTGTTCAGCTAAAGCCACGCAGTCCCGACCACGTGCTAAAGAGCACCATTTCCATCAAGGCCATCTGTGACTACCGGCAGATCGAGGTGAGGAGGTGGAAAGGGTACTTCCCGCTCCAGAAGGAAGCAAGGGAGAAGGGAAGGCTTCAGTTAGGGTTATGGTAACAGGGAAAGGTCAAATGATAGAGTTCTTCTATTAGAACTTAAACATGCTCAAATCTCTTCTATCATGAAAAAAATAAGCCTCAACTCTATGATCTTGACCTGCTCCCTGCCTCAGTAATTGGCATCATTATCCACCCAGTAGCCTAAGTGTAGATAGAAACGGTGCTTTGTAGCAGCTGGGAGAGATCCATGACTCCCCTCCTCTTAGTCCCCACAGCTAGTAGGACTATCAAGTCAGTAGTATCAATACCTTGTAAATAAGTATCCCTCAAGTGTACTTCTTTCTGTCCCTGCTGCTACTACAAGTTAGACCCTAAGTTTCTTTCACTTGGATCATTACGTCAGCCTACCCATTCAATGCATTCTTTATCCTACCACCAGCATGGTCTTTTTAAAAATTAATTAATTTTGTTTTGGCCACGCCACACAGCATGTGGGATCTTAGTTCCCTGACCAGGGATCGAACCCACGCCCCCTGCAGTGGAAGCTCAGAGTCTTAACCACTGGACCGCCAGGGAAGTCCAGCGTGACTTTTTTTTTTTTTTTTTTTTTACCATCACTCCCCTGCCTAAGTCTTACAACAATTCCCCATTTCTGTGTAGAAAGTCTAAATTCCTTAATGTGGCTTTAAGGTCCTGAATAATCTCTTTACCTCTCTAACCAAGACTGGGCCTCGTGCCTTCCATGCATTCCCTGGTAAATTGCATTTGTCACACAGTGTTGTAACCAAATAGTGCATCAGAATATGTGGAATATAGACCATGGTTGTTGGCTTACCATTTTTACCTCTAATGGCATGACATACTTCCAAGCACGTAATAGGCTCAATAATATTTGTTATACAAAGGAACAAATGAACTTTTCCTGTACTTTTCTTTGTCTCAGTATTTCTGTCTATAAAATAGAGATGATATTGTTGGTTACTCGTCTCCTAAGAGAAAGAATTGGTGATTTCAAAGGCTTAAACATCTCAGGGATTTGGGTGGGGTGACAGGAAGGGAGGAGGAGGAAGTATCAGAAATACAGAGTTGTGAGTATTATGTCCCTTTAAGTTTTACCCTGTTGGTTGTAGGTTCAGAGAGATTGCTCTCGCAGGTCTTACGGTCTCCTTATAAATTTCATATACTGTGTTACTTGACATGTGACAGGCATTTAATAAACACTTGATTTATTTCATTTCCCAGCCTTCCCTAGGTTGTTTATTTATACACATTATCCTTTTGTCTAAATCAGAAACTCTCCCTAGGTGATCTCCAAATGATTGGAGATCTCCAAAACAATTTTTCCTTAAGGATTTCATAGCCTTGGGATCAGCCACCAGGTAATAATAGGTTGTTGGTTTATCCATTAGCAATGATTTGTAACTTTGTCTCTTCAGATCACTATTTGCAAGAATGATGAGTGTGTGTTGGAAGATAATTCACAGAGGACCAAGTGGAAAGTGATCAGCCCCACAGGGAATGAGGCAATGGTACCATCAGTCTGCTTCCTTATCCCCCCACCCAATAAGGATGCCATTGAGATGGCCAGCAGGTAACTCAGCTCAACTGCCACTCTGTACTTCCACCTCTGCTCTTTGGCTGGGTGAACTGATGGAGGTTATGAATCTGCGTTTGTGATTTTGAACAGAGAGACCAAGTTTTGAAGATTCTTTTGGGAAAGACCTCCTATTACGATATCAAGTCTTGCCCTGCCAGCCACATAGTAGATTTTCAGTAAATGCTATGGTCAATTGAGATATATTCAGTGATAATTCTTTTTTTAAAAAAAAAATCTTTATTGGAGTATAATTGCTTCACAATACCTTGTTAGTTTGTTACACAACAAAGCGAATCAGCCATATGCATACACATGTCCCCATATCCCCTCCCTCTTGAGCCTCCCTCCCATCCTCCCTATCCCACCCCTCTAGGTCATTGCAAAGCACCGAGCCAATCCCCCTGTGCTATGCTGCTGCTTCCCACCAGCCAACTATTTTACATTCGGTCGCGTGTATGTGTTGATGCTACTCTCACTTTGCCCCAGCTTCGCCTTCCCACCCCATGTCATCAAGTCCATTCTCTATGTCTACCTCTTTATTCCTGCCCTGCAACTAGGTTCATCAGTACCTTTTTTTTCCTTTCTTTTTTTAAGATTCCATGTATATGCATTACATACGGTATTTGTTTTTCCTTTCTAACTTACTCCACTCTGTATGACAGACTCTAGGTCCATCCACCTCACTACAAATAACTCAATTTCGTTTCTTTTTATGGCTGAGTAATATTCCACTGTGTATATGTGCCACATGGATCCAACCTAAATGTCCATCAACAGGTGAATGGGTAAAGAACAGTGATAATTCTTTTTTAAATAATTCTTGGTTATAAACAGTTTACTCTCAATAGTTGATTTTTGTACTGACAGCTAACTTTCTTCTTTATATTTCATTGAAATACGTATAAAGATTTTAAAAAGTTGAATTATACCACAAAACTTATAGTAAAAACTAGCAATCATCTCCCCCACCCCAGAGTTCTGCTTCCCAGAGTGAACTATTTTCAACTCTTTGAGCAGATTTTTCTGGTTTTTAACATCAAATGTCTAAATAATGTGATTTTTTTCCTGTTACTTAATTTTTTTTCAACTTTGGAAATTATTGACTTCTTACTCTAGGAAATTAATGGTTTTCTACACACCTGTAATTCACTTCTCCTTTACCCATCTTCCAAATGTAGTTATGTCATGATTTTTGTTTAAAATCAGTATCTTGTTTGTTATTTTTACATTAAGTTGTTTACAGCTGAACTGCGTAGTACTCTAGGGCATATTGTAAACCTTACCCAAGCATGTCTTACCTCTCTAAATCATCCTTTGCCACTGTCCTTGCTTGCGCTCAGCTACAGTTTCTCAAGCACCACAAGCATACTCTTGCCTCAGGGCCTTTGCATTTCCTCTGCTTGCTTCATATATTGACGTGATTCACTCCCTCACATCTTTAGTTCATCTAATCACATTCATATACTACCACCCCACTCACTGCCTATCACTCTCTATCTCCTCTCCCCATCAGAACACTTTATTTTTCTCCAGAACACTTAATACTGTCCAAAAGATTATAAATTTGTTTATTGCCTTTCTCCTCCCCTTAGAAGTTCTAAAAGAATAGATTTTTGTCTGTTTTGTTTACCTCTGTATCCTCATCACCTAGAACCTGACATGTAGTAGGTACTCAATACATGATTGTTAAAGAAAAGAATGAACGAGTTAGGTGATTGAATATATGTATGAACAAATTATTTTGTATAACTTTATGTTTCCTTGGAGCTGATAATTGTTTTGTTTTTAAGTTTGCTTAGTTGTCTATTTGTATCTTATGAATTTATTCCCAAACTCTCCTATTTTACTGTAAAAGCCTTCTTAGTATGGCCAAACACCAGGTAATCTTCAATTTTATTTTCTCTTGGAAACGTCTCTTCTGAACCATTCTGTCTTCCTTTTCCAGTCTGAACCTGCTCTGTAGGCCTGCTTCATTACTGCCTCCCTGGCATTTCCCTTCATCTTCACCCTGAAGATTCCCTTTACATCTCTTCTGTGTTGGACCCTCTGCTTCCTAGATTCTAAGTCTTATTTATTGGTTTATTCCCTGGTTTGGGAGAGTACGCTCTCCAGTAGCTTGCTGAAAAAAAGTGCAGGAGAAGTAAATTTTTTGAATCCTGTCATATCTGAAAATGTCTTTCTTCTCCCTTCATAATGAATTGGTCAGTTACAGAATTCTTCTGGAAATTCTTTTCAGTCTGAACCTTGAAGGTTCTGTCCCACTGTTTTCCAGCATCCAGGGTTTGTTGTTGAGACGTACAGTACGATTATCATTCTTTATCATTCTTTAAGTTTATGTAACTGTAAAATTCCCCTTTTGTAGTGAGCAATACTGTTATTTTGACAAATGCATAGAATTGTGTCCTCTATCACAGTCGTGATACAGGACAGTTTGACACTTTAACCTTTTGAATGAAATCTTTATCTCTCTGAAGATTTTAAACTCCTCTCTGTCTTTAATCTTTGAAGGGGATGCTGTGTCTTCAGGTGAGCCTTTCTTGTGCTAACCCTGAACACAAACTGGAAACTCATATCTTTCAGATCTGGGGAAATTTTTCTTGGATTATTTCTTTAATTATTTCCTTTTCTATGTTTGTTTTCTGTTCTCACTTTCAAGAACTCCCATTTGTCAGCTATTGGACCTCCTAACTGTTTCTCTCATTTTCTCTTATTTTCTTTCTGTTTTTTATTTCTTTGTATTTTTATTTTTCTTTGAGATTTCCTGAACTTTTATTTCAACCTTACAGTCATTTTAGTGGGATTTTTGGAAAATGGAAAGATAAACTAATGGGTTTAATGTCTGACATCCTAGCTTCTAGTTTTCCATCCTATTCTATATATCTTACATTTCTTAACTTGAAGAAATTCAAGGTAATTTGGTGTGTGTCGAGTGTGTCTGTGTATCTGAGTTTGTAAGTCATCCGTAAGTTGAGATTGAGTTAGGCATGGGATGCTAAGAAAAAGATCTTCTCAAGCCCTTCACACTACAAGTTTCGTTTTATATGCCAGGTGAACTTCTTAAATTGCTATTAACTTTTAAACATTTTAGCAGTTTTGTAAAAATATAGAACACAGCAAATCGCTTTTTAAGCATTGTTGTCATTTTTCAGCAATTTCAAATGGAGTTATTTTGTCTCTATTTTTCTCTATCATTGCTTTCCCTGGGTATTCCTCTCTCTAACTTCTCATAATTATATTACATTCAGGTAACATTTATGAGATTGCTAAATATGTGCTGACATAATGTATAGAATAGTGTAGCAAATTGCTTGAGCATCTCTATTTAGGTCTAAAGATTCCTGTGTTGTTAGTATTTGACTTGTTGCCTTTCTCTGCTCAGCATATAAGCTCAGTTCTGCTAAGGCAATCACATTTTTTCCTTAGAAGGTCTCTAGTGTGGAGCTGAAGCCTTAGAAAAGCTATAGCCAGGTTCTGTGTTGTTTGTAGGGTGGAGCAGTCTTATCAGAAGGTGATGGCCCTTTGGCATCAGCTACATGTTAACACCAAAAGCCTTATCTCCTGGAACTATCTGAGGAAGGACCTTGACCTTGTAAAGACCTGGAACCTGGAAAAGGTAATTATGACAGCTTTACCGCAGGCTCATAACCTATTGGCAGGTTTTTTTTCGGAAGGAACTTCTTACTGTGAGACTCCTCCTCACCCAATTGGTGTAAAATGGAGTCAGGGATACTGTTTTGGGGTTAGGGGCTTGAGGCTCTTAGGAACCAGAAACTTTTGCATAAGTGTGTGGAGTAGGGGAATACTGGTGAATTAACCATCATTAAGGCTTACATCCAAGAGGGCACAAAGAGTGCTTCTCAGATACTACTAACGTCCTGTTTCTTGATCTGAATGCTGATTTCATGGACAGGTTCAATTTGTGAAAAGTCAGCATGTTTATAATTATGGTTTGTGCACTATTTTGTATTACGTTCCCATTCCACTGAAATGTCCTCTGGCTTTTTCTCTGCAGCTCCGCTCCTCAGCACCTGGGGAGTACCACCAGGTTATGAAGAACCTGCAGGCCCACTACGAAGACTTTCTGCAGGAGAGCCGTGACTCGGCGCTCTTCTCAGTGGCTGATCGTCTGCGCTTGGAAGAGGAGGTGGAGGCTTGTAAAACCCACTTCCAGCACCTGATGAAGTCCATGGAGAATGGTGTGTGCCTTGGGAAGAGGGAGAGGGAAGTGGAATGGGAGCCCTGAAGGGTGCTGCTGGACCCTTCATATACTCTAGACAGCATCATCACCACCTTTTTACCACTTGAGTTGCTAAAAAACTTGAGATAGAGAAAAACTTGTAGAGATGAATTCTCAAAATGAGATCATGGAAGAAGAGGCCATATTTCATTCATTATTGCTTATCAACCTATCACATTTTCCTGTGGAAATTACGTGTTTGGATCCTTAAAGAGTAGTATATGATGCAGGGAGTTTGGGAACAGGCAGAAGGTTCCCCACATAAGGCCTTGCTTTCATTCATGGAATATCAGGTCTGCTGGAACCAGTGTTGTTCTCAGGTTTGCTGATCTCTGTTGTCGTGCTTAATGGTCTTCTGTGCTTGTGCATTCACAGAGGACAAAGAGGAAACTGTGGCCAAGATGTACATTTCAGAGCTGAAGAATATCCGGCTGCGCCTGGAGGACTGTGAACAGAGACTAATCAAACGAATTCAGTCCCCTGCCAGCTCTAGGGCTGACAGAGATGCCCGGCAGGACAGTGCATTAAGGATCGCAGAACAAGAGGTAAGCCCTAAGAGCAGCAGGTGCTGGATGCAGAGTAAACAGTTTCAGAATGAATTGGAGGGCAAGAGAGTCTGGATCCTAAGGAATAAGGCAGCAGACTCATGGCAATCGTACTCCAGAATTCTTCCCTGAAGCCTGTAAATGCCTTTCACCCATGGAAAAGCGTAGTTTCAGCTCCCAGGATATTGCTGAATGTTGATTAGTTTCCTACACAGTTGGGAAGGCAGACACTGGCAAATTGTTCTCAGCGCTGCTTTTGGATTACATATTTTAAGACTACTTAGTAGAGATGCTGCTCTCTGCTCTCTCCCTTATATGTATTGATGTGTATTATATTCTGTGACACTGTTACTGTCAGTCACATGACTCCAAAAATAGTAAGGAAAGACTCAGATTCTACTGTGGCTCTGGTACACACTTCTCTGTGACTGAGCAAATTCTCTTCCTTAGTTTCCTTTCTTATAAAATGGAGATAGTAATATATGAGTCACACAAGTTGTTTTGAAAATTAAGTGATATGGTACATATCATGAGCTTCCTGGAAAAGTAGAATGCTGTAAAAATATGGGGTTGTATTCTTGACATAAAAGAAGCAAATATTAATTGCTTTATTAAGTTCTCATGGGCATGCAAAGAAAGTAAGCCAAAGCCCCTTGCTTTTGGCTCCTAGTGTAAAGAAGAAAAGGTTAAAGTTATAGTTAGAGACTTCAAGTGTAAGAGATGTCATAAGATAGTACCTAGTGTACTTCCAGATTGCCAAGCAAACATTGCTGTAGGAATGTGGAGTGTTACTGGAACATTTCTACCTGGGGTGTGATGAGGGAGCTCTATGAAGAATGTTAGATTTGATCTGGGAGGTTAAAGGAAATGGAAAGCAGTGCCTAATGAGGAGTGAGTTTTCTCAACTTGAGAAATTTCTCAGTAATTCCTAAGCCTGAAGAAGAGGATGTGAGCCCAGTATAATTTCTTTTGGTCAAGAAGGATCTAATATGTCTGTGTGAGGCATGTCATATGTACCTGCAATTCTCATATTAAAGTGTTTTTACTCTTCTGTAGTCATGCAAAATAGGTCAGTCAAAGAAATAGAGGTTAATATTGAGCTCTTCTAAAGGACCTTTTTTTAAAAAAAATTATTTTGGAATAGATTCAGATATAGAGAAAAGTTTTTATTCTCATATAACCGTCACCTAGATTCCATAAATGTTAACATTTTTCTACATTTGCTTTATCATTTTTTCTACATATGTATACATAATATTGATAATAATCTTTTTTTTTTTGAGAGTCAGTTTCAAACATGGTGCTCCTTTACCCCTGTATAGTTCAATGTGCATTTCCAAAAACAAGGATAGTCTCACATAACCATGGGACAGTGATTAAAATCAGGAAGTGAATATTGGTATAATACTGTTATCCAAGACCTTAATTGAAATTTCTTCAGTTGACCTAATAAATGGCTTTTTGAGTAGTACCCCCACTCTCCTGATTCCCCCCCCAAAAAAGAATATTTTGGTGTGGGATTCAGTGCAGTATCCCACATTGCATTTAGTTGCTGCGTCTCTTTAGATTTCTTAACCTGAAACAATTTCTTGATTTTTCATCATCTATCATGACCTTAATATTTTTGCAGAGTGCAGCCCATTTATTTTACAGAATGTCCCCCTATTTGTGTTTATCTAAGGCTTGTTCAAGATTAAATACAGGTTACACATTTTTAGCAGGAATACCATAGAAGTGATAGTATGTCCTTGGTGCATCCTGTCAGGAGGCATGTGATGTGGATTTGTCCCATTACTGGTGATAGCTTTTATCACTTGTTGCTGTTTTCCTCATTGTGATTACTAAGTATCTTGTGAGGAGATACTTTGAGACTATGTGAACATCCTGTTTTACATCAAACTTTCACCAAACTGTTACAGTATCTATTGTTGATTCTTTTTTTTTTTCTGATTTTTTAAAATCTTTATTGGAGTATAATTGCTTCACAATACTGTGTTAGTTTCTGTTGTACAACAAAGTGAATCAGCCATATGCATACATACATCCCCATATCCCCTCCGTCTTGAGCCTCCCTCCCTCCCTCTCTATCCCACCCCTCTAGGTCATGGAAAGCACCGAGCTGATCTCCCTGTCCTATGCTGCTTCTTCCCAGTAGCTAACTATTTTACATTTGGTAGTGTATATATGTCCATACTAGATACTACTCTCACTTTGCCGCAGCTTCCCCCTCTCCCGCCGTGTCCTCAAGTCCATTCTCTATGTCTCTGTCTTTATTCCTGCCCTGCTAGCAGGATCATCCTGCCCTGCTACTAGGTTTTTTTTTTTTTTTTAGATTCCATATATATGTGTTAGCATATGGCATTTGTTTTTCTCTTTCTGACTTACGCCCCTCTGTATGACAGACTCTAGGTCCATCCACCTCTCTACAAATAACTCAATTTCGTTTCTTTTTATGGCTGAGTAATATTCCATTGTATATATGTGCCACATCTTTATCCATTCATTTGTCAGATGGACATTTAGGTGGTTTCCATGTCCTGGCTATCGTAAATAGTGCTGCAATAAACGTTGTGGTACAATGTGGTACAATGTCTCTTTTTCTTTAAATTAATTAATTTATTTATTTTTGGTTGTATTGGGTCCCCGTTTCTGTGTGAGGGCTTTCTCTAGTTGTGGCAAGCGGAGGCCACTCTTCATCGCGGTGTGTGGGCCTCTCACTATCATGGCCTCTCTTGCTGCAGAGCACAGGCTCCAGATGTGCAGGCTCAGTAGTTGTGGCTCACAGGCCCGGCTGCTCCATGGCATGCGGGATCTTCCCAGACCAGGGCTCGAACCCATGTCCCCTGCATTGGCAGGCAGGCCCTCAACACTGCACCACCAGGGAAGCCCACAATGTCTCTTTTTGAATTATGGTTTCTCAGGGTATATGCCTGTGTGGGATCGCTGGGCCATATATTAGTTCTATTTTTAGTTTTTAAAGGAACCTCCATACTGTTCTCCATAGTGGTTGTATCAGTTTACATTCCCACCAACAGTGCAGGAGGCTTCCCTTTTCACCACACGCTTTCCAGCATTTATTGTTTCTAGATTTTTTGATAATGGCCATTCTGACTGGTGTGAGGTGATAACCTCAATTGTAGTTTTGATTTGCATTTCTCTAATAATTAGTGATGTTGAGCATCTTTTCATGTGCCTCCTGGTCATCTGGACGTCTTCTTTGGTGAAATGTCTATTTAGGTCTTCCACCCATTTTTTAATTGAATTGTTTGTTTTTTTGATACTGAGCTCCATGAGCTGTTTGTATATTTTGGAGATTAATCCTTTGTCTGTTGTTTCATTTGCAAATATTTTCTCCCATTCTGAGGATTGTCTTTTTGTCTTGTTTATGGTTTCCTTTGCTGTGCAAAAGCTTTTAAGTTTTATTAGGTCCCATTTGTTTATTTTTGTTTTTATTTCCATTTCTCTAGGAGGTGGATCAGAAAAGATCTTGCTGTGGTTTGTGTCAAAGAGTGTTTTTCCTATGTTTTCCTCTAAGTTTTATAGTGTCTGGTCTTACATTTATTCTTTAATCCATTTGGAGTTTATTTTTGTGTATGGTGTTGGGTAGTGTTCTAATTTCATTCTTTTACATGTAGCTGTCCACTTTTCCCAGCAGCACTTAATAAAGAGGCTGTCTTTTCTCCATTGTATGTTCTTGCCTCCTTTATTGTAAATTAGGTGACCATATATGTGTGGGTTTATCTCTGGGCTTTCTATCCTGTACCATTGATCTATATGTTTTTGTGCCAGTACCATACTGTCTTGATTACTGTAGCTTTGTTGTATAGTTTGAAGTCAGGGAGCCTGATTCCTCCGGCTCCGTTTTTCTTTCTCAAGATTTTTTTGGCTGTTCAGGGTCTTTTGTGTTTCCATATGAATTGTAAAATTTTTTGTTCTAATTCTGTGAAGAATGCCATTGGTAGTTTGATAGGGATTGCATTGACTCTGTAGATTGCTTTGGGTGGTATAGTCATTTTCACAATGTTGATTCTTCCAATCCAAGAACATGGTATATTTCTCCATCTGTTTATGTCATCTTTGATTTCCTTCATCAGTGTTTTATAGTTTTCTGAGTACAGATCTTTTGCCTCCTTAGGTAGGTTTATTCCTAGGTATTTTATTCTTTTTGTTGCGAGGGTGAATGGAATTGTTTCCTTAATTTCTCTTTCTGATTTTTCATTTTTAGTGTATAGGAATCCAAGAGATTTCTGTGCATTAATTTTGTATCCTGCAACCTTAACAAATCCATTGATTAGTTCTGGTAGTTTTCTGACCAAATTAATTATTAGTATGACTTTTGCCAAAAGGTGATTTTCTAATTCTGTCATTCCTTTTACATTTAAAATTTTCCATTCTATCAAAAGCGAAGTGCTTGCCTCCCCCGTTCCCTCCTTTCTTCCTTTGTTATGTCAGTATGAACTTATGGATTCTTATTTTAGTTCAGTGGTTTGTATAATAATTTGCTACTGTCTTTATTTTGATGTTCAAAATTTCCCAAATTTAGCCATTGGGAGCCCCTTCAAGCTGGGTCCTATGTCATTTTTTTTTTTTTTTTAAGATGTTGGGGGTAGGAGTTTTAGTAATTTATTCATTTATTTTTGCTATGTTGGGTCTTTGTTTCTGTGCGAGGGCTTTCTCTAGTTGTGGCAAGCGGGGACCACTCATCATCGCGGTGCGTGGGCCTCTGACTATCGCTGCCTCTCTTGTTGTGGAGCACAGGCTCCAGACGCGCAGGCTCAGTAGTTGTGGCTCGTGGGCCTAGTTGCTCAGTGGCATGTGGGATCCTCCCAGACCAGGACTCGAACCTGTATCCCCTGCATTAGCAGGCAGATTCTCAACCACTGCGCCACCAGGGAAGCCCCTATGTGATTTTAACATGCCTCATCATTCTTTGAGTGCTTTCTTATTTCTCAATAAAACAGGATATTCTGGGTTCCTCTTGCCTTTACCAACCCCAACCCTAGAATCAGCGTCTCTCCTAGGAATCTTGCTTCCTTTAGGTTCCTTTATTTAGAAACCAAGATCAGGTGCTGAGTGTGCTTATTTTTATTGGCGTGTCCACTTCTAGGCCTGCTTAGCAGATAGAGCATACAAGTGATCACAAATTCATATATCTGTTTCCATCCAGTTCCAAACCAGTACCTCAGGGCTTATTCTGTTCTTTCCTTTTTCCAAATATGTAACTCCCCCAAGAATAAAAAACCTCCTTCACATTATCCACAGTAAATTTATTTATTGCTCAATTCTAACATGTACAGATAATGGTTTCAGAACTGCTAACTCATAGTATTACAAAAAGCAAACCTACTAACTAGAGTTTAATGTAATTCTTTTTGTGTTTATCCTGAAGGTATGTCTATAGTCAATTCTGTGTTCAGAAGTTACTTGTCTGTATTCTTTCCCTAGCTCCCCCTGCATTGCTGTTTCCTAGTTGATTCCATCATTCTCCTATATATGGCATTTGGTTTGTTTCCAATATTTTGCTATTATGAACAAGGACTTCTTTTTAACTTCTTTGTTCAATTCTTTCTCTGTGTTTGTTGTGTGTCTTGTTCCTGACAGCACACCCAGGAGGATTTGCAGCTACTGAGGTCAGACTTGGATGCTGTTTCCATGAAATGCAGCAGCTTTCTCCATCAGTCCCCATCTGGTTCGAGTGTCCCAACTCTGCGCTCAGAACTCAGTCTGCTGGTGGAGAAAATGGAGCATGTGTACGGTCTCTCCACTGTCTATTTGAACAAGTGAGTGAGCTGAGAATTCGGGTCCAGAGGGCAATATTTTCGATTCAGATGAAAAAAAAAGTGCCTGGAATGTTTCATGAACAGTTCAGGGAGAGTGCACCCATAAAAAGAGCTTGTACCCATAAAAAGAGACCTTGGCTTTAGTTTCAAATAACAGGGAGTGGGTTCATTTGGTCTGCAATGAACAAATGCCAGGAATACAGAAGTGGAGTTGATTTACAGTTTTAGGACTATTTTGAACCACATTTCTGATTGATTAGATACCTCTTTTGAAAAAGAAAAAGGGACGCTAAAGAAAGAAAAATTTTCATCTAAACTAAATACTAGGCTTTGAGGGTCTTTCCTCTACCCACCCATCCCTACCCATGACCTTGAGAAGCAAGATCTTAGAGTCTTCATGATATTGAGTGGATTTCTGGCCTCATGCCTTTTTTCCCATGAGACCACCGTGCGTGCATGCGTGTGTGTGTGTGTGTGTGTGTGTGTGTCCCAGTGCCACCCAGAACTTCATTTTTGTGTGTGTGTGTGTGTGTGTGTGTGTGTGTGTGTGTGTCCCAGAGCCACCCAGAACTTCATTTGTGTGTGTGTGTGTGTGGTACGCGGGCCTCTCACTGCTGTGGCCTCTCCCGTTGCGGAGCACAGGCTCAGCGGCTATGGCTTACGGGCCCAGCCGCTCCGCGGCATGTGGGATCTTCCCAGACCGGGGCACGAACCCATGTCCCCTGCATCGGCAGGTGGACTCTCAACCAGTGCGCCACCAAGGAAGCCCCAGAACTTCATTTTTAATTGGCTTAAATTGGCGGCACTACACCATGCTTTCTTGTTTTTATGAAACCCTGTCGTTATTTAGTAATGGCGAAGTTGATCTTTTTTTAAAATAAATTTATTTATTTATTTATTTATTTATTTATTTTGTGCTGCATTGGGTCTTCGTTGCTGCACACGGGCGTTCTCTAGTTGCGGCCAGCAGGGGCTGCTCTTCATTGTGGAGCGCCGGCTTCTCACTGCGGTGGCTTCTCTTGTTGTGGAGCACGGGCTCTAGGCGTGGGCTTCAGTAGTTGTGGCTCGTGGGCTCTAGAGCGTAGGCTCAGTAGTTGTGGCGCACGGGCTTAGTTGTTCCACGGCATGTGGGATCTTCCCGGACCAGGGCTCGAACCCGTGTCCCCTGCATTGGCAGGCGGATTCTTAACCACTGTGCCACCAGGGAAGCCTGCGAAGTTGATTTTGACAGTTACGTTTGGTGAATCTCTCTGTAGTGCTCCAGGTCTGTAGCTCAGCTTTTAAAATGTATGTATTAATGGAAGTGATTTTATCCTCACAGGCTAAAGACAATCAGTGTTATAGTGCGTAGCATCCAGGATGCTGAACTCTTAGTCAAAGGTTATGAAATCAAGCTGAGTCAAGAAGAAGCAGTACCAGCAGATCTCTCAGCTCTGGAGTCCCATCGGTCTACGTTACAGGTTGGTTGTTCTCAGTTCTTAGGTTAACTTAACGTATCCATAGCTTGGGGTTAGCAGAGAAATGCAGTTTTGGATGGCATGACACTGATGTAAGTTTGCATTTGAATTAGGCAGAATATCATACTTAATATCTTTTGATGTGGGTCCAAAGAAGAAAGGATTGAGAAATATGTCTAGCTAGAAAGGGGAGATAAAGGACTATGCTTCTCTATTTATTTCTTCCTATTTCTCCCCAGTAAAGTCATAGTTTAATTGGATATAATCAGTGGTTGTGCTATAAGTTTGTAAATCACTTAGCTGTTATCTCCTTTGATTCTCACAAGCAACTCTGTGAGGTAGATAGAGGAGGGATTTTTATCTCTATTTACATATAGAATACCAAGATTCAGATTGGCTAAGTGACTTACCATGGTTTCATAGCTTATAAGCGGTAGAGCCAGGTTTCAGACACAAGTTCTTTGCACATTTTCTGTACTCTACTGACTGAGCAGTTTGCATGAGGACTGTGGAGGCATTTCTGGCACAAACAGTATAGAGTCTAGGTTCCGAACCACAGATGTAATATGGAGCTGGCTGTAGACAACGTCCTTGTTTTTTACCTTAGTCTGAGTCCTTTTTTAGCGTGGAATATATTTAACCTGTTGCTGTGCTTGTGTTTTTATAGCACTGGCTCAGTGATGCGAAGGACAAGAATTCAGTGTTTTCAGTCCTGGATGAGGAAATTGCGAACGCCAAGGTGGTGGCAGAGCAGCTGAGTCGTCTGACCCCAGAGCGAAACCTGGATTTGGAACGCTATCAGGAGAAGGGCTCCCAGCTGCAGGAGCGTTGGCACCGGGTCATTGCCCAGCTCGACACCCGGTAAGTGGCCACCCCACCCTTTTCTTCTCTTAGGGTTCAGGAGCCAGGTTTTAAACAAAAATAGAGTTATTTCTGTGTATGCTTGTTTAAAGGCAGGAATTGATAGGGAGGGGTAGAAATTAAGTGACAGTATACCTTCTAGACAACGTAAGTGCCAGGAGGTTGGGACCACCAACCCCAAAGCAGTCCTGAGGCTTGCTTTTGGGGCACAGTGTGATGGTCCTATTAGCAGTGCTTCTCCTGTGTCCCTGGTCTTAACCCATTTAAGCCATGATGACAGTGGTGTCTTAGAATATAGACTGGAAAGGTGACTTAATGATCTTTTCTCAAGGACAAAACCTGAGTTCTAGCTCTTGTTTTACTAGCTTTGAATTTTTTTTTTTTGGCCGTGCTGCACATCATGCGGGATCTTAGTTCCCCGACCAGGGATTGAACCTGTGCCCCCTTACAGTGGAAGCGCAGAGTCTCAACCACTGCCATGCCGGGGAAGTCCCTAGCTTTGAATCTTAATATGAGTTATTATTCGTAGTGGAGCTTTGTAGAATTTCTTGCTTCCTTTTCATTTGCTGATTTAGTGGTTTTTATCTGTTATTTGAAGTCCTGCTTTTGATGACTGATTTGAGTAGCAAAGATAGGAAACTACCTATCTGAGGCTAGGCTAGTTAGGAAAATATATAGGAAGTGGGGTTATAGAGACTCAGATAAGCTTGGACTGATTCTCTATAATTGAATTACTATCCCAAGGCTAGTTAGACTAACAGTAGTGGTATAGGAAGCTGTTACTGTAATTAACAGTTAATTACTACTATTTTTTACCCACTCCACCCCTACTTTTCTCCCCAAGAAACTACAGTGATTCATAAATCATAGCTGGAGTACTCTGACAGGTACTCTGTCTTCAGGAGACAAAAGTGTAGAGGCAGTACTACCTTATTGGCAACCTGGTAATCCTTGGCAACATAGGTGAAAAATTTGACAAGGATTATCATGGGATGCCAGGCCCCAAAGCCGATTCCAGGCCTAGCAGGGCACGACTGGCTTCTATTCACTTTTCACCCCATAGCGTAGTGGGTAAATGCATAGCTCCCACTCAGTGCTGCATTGCTCTTTCCTCAAAATAAAGATGTATCCTCTGTGGTTAAGCCCAACTGGGCTTGGAGGGAATTGCCTCATTTACTTAATTGTATTTATACCAAGATAACTGATAGCAGTTTCCCTTTGCTTCTGCAGCCAATCTGAGCTAGAAAGTATCCAGGAAGTTCTGGGAGATTACCGAGCCTGCCATGGAACTCTCATCAAATGGATTGAGGAAACCACTGCCCAGCAGGAAATGATGAAGCCAGGCCAGGCTGAGGACAGCAGAGTGCTATCCGAGCAGCTCAGCCAGCAGACGGTGGGTGTGGCCGTAGCCGAGTGGAAGTTGCACGGGGGAAGCTAGCTCATCATGAAGAAGATGATATGATAGCAATTAGCTTCCCTCCTATGTTAAGACATTCTGAGCTCCTTCTGAAAAGGGTTTAAGCAGGATGGGCTCTAGGTACTGGTTTTGCATTTAGGCCAGGTAACCTGTAAGGCCCCTTCCAGTCCTGAGTTTCTGTGAGTATATATTGAAAGCACTAGATGGGCAGAGTAGAATTATCTTGCTTTATTTCGTTTCTTGATATTACATTTTGTTTTGCTAGGATTAGAATATAGGGGAATGAAAACCCAGGGAAAGCTATGAGTGGAAGAAAATTATTTCATTCAAAGCAGTTTTTATTTGTTGGTATTTTGGTTTTTTGGGGGTTTTTTTTTGGCTCCCTCACTCATTACGAGAACTTGAGCAAATTACTTAGTCTCTTAGTATTCTACTTTCCTTAACAATAAAACAGACATAGTCCATTATTTGTTCAACTGCCCTCCTGAGGTTTTTGTAGTTAGGATTAGATGAAATGATACATGTAAAATACTTAGAACGATGGTTTTCAAAGTGTGGACAACCAGAGTAGCAGCATCAGCATCACTTGGGAACGTGTTAGACATGCGAGTTCTCACACCCGAACCCAAATCTATCGAATCAGAAACTCTGGAGGTGGAACCCAGCAATCTATGCTTTATCCAGTGTTCTAGGTGATTCTGACGCAGCTAAGTTTTGAACATGGTAAATGCTCAGCTGTTTCAGTGATGATAATGACAATGATAAGGTTGTGATATTTTGGTTCCCAGGAGCTGTTTGCAGAAATCGAGAGAAATCAGACAAAACTGGACCAGTGTCAAAAATTTTCCCAGCAATACTCCACTATTGTAAAGGTAATGCTACCATATCCCAGAAGGAACGTAAATCGTCTCCAGCTTAGGAAGATCTGCATGTCACTATAGGTTTTGGTTTTGGACAAGTAAGCAGAGCTCTTCTGCTCCATCCTTAGGTTAATGCAGATGTGTGCTTCTCATGGCCACATATTTGGGGATGCTCAGAGAGGTACCAGACATCAGCTGAGATTTGAGGAGTCTCCATTTGGATGACCCACAGGCCTCTTAAACTTACCATGTGAAAAACAGAACGTTTGGGTTTTCTTCTCAAATATGCTTCTCACTATCTTGCATATCTCGGGAAATAGTGTCACCATTTTCCTAGTTGCTGAGGCAAAAAAAACCCCAAGAGTCATCCTTAACTCTTCTCTTTACCTTAAACTTTATGTTTAACAACAGTCTGGGAACAAGTTGCTTCATCTTCCAGTATGTCCCGGATCTGACTACCTGTCACTGCCCCTCCCTCCCCCATTTTCCTGGTTCACATCTAAGTGAAGAATCTTCCATAGTCTGCTCCAGTACTTTGCGCTGCTCTCTTGCTTCTGCTCCTGCCCTCACAAGCTATTTTCCCACACAGTAGCCAGACTCACTTTTTAGGAACATACCACACATCACAGAACCTCAGGCACCATCGATTATAAGCCACATTATTTTATGCACTACCAAAAAGGGAGAAATTCCACCAATTATGCACATGTCAAGTAAGACATATTGCAAATTTTCGAGATACTAAAATGTAAGGGAAATGTGTACCTTACCATAGCTGAAACATGTATAGATTAGATCCTGTCACTCTTCTGCTCAGAACTGTCTCATGGCTTCATATCATACTTGTACTAAAATTTTAAATCCTTTTGTGGTTTATGAGGCTATGCAAGATCTGGCTCCCCACTTCCTATTTCTCTGATAAGGTCTTTTAAAAAAAATGACCTGAGATTCTCATATATTTATTTGTTTAACATGTGCCTTCCCACGAGAAGGTAAGTTCAAGGGGAGCAAGGTTTTTTCTGACAAGCACATAGTCGGTGCTCAACGAATAGTTTTTTAAATGAATACATTTCTTCAGTTAATAACAGGAGACTTGGTGTCACAAAGAATTGAGTTCACATCCTAGCTTCACCATTTTCTAGGCTTAAGACTTTGAGCAAACACTTAGCCCCTCTGAGTTTCTGTTGCTATATCTACAAAATGTGAACAGTAACTACCTCACTTGTGATTGCAAAGTGTTTGCAAAGATTAAATGGGATAATTTATACATAGGACAATGCCTCAAACTTAAAATACATTCAGTAAATGGTAGCACGTGTTTTTATTAATATTTTATTGTTACTATTTTTTTTTAATAGACTGCTTATGGAACTCATTCAGTATTTTCCTCCTGCCTAGAATTTTCAAAGTCGACAATAGAAAGCAAGACATCTAGGCAAAAGAAACTGCATAATCAAAGGCATGGAGGAATAAAATCCAATGATTATATGAGGAAATAGCAAATTCTAGCAATTCTGGTATAGCTAGAAGGTGTACTTTACATGAGAAACAGTGATTGTGGAAAATGAGAGGGGAGATTGGGGCCAACCTTTGAAAGGCCTTGTTCAGTTCCTTTGTCTTTACCATCTGTTCTTTTTTTTTTTTTTTTTTTTAATAAGAAAGAGCTTAACGGGTTCTCAAAACTGACAGGTTATGGCCTGGGCAGCCTGAGCAAGAAGAGTGGCATCAGATAAAGCTGAACATGTAGACTGAGGGCTGGCTGGGGCTCACAGACATTTGGATTTTATTCCAAGAACATAGAGGAGTCAGCCAAGAAGTAAAATAGTAAGAAGTTAAGATAAATAATCTGAATAACATTTTATTTTTTTATGTTTTGGATTTCTTTTTTTTTTGAATTTCATTTTATTATTATTTTTAAACAGCAGGTTCTTATTAGCTATCCGTTTTATACAAATTAGTGTATATATGTCAATCCCAGTCTGTTCTTGCTCCTCAAAACATGGTCTGTGAACCAAGAGCATCGACATCACCTGATAACTAGTCAGAAATGCAGAATCTTCAGCCTGCTGAATCAGGATCTGCATTTTAACAGGATCCCCAGGTGAATGTTGATATTTGAGAAGATCTTCTCTAGGTCACTGAGAACTTTCAAACAGAGGAACGAAGTGGTCACCTTTTTGACTTAGAAAAGTTATGCTACTAGCAGGACAGAAAATAAATTGGAGGTGAGACTCTAAGCAGGAGAGTAAGAGGCTATTGCACTGTCATGTGAGCTATGAAGAGGGCCTGGACCAAGGCAGCACTCTCAGGATTGCAGAGGAAGTGACAAGATAGCATGGTGACATGAGAAGAGTGTTGGTTTAGGGACGGAAGACAGATTCCAGTCCTGACTGTGTTGCTCACCCACTGAGTTAATTAGGGGAGCTCACTTCCTGTCTCCTGGCCTCAGTTGCCCCGTGTGTGAGATGAAAGGATGGGGTCAGCACACAACAAACTGCAAATTCAGGAGCAGCCTACTGTGGCCCACAGGCTAAATCCAGCCTGCACACCTATTTTATATGGCCCATGAGAAATGCCTATAAAAAATCAGAAGAATAATACCTCACGACATATGAAAATTATATGAACTTCAGCTTTCAGTGTCTCTAAGTCATGTTTTATCATAATACAGCCATGCTCTTTCATTTACTTACTTTCTATGGCTGCTTCCACTTGCAGTGGCAGAGGTGAGTAGCCACGACTGAGATAGTACAACTTTCAGGAAAAGTTTGCTAACCTCTATTCTAAAGGATCGTCAAAATGCCTTTCACCATTGAAATGCTGTGATGCTACTGCATGACAGTGTGAGCTCTAAGCCCTGTGTAAACGTAGTTCAATGTCTTCTTCCCCCAGGACTATGAATTGCAACTGATGACATACAAGGCCTTTGTGGAATCACAGCAGAAATCCCCGGGCAAGCGCCGTCGCATGCCTTCCTCTTCAGATGCCATCACGCAAGAGGTGAAAGGGTGGGGCAAGGACGTGTGCCGCTGTCTTCCCTCAAGGAAAGATTCGCTCATCGAGGCCTTACAGTTTGATTACTGTCGAGCGTGTGACTTCATGAAAACTTCCTCTTATTGTCAACTATTTAAATTGACTTTTCTGGCAGATAACTTATCTAAATTGTTTTTTTTTTGGAACCGTAGTTCATGGACTTAAGGACTCGCTACACAGCATTGGTGACCTTAACAACTCAGCACGTGAAATACATCAGTGATGCACTCCGGCGGCTGGAGGAGGAGGAGGTGAGGGCAACTGGGTCCTAAATCATCTTGAAAGTAGAATGAAAAATCTTGAACCTCATCTGTCAAGATTTAAAATGCACACACAGCCAGCCGATGTCCATTGTTCACAGTAGTCATGTTCTATGAAGGCACTGTACACACTGCACCAGCAAATTCTTTTTTTTTTTAACGTCTTTATTGGAGTATAATTGATTTACAGTGTTGTGTTAGTTTCTGCTTTATAACAAAGTGAATCAGCTATACATATATCCCCGTATCCCCTCCCTCTTGCGTCTCCCTCCCACCCTCCCTATCCCACCCCTCTAGGTGGTCACAAAGCACCGAGCTGATCTCCCTTGTACCAGCAAATTCTGAATTCATGCATCCAGGGGAACACAGGGTTAGGTTACTGCCAGCTTCTGGTCGCATCACAACATTTTTGTCAATGGATAATGCACAACCTGGTTTTATGTGTGTTTTTGTTTAAAAACACATTTTAAAATATATCTTATTGATTCACTAACATTGAACTCATGGCCGAGAGCAATATAACTCACACCTGAACAAAGCTTATTAAGCGCATTTTCTCCATAAGGCACATCACAGCCTTCTAGTGAATAATGAGGACAGACTGTCTTGTGTCAGACACTCCCACTTGCAAGTATCTTTATTACAGAAACATTATAAGCATGAAGAAAGGGATATGAACAGAGATCCTTAATAAAGCATAATTTGTTAAAGAGGAATAGTGGAAATATCCAAATTCCATATGATGGAATGCTGTGAAGCTGTTAAAAATAATGAAATAGATTTAAATGAACCAACAGAGAAAGATATTTATAATATATTTTTTGAGGAAAAAAGCAAGTTGAAATACTATGTATAATTATAATTTCAGTAATAACAAAACTGTGTGTACCACAAAGGGACAATATGGGCATACAAACAAGTTTAGAAATATATATACCAAATTCCTGAGGAAATGAGATTAAAGGAACATATATTATGAATTTCAGATTGTTTGAATTTGTTGCAATGAGTATTCAGTCTTTTTGTAATTATGAAGATCTTCTATGTCTTTGCAAAATAAGTTTGCACATATTCAATAACACTTATAAAAGAAATGCTGTTGGAAACATTAACCCATACCAACTTTTGTCCATGTAAATTAGCAAAAGAATTCCTTCTGTCAGTACCTACCTCATTTAATCTCTGTAGATGTCCATCTTTTCATCTGTAAATCTAAGAATTATGAACATATGTAAGATGCTATATGTGAAGGGCTTTTTAATTAATTTATTTTATTTATTTTTGGCTGTGTTGGGTCTTTGTTGCTGTGTGTGGGCTTTCTCTAGTTGCAGTGAGCGGGGGCTGCTCTTCATTGTGGTGTGCGGACTTCTCATTGCGGTGGCCTCTTTTGTTGCAGAGCACGGGCTCTAGGCGCACAGGCTTCAGTAACTGTGGCTCGCGGGCTCAGTAGTTGTGGCTCACGGGCTTAGTTGCTCCACGGCATGTGGAATCTTCCCAGACCAGGGCTCGAACCCACATCCCCTGCATTGGCATGCGGATTCTTAACCACTGCGCCACCAGGGAAGCCCATGAAGGGCTCTTTAAAATCAGTAAATAATTATTGACTGCCCATCACATATTAAAACAGCATGCTTTTTTAGAAAAGTGCTAACCTAGATATAATGTATTTAGCTATTAGTATCACCCAGGCGCTGGTGAGCAATGCTGTAGGCTGGGTAAATTATATTTAACTTGGGATTATTTTAGCTATGATTTAGGTAACATTCATGTCTTTGTTTTAGGAACTCTGAATCAGGCCGGTGTAGTAAGACATTGACCAAGATACTGATTTTCTATTTCCTCTTCTAGAAAGTGGTAGAAGAAGAAAAACAGGAACATGTGGAGAAGGTTAAAGAACTTTTGGGCTGGGTGTCTACCCTAGCAAAGAATACACAAAGCAAAGCTACCTCATCCCAGACCAAAGAATCAACAGACATTGAAAAAGCTATTTTAGAACAGCAGGTGAGTAGAAGGTCCATCTGTCACTTCCTGGGTAGCATAATATTTGATTACTCATTAAGAGGAATAATATGTCACATATGGGCCGCCAGGAACGATTATGATCTCAATAAGTGTTAACTTCCAGGACTTAAAGAAACTTAAGACGTCATCTTATTTGTACTTCTGCTTTCTAGATCACTGTATATAGTGGTAATAATCATCTTACCTAAGCTAATTTTTTCCCTAGGATTTTATTTTAAGTTATTCTAAATGATTTTTGGTTCTTTAATATCTTGGGTTCTGAAACTTTTTTCTTCTACTGCATAGGTTCTGGCAGAGGAGCTAACAACCAAGAGGGAACAAGTCTCTGAGGCCATTAAAACTTCACAGATCTTCTTGGCCAAGCATGGTCATAAGTGAGTATTAAATGAGAGATTACAGCACATCTGGGGGAACTGGATCTACCTGACTAAAACTTCAGGTCATGATCAGGATTTGGGCTGGAGACTTCAGGGTGGCAAGAGCTAGATTAGGAAGAGCCTTGTAGTTCATCCTGAGGAGTAGCATTCTACCTGCTGGCTATGGGGAAAGATTTTAAACATGATTGGACTTCGTTGATAAAGGTTTCTAGAACAGTTTTTTAGAGAATGGATAGACATGGGACAAGAGTAGAGGCCTGAGAGACCAGTTAAGAGGCTGTTCTGATAATATAGGCAAGAAACGATGAGAGATGGAGAGGGGACAAAGATTCAAAAGATAGTATATGGATAATGAACTTACAGGGTTTGGTGACCAATGAAAATTATCAGATATAACTCCCAGGTTTCTGGCTTAGGCCACTGGGTATTTGGTGATGCTGCTAACCAAGACAGAGAATACAGGAGAAAGTATGGGTTGAGGAAGAAGGAGGCAGCTATAGTTTCAGACATTATGAATGTGAAGAACCCACCGGACATCAGAGGGTAAACTTCCGTATGTATTTGGAAGTACCTGATACTTTATTTATGCCTTATGTAGTTCCACTAAAGGTGTCCAGTGGGCAGCTTTATGTGTAAATTTAGAATTAATGAGAGACGTTTGAAGTGACAGAGATTTGAGTCGTCAGCATAGAAGAAACCATGACTGGATTAGCTTACAAGGGTTCAAGGGCTTCTCGGCCTATAAAGGAAGCCTTAGAGAAGTAAGAGGAAATTATGAGTGATACCTTAGAACCCAAGAGAGAACAGGGCTCCAAAAAGAAGGAAGTGGTCAAAAGTCAAGAAAAGTTAAAACTGAGACATAGCTATTAAATTTGGCGAGTTGGAAGCTTTTGGTGACTCTGGTGAAAAGCTGGGGGATGATGTCTGATTTAGAGTAATGGGGAGCACATGAGGCGTGGAAGGTAGTGATAATGAAATTAGACTACTCTTCCAAGGAGCTTGGCCATGGGAAAGGAGAGAAATAATACAGCAAGTACTTAGAGCAGAATTTATGTTCAAGAAAAGGTTTTGTTTTATTAAAAGATCGGGGAGACTTAACTGTGTTTATGGACTGAGTCTCAAGGACCGAAAGGGAGAGAGAAATTGAAGTCATAGGAGAGGGGTTGCAAAGGATTTAGGAGAGGATAAAATTTATCCATGGGTAGAAAATACAACCTTAAACAGGAGTTGAGACACCTTTTCCTCTGAGGTCTGAGGAAAAGGAGATTAGGAAAGGTATGGATACAGATAAATATGTCAGAAGTGAAGTCAGAAAGTGAGAGAATTAGTGCCCAGTGGTCTGTATTTTCTCTTTGAAATAGGGAGAGAGGTTGTTTGCTGCAAGTTAGAGTGGGAGCCTCCAAGAGGATTGTCAGGAAGCATGGAAGTCCAGTAGAGGTTAGAAACCAGGAAGACCTCTTCTGTTGACACGTGGTTTTGGAATCCCCCCACTAGATAGACTTAGGCTGCATGTGGGAACAGAGAAGTCCAGGGGTTTGGTTGATCTGGGACTGGAGTCTTGTTAGTGAGGAGAGAGTGCAAAGATAATAGGGACTAATTGAGATGGTGGCCTGTGGGTCTGGACTCCAAAGAGAAGAAACTGAAGAAAATGGAGAGAACTGATGGATTAAGAGAGGTGGAGGAGTCAAGGAAGGTTTGGGGAATCCCAGTAAGCTGATGGACGCTTGTAAGATGAATCACAGGATTCAGTCTCAGAAACACCATGTAGAATGAGAAAAGGAATTCAAGATAGTGATAACTTCTGGGGAGAGAGGGATAGGAACAGGGTTGGTGACAGATACACATGGGACTTTAATTCTGTCAGTAATGTCTTATGTCTAAGAAAAGGATCTGAAGAAAATTTGGTAAAATACTACAATAAAATTTGGTAAGGTTGGATAGTTGGGTAATGAGTAAGTGAGAGTATATTTTATTCTTCTCTTTTGTCTCTTTAAGAGATTTTGTTTTTAAAAGAGAAGAGCTGTAGGAGTAAAGAAGGAAAACTAGCCAGGTAGGATTATAATCAGAAGTTACAATCCGATAGTAGATTTTTGAAGTTTAAAATTTCAGAAGTGGACGGTCCTTGCACACAGGGGAACAAGGTCTTGAGGAAAGGAGTGCTTGGTGTGCTGCCGCCATTTCTTCCGCCTTCGGTTTCTGCGCCTTTCGCAGGGCGTCTGACAGCGCTGTGTTGGGACTAAGCATCCAGAGGTTCACCACCTCTGCGATCTCATAGGAGCCACAGTGAGGAGGGTCCAGGGAAGAATTTACCATTTTCAGTGGAAAACAAATGGCGGTTACTAGCTATGATGACTTGGTACTTTGGGTTTGACTTGCTGCACCTTTCTATATAGTAAGACACCAACTGCTTAAAAAATAATCCGTGAGACAGATACGAAGAGGAGCATTTTAAGATGTGCAGTCTCTTTGGGAAAAGGATCAAACTCTTGAACTCAGCATCCTAGATACGTTTGTAAATAAATTCCTGGCATAAATCCTTAAAAAAGTAAAATAAAATTTCAGAAGTGGAATAATTTTAGATGATGGTAGCCTCCAAGTTTGCCATGTGTGGGTGGGGCTGAAGTGGTGTGGCGCCCATTTGGATTGAGAAGGTCGCAGGACTACAAGCACCGGGTGTTAGATAATTGGTGACGTGAGCATTGACATAACCAAGAATCATGACTTGGTTTGAGATGGACAGGAAAGCTGTGAGCTGGATGCCAAAGTGTTCAATGAGTATGGAAGAGTGACCGGATGATCCATCATGAACAGTGATGAAGGAGAATACTATCCAAGGTGGCAAAGTCAGTTTGAAGCAATAGAGAAGAGTTTGGGGAAAGGTTTTTCTCTGAAAGAGCTTTCATGCTTCATCTTCCAGGCTCTCAGAAAAAGAGAAGGAACAGATATCTGAGCAATTGAATGCCCTGAATAAGGCTTACCATGACCTTTGTGATGGTTCAGCAAACCAGCTTCAGCAGCTTCAGAGCCAGCTGGCCCAGCAGACAGAACAAAAGGTACTTTCAGTTTTCACTCCAAATGTTGGAAGGGTACCTTTTGAACGGTATGCAGGCAGCTTTGCTGATTGGGAGTCATGATCACTAGCTTTCCATGATGAGTGTGACTTAATTTTTAACCTCACTGTAGCAGCCATGTGTCTCGTGTTTCTTTACTGGGGTTCCACGATGTGTTGGTCAGTCAAAAATCACTAGAAGGTGCTTACGGCTAACCCGTTAGACCTGGTTCACTGTTGTGTGATCTTCCATTCTGTGGCAGACCACAGTCAAGGAGAACCTAAATGCTATATTATATCTGATCAGAAGGCAATAAGGTTACTCTGTGGCATTGTCACTCAAAAGTTGATAGCCAAGAGTTCTGAATATTGGGAAGTAAAGGCTGTGAACCTCTTCCCCCCATACTTTTTTCCCTGTCTACTACATAAATGAGAAATGTTAATTTCCAAAAGAAACTGGTGGATTAGCTGCACTGACTGAGACACTGGTTCCCCTTACCCATTGTCGCCCCATCATGTGACATCTTTACCAGTTCCCTCTCATGTTCATTTCCTGGACCATATGGAAGTTGTTAAGTTCCTGCTGGTTGTCCTCAGTTCTTCCTGGATACGTGTGTGTATATGTAAACTTACCATATTATATACATGTGTCTCTGGGATATATATGTGTGTTTGCCTGCTTGTTTCCTATGTTGTGAAGCAATGGCCGAATTCCTTGGGGCAGCCGGAAGTGAAGCTCCTGTGGCAATCGGATTTGGTCTAGATGTTGCTCAAAATGATATTCATACAAAACATGCTTTCACTCTGGTCATGAAATTTGTGCAACGGGAGCTAGAGTTTTAAAGACCACAATGTAGAACCAGCTGTGATTTATTTGAGAGCAGATTTCCAAAAAGAACGTGCTGGTTTAACATGCTCTGTGTGAGGTAGCCCACTTCTAATGGCTCATCGCTTCACCATATATGGGAGTACGTAAAGAGTTTTAACAATTGCTTGCTGAGAACATTCAGTTCTCATTTTGAAAGGTTAAAAAAGGGGAGAAGGAGAGAAAGAAAGTCAAGCTGCTGAGCACCACTACATTGAGCATGATGTGTCCCCTGTTACCGTTTGTGTGTTTCATGTGAAGTATTGTTCTGATTAACTGACATCCTTGCTTACAAGTTTCACTAACCCTTTGGAGTTTAAGCACAAATGCACAAAGGGAAAAGAGGACGACCTGTTTGGGGTTCTTTTTTGCAAAAAAACAAACAGTCGCATGCTGGACGCTAACACCAAGCTTACACTGTGTGTGCGATACGGCTGAGCTGCTCCGTAAGGCTCTCTCTCTTATCTGCCCAAGGCACACCCTGCAACCCTGGTAAGTAGAAGCCTTTTATGTTTTCTTTCCTCTTCTCCCTCTGTCTTTTTCTGCTTGTTTAGGTCAGAATGCCCATGTTTGGTGGGGCTGAAATGAATTTCTCCGGAGTATTTCCCGAACAGTGATTCCTGCCTCTCCTCCAATTACGAGGGTGTTAGAAAGAACAGTCTTTTCTCTTTGGCTAGACTCCAGGCTTTTTTTCAATACCAGCATTTCTGAGACTCTGTGAACTCACAGAAGAAATTAGAGGTTTCCCCAAAGAATCTTTTCCTTTGTCATATTGTCTGGTTCTGCATAGTCTTTACGTGGATTTTGTAAAAGGAATTTTTCATATATTTCAGAGAGTCACATGCCAGTGGGATTTTTCCTTCAATCTATAAAGACTAGCTAACTTGTAGGTTCACATAGCATACGTTTACCCTATACACGTTAAACTCTACATTCTGGGTCAGAAAACAGAGGGAGGATGAAGAATAACACATAATATTTTAAATAGTGTGGAGAATTCTCAGTTATTCCATTATTTGAACAAATACAGTGAGATGAAGATGCGACCCAGATCTGCTTCCTCATTTGCTGTCTGTTCTGCATCTCCGATAGTGTGCAACTAATCAAGCTTGAAATCCTCAGGGCATGTTTTTAAAATCTGGGGGAAATAGGTTAATGATTTTAAGGATTTCCTTACTATTTATCAGCTTATTTGTTTATTCATCACATGTTTCTTTAACTGCTGGTACGAGTCCTGGACATCCACTAGGCAAAGTACCTGCTCTTATGGAGCTTACGTCTCCCTGAGACAGAAATGAAATGCATTATATAGGAGGCAAGGAAGTGATTGGCAGTTAACGTCAATAAGATCCTCCATGAATAAGTTGAGTTAAATAAGGATCAAAAAGTAACACTGACTAAAGAGGGATAGATAAAAGCATGTATAGAAGACGAAGGTAATGCACACTAACAAGAAGAAGTGGAAAGTTGGAGATTAATAAAAGTGATGAAGTGTTCTAAGTGGTAGAACGCTGGAAAGATTTAATTTCTGAATAACATCATATTGCGATGAAAGGCTTCAAAATAGGAATTCTTCAGAAGCTGTTTTCAGGCTTTTTTGTGAGGGTAATTTTGACAGTGTGTTAAGGCTTGCCTTATTCTCTGTCGTTAGTACCTAACTCCTGTGTAAGATGCAGCTCTACTGTGCTTATCCTTCCTGCTCTTCCGGATCTGACTGGGGAGGCAGTATAATAGCTTGAGATTTAGAGTAAGATCTTGGTTTGATTCTGGAACTCATTCATTTTGTGACCTTGGACAAGTTACCTAATCTCTCTGTACCTCAGTTTCTTATCTGCAAACTAAAAATTAATTGCTTTCATAGGATTGTTGTGGGGGTGTCAGTGCTTAATAAATATATTAAGTGTCCAACAAGTAGTAGCTGTCATCATGATGATTGTACTACCCATTCTAGCCTGGACTAGAAGAAAAGTTATTAGTGGTTCCAGAGTCAAGAGTCCCTAGTCTGCTCCTTCCTTGACTTGCTACTTCCAATTCCTAGAGCTAATTTAACTCAGAGCCATTGCCATGGGACACGCTAGCACTGGCCACCAAGAGTATGACCGCTCCAGTTGCTAAACAGCTGCCTGAGTAATATACACAGGGCCATTTACTGAGCTGCACAGCTGTTGCTGGGCTGCTTAAGTCTCTCTTCGAATCCTGTGGACCCATCGCGCTGAACTCATCGGCAGGGAGGTCCTACTTCAAGAGTCTTCTGCGTGGATTGCAACACTGAGAAGTTGTTGTATGGGGTTGAATTCTCACTTTGGGGGAGCTGGTATGTGTCTGTAGGAGCCTTTGTGGTGATTTAGTCTTATAAATAGCTGTCCCCTCACTTTCACTGCTTGCTACTTTGTAGAGCTTGTCACTCAGATATGCTTAATGCTACCATCCCTTGAGTAATCTGTGAACTTCTGGCCATGTTAAACATTCTGTAGTTTAGAAAAATTCTTTTTTAGCATTAACACTGCCAGGCTTCAGAATATTTCCTACAGGTTGGGGCTCATCCAGGCTGGGTTTTTCTTGTGGTCAGAATTTGATATACTGTAGTTCTTTGAATGATTCTTTTCAACAATTGTGCTTCTCTGATTCAGTGTTCTTTTTCATTTTCTCTTGTAGGGCTGCAGAGCAGTTGCTGGGGTGATTGACCTAGGCACAGTGGAGATATTTCCCATCTTCAGAGCCATGCAAAAGGGCCTCATTGACCAAGACACAGGCCTTGTGCTCCTGGAATCCCAGGTTATCATGTCTGGCCTCATTGCCCCTGAGACCAGTGAAAAGCTGTCTTTGGAGGAGGGCCTAGCCAGAAACCTCATTAATCCCCAGATGTACCAGCAGCTCCAGGAACTAGAGGATGCCCTGTCCTTAATCAGCAGGCTTACTGAGAACAAAGGCCCTCTTTCTGTGGTGGAAGCAATTGAAAAGAAAATAATCAATGAGAAAGTTGGACTGAAAATCTTAGAAGCTCACCTGGCAACTGGAGGTTTCAGTCTCCCCCCTGATGAGAACTGTATTAACCTAGAGGAGGCTTTTCACCAAGGCCTCATTTCTGCCTGGCTTTACTCAGTGTTAGAGTCTCACCTGAGATCATCCAAGAACTTGATAGACCCAAACACAGCTGAGAAAATCGGTTTACTGGATCTGATGAGGAGATGTATTGTCTACCAGGAATCAGGGTTGAAATTGCTGCCTGTCAAGCAATTGGCAGGGGGAATGGTGACCTTGAAATCAGGCCGGAAGGTTAGCATTTTCCGTGCAGTTCAGGAAGGGCTAATAGATAGGCAGGTCACTGTCCGGGTGCTGGAAGCTCAGCTTTTTGCTGGAGGCATAGTAGATCCAAGAACAGGACACAGACTTACAGTGGGAGAGGCTGTGAGACATAATTTGATTGACCAAGATATGGCCTGTGCTCTTCTCATAAGGCAGCTTCAGACAGGAGGCATCATAGACACTGTCACTGGGCGTAGGCTGACAGTAGATGAAGCAGTGAGCAATGATCTAATAGCTGCTAAGATTGCACTTGTGATTCTGGAGTCCCTTTGGTCATTCATGGGGTTGCTATGGCCCGAGTCCGGAGAGATTCTGCCAATTACAGATGCCCTGGAACAAGGTATTGTGTCTACTGAACTAGCCCATAAAATCCTTAGTGGCCGACAGCATATTAAAGCCCTATTTCTACCAGCAACCACAGAGATTTGGTCCTGGAAAAAAGCAGTAGAAAATGGTATGTTAGACAAAGATCTTGCCAATAACTTGAAGTCAATTTGTATCCCTGATGTGATGCCCCACATGCAATTGGCAGACTCTTTAGAACGAAGCAAATTGAACACGAATCCTGGAGCGGCAGGTGTGCTGTGTAGCAAGGGCCAAACTGAGGGCATCGCAAGCCATAACGAGAAGCTGCTGTTTCATCTGATGACTCACAGCTATATTAATGTGCGGGATGGACAGAGGCTGCTCCTGTTGGACAATGAGCTGATAGAGGCACTAACAGCAAGAGGTGATCAAGCAGGTCCTCCAGAAGTGTTTGGAAGTGGGCACCAGAGACTAGATGCTCCTGAGAAATTACAAGAATCGGTGAATGTGAAAATCACAGAAACTTTCTGTGATGGGCTGACTGTGAGGCCACATGAGTTCCAGTTTTCTTCTCAGAACAAAGAAGATCCCGATCAGGCAAATTGCACTGAAGCAAAAGGCAAAAAGACCATTGTAGAAACAGAAGAGAACACCAAAAGGGACCTGTTTGTAGGGCAACAAAAAGTGGGAAATCCAAATATTGATACTTTGAAGGTCATAGATAAAGTCAAGTCAGAGTTTAAAAGGCAGTTGTTAGATACCAAAAAGGAAGACCAAATAGAAGTGTCTACCAGAGAAAATGTCAACAAAGGATTTCTCCTTATGGTACCTCCTGAGGAAGCAGAAGATGTGACTTTGGTGGAGGACAAAGATCCTTTTCCTGTTGAATCACCAAAGGAAGAATGGCAGACTCTCAGAAAGACTTCCTTTATGTGTCAGAAAGAACAAGCAGACACACTGGAAACTGAATATACTCTAGGTGAAACTGGAAGACCTCTCATAAAACCCCAAAGCAGAAAGTCACAATTTCAAGTAGAGAAAGCTCTAGTTTTAGAATCGGAACTAAAGTCTGAAAAGGATAAGAATATTCATCTGGGCAGAAAGAAAGCATTAAATAAGACTTGTTTGGGTAGGGATGACCATAAACAAAGTCCAGAAGGACACAGCATGGCAGGTGGTGGTATGATGTTGTTAGAAAAGACAGACAAGGAAGCTAATGGCAGTGAAACTTCCCTGTCATGCAGTCATCCTTCAGAGTTGCTTGAAGAAGCTACCTTAAATATATTATCTACACAATTACTAGAGGGCGGTATCTTTCATGAACAGACAGGTCAAAAACTCTTACTAAATGAAGCAATAGCCCGAGGCCTTGTGCCTAGTCACACTGCTGTGAAACTTTTGGGAAAGCTGAACATGTTTCGGGGCTTCTTTGACTCTCAGACCTGCGAGTCTTTGAAAACTGAAGAAGTCATTGATGAAGGTCTAATGGATGAGAAATTGTTACACAATGTCCTCATGGCAGACAAAGCTATAAGTGGTGTCTTAGACCCTCGTACCCACACACTCTGCTCTGTGAAGGAAGCAGTTGCCATTGGACTTCTTGACACACAAACAGCCACCAGAATTTTAGAGGGGCAGGTGGTGACTGGTGGAATTGTTGACCTGAAACGAGGCAAAAAGGTTTCAGTAACTTTGGCCTCAAATCTTGGCTTGGTGGACAGTGCTGACCAGACAGAGCTTATAAATCTGGAGAAAGCTTCTAAAGGCAGAGATGCTGAAAAAGCAGTTAGAGAGAGATTAATTAGCTTACAATTGGAAACAACTGGAATTATGGACCCTGACAGCAAAGCCCCTTTAACAGTTGTGCAGTCCATTGACAGAGGGCTTTTGGAGAGGGATGAGGCCATGCAGTTGTTGACAAAGCAGGTGGTAGATGGAGGTATCATTCACCATATATCTGGGATGAGACTTTCTGTTGATAGTGCCTTTAAACATGGCATTATTGATGAAGATTTAGCCGAGCAACTCAAAAAAGTTGAGAGCTTAAGCCTCCATCAGTTCTCTCATCCTGAAACAAAGGAAACTATTTCCCTCTCTGAAGCCATAAAATTAGATCTTGTTACCCCGGACTTGAAGAGAGAAATCCAAGAAATTCAGGCCTTGACTGGAAGCTTTATAGATCTCATTTCTGGCCAGAGATTGACCTTGGCAGAAGCTGAAAAAGAAGGACTCTTAACTAATAAAGAAATGTTGTCTTCAGGAATGATGAATGGGATTATAGATCCTGAGAATTACAGAATTGTTCCCTATGCAGAATTAGTAAAAAAGTGTAAGATTGATATTGAATCTGGACAGAGGTATCTAGAAGTAATCCCCTTCTCAGACATTAAAGATGGAGCAAGTGACAAAGTACTTACATTGTCTCAAGCAGTTCAGCTTGGAAAAGTAGATTTTGCAGCTACACTGAAGGTTCTGGAAGCTCAGGCAAATGCTGGAGGAATTATAGACACTGCCACGGGGAAAAGATTGACATTGGCATCAGCTTTGGAACAGAAATTAGTGGATGAAAGCATGGTCCGAATTATTGCATCCCGTCAGGTTTTAGATGGAGGAATTATTGACATATTTAATGATCAGAGAGTAACTTTAAAGGAAGCTATTGAGAAAAGACTTATTAGCCCTGAACTGGCAACTATAATCCAAGTAGATACCTTCGAGTCCTGTGATCACCAGGCTCAGAGTGAAAAGCAAGATGGAAGTGAAGTATGTGAACTAAAGAAAGAATTTCTAAGAAAGGAAATGTTAATTGCTTGCAGTCAGACTGCTGAAATGAGTTGTGGTAAAGGAGAAAGTGAGAAATTATTTCAAATTGAAAACCAGTCTGCACAGAAAAAGGTTAAAGTGAGAGTTTCTAATGGGGAGCAGGCAAAAAAGAGCAGGGAAATTTCATTAAAGGAATTGGAATGCAAGGGTCAGGTTAGGAGATCTTCTCGAGGTGCTAAAGAATCTTTCAGTGTCATAATTTCTAGTGATGGTAAAGGTAAATCATTGGGCCAAAGTTCAGTGACACACCCTCACTCAGAAATTTGTGATTTGAACCCCAAAGAGGTGGCTTATAATACCATGGAAAAAAATACAAATGAAGAGCAAGAAAAAACAATGGCACAGACAGAAATTATTTCTCAAATGAAACAGTTTATATCAGGTCTAGATTCTAAAGAAATAAGGGAAAACCAAGGAGAAATTATTTCAGAAGTACAAGAATCAAATTGTGAAACTCCGGGCAAATTGCCTAGTCAGCAGGTTATGCAGAAACCAGTGAAAACCAGGGAGAAAGGTAAGAGAGGAAAGAGGGAGATGACTGTAGAAGAAAGTGTCAAAACACGCAAACCAGCAGTTCTTCCAGAAGAAAAGCTGAATCAGGAAACTGCCATTAGAGATGACCATGACTCTAATACAGAGAGTCAACCTGTGGAAATAACTATAAGTGAAAAAGGGAAAGAAACTGATGGGGAGCTGGGATTTTCTGTTGTTGGTGAAGCTGAAGATTCTTCTTCCCAAATGATACCCAAAGGAATTTCTGTAAGAAATCAAGATGCTTTAACATTCTTCAACTCTAATCAGGTCAGTGAAGGCGATGTGAAAAATTTAAGCCTCTGCTTGACTTTAAAACCAGAAGAAAATTTATCTCAAGAAGTTACTGTTGGGACCCAGAGTGAAATACTCTCTTCTTTGACCCCACAACCTGAAGGATTGTGCTACCAGGAACCAGTTGGAGAAGCCCAAGTTGCAAACACATCCCCAATTTTCACAACAGAGAAGTCTTTCCGAGGAACCACCAGACAGGAGACCAGTTATCGTCAAGATTCTTGTGTTACTTTTAAGATTAGGGAAACCAAAGATCTGACTTTCTCATCTAACGAAAGTAAAGAAAAATCATACCAAGAAGTACCTTTTGACTCAACAAGCACTGTTAAATTGGAAGAAATTAGAGTAGGCTCCAAAGATGTCAGTTATTTGGAATTCGCAGACAGAAAGGACCTTCGTCCTCAGGACAACAAAAGTGATGGTGAACGTTGCGGAATTCTTGAATCTAAAATAGTAACAACTCAGGAAATAACAGGGGAGAAATTTCTAAAACTGTCAGTCCCTATAGTTACAGGTGCAGAAGCAGGGTCCTTTGAAGGCATAGTGACTCAGGGAGTTCCCAGAGTTTCAGTGTCTCTTCTCCCAGAGAAACTGTCCAAAGATGTATCTCGAAAAGAGAGTACAGGACAAGAGGATGCCACCATTAGTCCTATTCCAGAAACCCGTGAAGAAGAGATGGTACCCCTAATATCATACCCCACAATGAAGATGGATGAGAAAACACCACAGGAGAAACTCAGAAAGAGCTCAGAGCCTGGCAGTGAACAAACCCCCTTCATGACTGCACCGGGGGGAACGAGTGTGAACCCGGAGCCCTTCAGGGCTACCAAAGTAAGTTACCCAATGGTGTGTTTGTGTGTGTGTGTGTGTGTGTGTGTGTGTGTGTGTGTGTGTGTGTGTATCTGTTATAGCTAATTTCATGCTAAGACTCTTGACAAGATACTGAGTTTTCATGTGTATAATTGTATACATACATACACTTCAGGGCACTAGATGATTCTCTAAGATATAACTTAGTTCATCATCATCTGTAACATAGTTGTTGGAAAATTAGGCAGTGGCTCTGAATGTCTTTCTGAAATTTGCAAGGGTTCTAAGTTAGACACTAACATTGAAGCTAATTTAAAATACTGAGGCTATGGTACCTGAAGTCAGAATAGGTTTTGAAAGTTTTGCTAAAATGATGCTTATAGATTGATAATTTAGAGCTTCTGCTCCCTGAGGAAATATAATAAAATCACTTTTTTGTCTATTGATTTGAGACAATTTAGACAAAATAACATATTTTATTTCATTCCACCCAATGTGTAGTAAAAATTTCTATTCTATTCTAAGACCCTGCCTGCTTAAAAAGCAGACTTAAAGGAGTATATCAGATTTGAGTGAGTTTTCTTTTTGGCTCCACAGAATGTATTTAACCGGCAGCTCTGCCTAGAACATGATGAGAAGTTGGTATCCTATCTGTCTCTATTACGAGACATTGAAATGAGGACCAAACAAATTCAACCTCTAGAGCTAAATCTGGCAGAGCTACAGGATCTGCTGTGTCAGGCCAAGGTAGGTTCCCAGAGACTTCCTCCAGGCCCATCGGCGTGGAGAAAATAAAGACTATTCAGGAAGAAAAACGTGTTCAAAAACACTACCATTTAATGGACAAAAAATAGATTGGAAAAGTGTAACTAGAGATCTATGAAGAACACCAGGGAGTACTAGTCTCACAAAAGCCAAAGCAGAAGAGACTCAAGGGAGGAGTAGTCGGCAGTGTTAAATGCAGTAGGGAGACTGAGTACAGTGAGGACTAAAAGGGGGTTTAGTGCCTGAGAGTTGCTGGGGACCTTGATAAGAACAGTTACAGTGGAGTCATGGGATATAAACTAGGTTGCATTGAGAATAAACGGGAGGTTGGAAGGTGTGGACAATTAATGTATGTCATTCTTTGCAGAAGCTTGATAGTGCAGGCAAGGGAAGAGAGGTAGAACACTAGCTAGAGGAGATGGACTAAAAGAGGAACGTTTTGAGTGAATTTTTAGGCTGAGTAGAAAGAACCAATAGAAAAGGAGAATTTGAAGTTAGAGGAGAGAGGAAGTGCTGACTGGTGGAATGAGGTCCCTGAGGACATGGAAAGACATAGACTTAGACAGCCTTGAGTGGGAGGAGGAATAGCTCTTTGAAATTGGAGGCTGAGAGTTGTCACAGGATTGGAGTCACGATGAGGACAGAGATTGTAGAGGTTTACCAGTTCTCTCAGTATCTAGAGTATGGCCTTGGGCAGGGGGGCTGAAGGGGAAATGAGGATGATGCCCAGAACAACTACCAAGCTCTTCCACAGCTGGTTTCTGGCTTCTCTACTGAGGAGTAGCTGAGTGGGAAAGCTGGCTTGGGATATTTTTATATGCATTGGTTCTGTTCCCTTGGGCTTTGGAGTGGAAGACTTGTCCTTTGATTGACTTATATTGCATAACATTATTTAAAGCATAATGACACATATACAAAATAACATATACTTCTGCTCTGTTCTTGGAGAGGCAGCAAGTTGTAGTGCGAGGAGCATTGCACTGAGTCAGAAAACCTGAATCCAAGTCTTGGCTCTCTTGCTTACCAGGTGGGCGACCTCAGGGGAAAACAAATTCACATTTTTAAGCACTGAGGCATCTCTACTGTAAACCCAGGATAATAATATCTACTCTGCCTACTTCAAGAATTACTGTGAGCACCAAATAAACTAGTGAATGTCTATAAAAACATTTTATAAACCCTAAAGCCTGGGTAGGCTTGAGGAGACAGAAAAATGTGTTCACAGCTGATTCCTAGACAGCAAGATTTCTAGTCTTGATTTTGGAGGTAACTCCACTGTATGCCTTCAGGTGGTAGACAGGGAGCTAAAGGATCTGTCCACGGTGGTGAGTCAGGAACTGGAATGTGTGAATCAGATTATCATCAGCCAGCCTCAGGAAGTCCCAGCTCAACTGTTGAAGGCTCTAGAAAAAGATGCCAAGAATCTTCAAAAGTCCCTCAGCTCTGTGAGTGACACCTGGGGTTCCAGACTACTCCACCTCCAGAATGCTGCAGAAGTAAAAAAGGTAGCTTCTTGTTTTTATTCACAAAGGCTCACAAACTCTCGGTAGGCTTGGAGAATTTTATTATCTAATTTGCCATTTATTTCTTAGACTAGAGTTTTAAATCAGTATGAACAGCTAGAAGGCAAACTTCAAGATCTAAGAGCCTGGGTTGGCAATACCCATCTTATTCTGAACAACAAGGAGCATGTCGATGAAACAGATGCCATCAACAGCCTGAGTCACCATCTCCAACAGTGTGAGGTAAGCACTCCACCAGTTCTCGAGCATGTTTCATTTGTCCTTTTGAGTTGTATCAATTTTATTTCTCTGCTAGGCAAACTGGTGTCTGTACTTGCCTTTCTGAGAAAGTCTGACTTTCCATTTGAGAAATAAAGTCAGCTACGTTTAGTTTTTAGTTTTTTTGCGGTACGTGGGCCTCTCACTGTTGTGGCCTCTCCCGTTGCGGAGCACAGGCTCTGGACACGCAGGCTCAGCGGCCATGGCTCATGGGCCCAACTGCTCCGCGGCATGTGGGATCTTCCCGGACCGGGGCATGAACCCGTGTCCCCTGCATCGGCAGGCGGACCCTCAACCACTGCGCCACCAGGGAAGCCCCCATGACTCTTTTTGAATTATGGTTTTCTCAGGGTATATGCCCCGTAGTGGGATTGCTGGGTCATATGGTAGTTCTATTTTTAGTTTTTTAAGAACCTCCATACTGTTCTACATAGTGGCTGTATCAATTTACATTCCCACCAACAGTGCAAGAGGGTTCACTTTTCTCCATACCTTCTCCAGCGTTTATTGTTTGTAGAATTTTTGATGATGGCCATTCTGACCGGTGTGAGGTGATACCTCATTGTAGTTTTGATTTCCATTTCTCTAATGATTAGTGATGTGAGTATCCTTTCATGTGTTTGGTTGTTTTTTGATATTGAGCTGCAGGAGCTGTATATTTTGGAGATTAATCCTTTGTCAGTTGCTTCGTTTGCAAATATTTTCTCCCATTCTGAGGGTTGTCTTTTCATCTTGTTTGTGGTTTCTTTTGCTGTGCAAAAGCTTTTAAGTTTCATTAGGTCCCATGTGTTTATTTTTGTTTTTATTTCCATTTCTCTAGGAAGGTGGGTCAAAAAGGATCTTGCTGTGATTTATGTCATAGAGTGTTCTGCCTATGTTTTCCTCTCACACGCCAGCTTTGATCAGTGATCTAGAGCATGGGTTTGCAAACTTTTTCTATACAGGGTTAGATAGTAAATATTTTAGGCCTTGCAGGTGACCTGTTTCTGTGGCAGCCATTCAGCTCTACTGTTGAAACATGAAAGCAGCCATAGACAGTACATAAACAAATGGTTGTGGACATGTTACAATAAAACTTTATTTACGGGCTTCCTTGGTAGCGCAGTGGTTGAGAATCTGCCTGCCAATGCAGGGGACATGGGTTGGAGCCCTGGTCTGGGAAGATCCCACATGCCGCGGAGCATCTGGGCCCGTGAGCCACAACTACTGAGCCTGCGCGTCTGGAGCCTGTGCTCCACAACAAGAGAGGCCGCGATAGTGAGAGGCCCGGCACCGCGATGAAGAGTGGCCCCCGCTCACCGCAACTAGAGAAAGCCCTCGCACAGAAACGAAGACCCAACACAGCCAAAAATAAATTAAAAAAAGTGAAATTGGAAAATATGAACTTATTTTATTTAAAAAAAACCTTTATTTACAAAAACAGGTGGCAGGCAGGTTTGGCTCGGGGACTGCAGATTACCGACCTCTGATCTCGAGAGATGGTTTTCTTTTTGTCAAACTCCCAAGTTATGTGATTCTTTTTATAAGTCAGTGAGAGAAAGTTAAAGATTCTGAGATACATATGAGCTGAGGATTCTCCCCCCCCATCCCCACTTCCAACATTGTTGTTTCTTTTGGTTATACTTAAAGTAATATCAGGTGATACTCACGTTGGTTTATCCATGCTCTGCTATAGATCTTCCTCTCCTAAAACTCTTTCTAAAGTCAGAGCAGAACTAGAGATGTTCCCTCCTATTCCATCCCCTTCATTTTCCCCAGTCTTAGGAGATACAGACCTAAATGTTGTCTGTGGTCAGGCTTCCTTGTATGCAAGCTCGTCCCTCTTTATCTTGCAAGAGTTGGCCTGCCTTCTTCTTTCATAGCCTTTTATCCAAATATACCATTGGAGGAATGAGTAGCAGACTTTATCTGTTCACGGGCAGAGTACTAAAAGAAGCAAGGGTGAGAACAATTTCTAAGATACAGTATGAGATATGAAAACAGAGCATCTCATGCATTGGGATCCTTGCCTAGTTATACAAATTCTGTTATAGAAAGAGAGCCACAGCCTAAGCCTCATTTTCCTTAGTGACAGTTTCCCAAATCCATGTGTTCACACATGAAGGAAGTATAGTCTTGTGATAAATATCTAGAAGCCCTCCTCCCAGCCTGCTCTTCAAGATTGCTGACTACGCTCAATTTCAAAGTGATAGATGTGTAGATATCTTACTTGTTTTTATGTTTTTTATTGCATCCAGTATAACATAGTTGATGATCACTAAATGTTTGTGGGAAAATTGCATGCTTTTTAATGTCTAAAAACAGATAAATTCTAGTGTTTAGGCAGTTTTCTACTGCTTTAAAGAAGCAATGTAACTATTATATAAGAAAGTCTGACTGTAATCCTTTACAGTTTTAAAATGTGTAAGCAACATTATTTACTCTAAAAGTCAAATTTCAGTGAACCAAAAATAAATTGAATATTTTCTCACTTCTGGCCTACCAGGTACTCAGGGCTAGACAAATACAAATAGGTATTTGAATCTAAGAAAATACAATTAGACAGATATATCTCAGACCAAAAATTCATGTTATACTTTCCAAAACTTAAAAAAATACATTTTTTCACAGACACCTGGGATTAGCTGTACTGTAATTCTGTTACTATAAATAATTGAAAGCTTAGTGCATTTAGAAATCAAGGGCTAGCAGAGGAAACCTAACTGTAGTATGTGAGGGGTTTGGAGAGGCCAGAAGTGAGAGAGACTTCGGTTTGGCCCTAGAAATTATCAGTGTCAGTTATAAAAATGCAAGAAATTAACCTCTGTTTGATCATGTTGATTCTTTGATTAGAACCAACAGCTTCTGCTTCTACAGAGAATAAGAAGTTTCTTTTCTTTTTTCTTTTTCTTCCTTTCCCCACTTACCTTAGGATTTGAAACAGCCCATGGCTGAGAGGAAATCTCAGCTGGATGCACTTGCCTTTGATATTCAGTTCTTTATCTCCGAGCACGCCCAGGACTTGCCTCCTCAGCAGAACCGACAGATGCTAAGGCTTCTGAATGAACTGCAGAGGTCCTTCCAGGACCATGTGGATCGGACCACAGCCCAGGTGGATGCCTTGCAAGGCCGTCTTCAACAGATGGAGCAGGCAGCCCGGCTTAAGGTCAGGCTGAACCAGAAGCTGGGCTCAGTTGGTCTCTGGGATGTCCTCTATCTTTGGGTTTTCTGGCCAGAGTCCGTTTGTCATGATTCCAGGAGCCTGCGTTTACCAGTTTTGATTGGTTCAGGCCAGTTTGGTTCTAGTCCAGGAGGCAGCTCTTCTGGCCGTTTTTCTTGCCGTGTTTTTGGTTTTATGTGTGTGTGTATGAGAGAGAATACGTGTGTTTACATGTGTATGCATGTGCAAGCGTTTTCTTTTTAGTGAGACTCTACTGTCACTGTGTCTCACAGTCTCTGACTTTCAAATGAAAATTTTATCCCTAGCCCTTATTTCTCCTACTCTCTCCGTCAGCATTCTTTTGAGGACTGTTAGGAACATTTAGGTACTCTGAGCTCTTGAGAAGAATGGTCCTGAAATCAGTTTTATTCTGGGGCTTTTCAAATGATTAACAGTAAGATTCCTTGACCACCTTCAAACAGCTGACAAAAAGATTTTTATCAGAATCATATTAATTTTTTAGCACATTTGAAATTATTATTTTCTAGCACCGTTCTTTACACTGTTGTGCCCAGTTCTTATTCAGTTATTGGAAAACTGTGTGTAGAAACACTCTTGATACATTTTGGGGGGTGGGGAGAAACAACTAATCATCTCACCACCTTCTATCACAAGCCTCTTCTTGCAGGACTCAACATAATTGCATTAATGGTAACATCATAACCTTATAATACCAAGAATGATGCTTATGCCATTTCTGCTGTTTGAATAATAAGTTGGAATTCAGCAAGATGATACTAGAATTGTCCTTGTCATCAGCAAAACTGTCTCAGGGTCTCTTTTATTAAATATTGTGCAAAGTAGAATTGAGCTTTTGAGTCAGGCTTAAAGGATATTAAAGGCTTAAAGTCAAGTCTATATGTCCCTTATTACTGCTTAGTTGTTTCAACTGTATTGAATATGAAGTAAAATACTAATGAAATAGGTTACCTTCCATATCTGGAAATTTGCAGTGTCCTCACTTGGGAATTTATATAGCCTGGTGTAGCTTATGGATAATTAACGAAATAGCATTGGTCTGGGCCACCTTAAGACACAGCCCACATCCAGGATAGGCTCCTGAGCTGCAGAAGGTGATACAGTTGCATGTGAACATTCTCTCTAAGTGTGTAATTAATTCCACAATGTTTATTAACCTTGTTATTGTCAGAAATGCTCTGCTTCTCTCTATATTTGCCCTGAATGCATGTGTATGTCTGTGTGTTAACTTGTTTGCTTTGCTTTTTCAGATTCAGTCTGCACCCATCCTAACCCATGAAGATCCTGTTTTACAGCTGAAGAACTCTTAGGAGTTCTCTTCCAGAGCCCTTCTATTTGTCCTAAAGAGGGGGAGAGAGGGCCAATTTGGGCACCTGTTTGTAAGTGCAGGTGACTAAAACACCATCAGAAGGTAGAAACTGGTGGAAAACGGTTCTAGAAGGATGGTCAGGAGAACACATCATGCTCAATTGCTCAATCAGGTGCTTCAGTGTCATGCGACTGAGAGGTCTGGAGAAAGGATCAGGCACAGAAGCGTACTCCCTCCTCCCCTTGGGCTGGCTTTTCTCTTGGGTAATGGTATAGACACCTGAAGGACTGAGCCCGTTGCTATTCTGGGGCAGTTCCCTTCTCAAAATAGCCAAGCCCTTCATGCCTGGCACGTAATCATTCCATTTAATGGGTGTCTGCATTTGTGAGATATTTGATCTATATAAAATCAGCTCAATTACTAAGAAACTCAATTAGCTGATAAATTATCCAGTTTCTTGATTTTTACTCCTTGCCTAGTCCTTCTAATTTTCCATATTATGACTTAACATGTAGTGTATCATCCAATTCCAGTAGAATTGATCAGAACCACTAATTTATTATTACCACCAATATCATCTGTGGATTTTAAGCATCTGGGCTCTCTGTTCTCCATTTCCAAGGATAATAACAGCAGTCTGGCAAAGGAGCTTCCAGACCAATACCTGGGAGCGTTCTCACCCCAAATCACCCCTGATTATAATCCCGACCATAGCCCCAGATTAACAGACGATCCAATTGAGGGGAGCTTTCTGAATATGATTTCTGTGCCTTTTTCTCCTCTAGTCTCCCACCAACTTTTCCATCCTTGAGATATAACCTTCCTGTTTTACATTTCAGGGAGTTATCTTGTATTTATAAAATGAGAATCATTAATTGTCTCTTGGCCCCTTTGCATTTTAATTAGACCCTGCAGAAACAACAAAATACCTGTCACCAGAAACTGGAGGATCTTTGCAACTGGGTAGGACAGGCAGAAAGAGCATTGGCTGGCCATCAAGGTAGAGCCACCCAGCAGGATCTCTCTGCTTTGCAGAAGAACCAAAGTGACTTGAAGGTCAGTAACAGTTAACTCATTTTTTTCATTCCTTCAAGTATTTATAAAGGCTTGCTATGTGCCAGGCACAGTGCTTAGTGCCAATAACATAATGGTAAACGTCCCTGCTCTCATGAAGCTTACAGTGTGGTGGAAAAGACAGACATTACACAAATAATCACAAAAATGAACATACAATTTATTCAGTATTGTATCTATAAAGGAAAAGTTACATGCGAACATATAACAGAGAGACCCAGTCTTGACTTGGTTATCAAGATTACCTTAAAGAAGTGTCACTTAAACTGAGGAACAGAGGGTACATAGGGGTTGATGCATGAAGGTGTGGGAGGAAGAAGAAAATTGCCAGGCAGAGGCCTGTACATCAGTCTGGAGGTGGGAATGGGGTCGAGCACAATGTATTCAAGAGCTGAAAGAAAGCTAGTTCAATTGGACTGCAAAGAAGAAAAGGAAGATTAGTGAATGATGAGTCTGGAGAGTAGGACCCAGATCACTCTGGGCCTTATAGGCTCATGAGGATTAAGGAGTGATAACCAAGAGAGTTATAAAGGACCAACCAGGCCTCAACTCCGGTAGAATCCTGTTGTCAACTCTTCTTTATGGAAGAATGATCTCTTTGAGGATAACTCATTGCAGAATAAAAATCATGTTTATGGGCGGTCTGGTTTTTTTGTCTTCACTAAATATCTTCTTAGAAATTTAAATTTAAATTTTTCTTAGAAAATTAAATATTAAAAAAGTTTCTTAATTTAGAAGCATTTAAAATTTTATTATCTCCATTGGTTTAGGCATAAACCTTAAGCAAATTATACTCAGGGACATACGTCAATTGCAGATAATGTCATCCTAGTCATTCGTCTTCATGCTGTTGAGAGGTCTTAGAAGTTCTAAAGTTGAAGCCTCTGCCATCCTGTTTTCATATGTTAAGGATTTACAGGGTGACATTCAGAATCATGCCACCTCATTTGCCAGTGTTGTCAAAGACACTGAAGGGTTCCTGGAAGAGAACCAAGCTAAGCTGAGCCCCCATGAGTTGACAGCTCTCCGGGAGAAACTTCATCAGGCTAAGGAGCAGTATGAGGCTCTCCAGGAAAGGACGAAGCTGGCCCAGAAGGAGCTGGAGGAAGTGGTGACCTCAGCCTTACAGCAGGAGACTGAAAAGGTAACCAGACTGCTGTGATGCTTGGTATTTTTCAAAAAAGAAAATTTTGGTACCTACACAAATAAAAGGTAATGAAGGGAAACTGCTTTACAGAGAGCATAGAATCACAAAAAAGGGTTAATTCCGAAGCAGATCTGTGAGCCAATACTTATTTTTATAAGAAACATCCTGAAGGACTTTAAGTCAGGAATAGTTGGTAGTAAGTTCATATTCCAAATCATCGCCATCATCATCATCATCATCCTTGGGGAAAAAGCAAATGGCATATTTCTAACCTGAATCTGGACTGGTGATCCAAGGGTACTAGTGAAAATACCTGGACAGTCTTAATGGGCCACAAGCTGTCCTCAAGCTGCCACTATAGTTTCAGTGGGAAGACATGGCACTGGGATAAACCTAAAAGAAGATAAAGTCGCATGGTCTTCTGCACCCCACTCAGCACTGGCTTATTGAATCAAAGTTCTTTTTCTGGCTGTGAACTTGTACACTAATGAGGGAGGTAGAGAATGTGGAAAGAGAAGTAAGTTACCTGAAGGTGAATTCTGAAATACATGAATATATCACTTGGCATAACCTGTTTTATTAAAGTACTTGAAGAGTCAGAAAATAGAATTTGAGAGACAAGTTTCAGAATTCAGTGCTCTACTTGGCAGAGAAAATGCTGGGAGTAGTCTGCATTTTCCTTAAGGAAGAACAGAAAGGTAATTGAGTGTGACTGTGCTATTTTTTTATCCTACCAAGGCAGTGTATAACTTCTGCGTACCTAGAAAGGATTCCATAAAGCTTGGAGGTGCTAGGACTAAATCATCTCTTAACAAAGCCCTTTCAAATCCTGGGATTTGCCGCCCTCCTGCTCCTTTATTAAAAGCAGTGAGATATAGATCAAATTTAGGGATTGTTTTAAATTATTTTTCAACAGATTTAGAAGCTGCTTATTTTTCTCTGTGGATGCAAAGACTGTTTATACCCAGCCTTAGAGCTGCTGCTGCTTTTTTTTTTTTTTTTTTAAGCCTAAATGTCTTCCCCTTTACTTAACCTTTGGTTCATAGCTGAGTATCTAAGGCCTTCTCACTAGACTCCCCCTGTGGCTTTCAGAGTAAAGCAGCAAAGGAACTGGAAGAGAACAGGAGTAAGATCGATGCTCTCTTGGATTGGCTGACTTCCCACCCAGTGGGATCATTGGGTGGACAGATGGAGCAGGTCTCAGGAGGTAACCTGGAGAAAGGAGCCTTGGATACCACTGATGGTCACATGGGGGTGACCCAAGCCCCAGAGACGCTGGACAAGCAATGTGAGAAGTTGAAGGTGAGCATGTTAGCTTGTTCTTACAATGCTGGGTGAATCTCTGCTGCCCTGGGCAAGTCACCATAACCTCCTGCCCTAAGTCCAGTGAGCACTTCTCAGTTCATATCTTCTTTGATTTCTCAGTGGACTTGACAGTCTTGACCACTCCCCTTGAAATAGTTTCTCGCTTGTTTCCATAGCACTATCTGCCCTGATAATCCTCCTCCCTTTCCTCTGGCCAGCTTTTGAAATACTGATATGCTTCCAGGTTGTAGCCTAGGCCTCTTCTCGTCTTTCAGAATATATTTTCCTTGGGTAATCTCATCCACCCACGACACCTCACTTCCCATTTGTACTAGTGGTTTCCATGTATATATTTGTCTCCAGCCCAGATGCCTGCCCTGAGCTTCAAACCAGTGTATAAATCCATCTGCCTATTTGCAGCTTGGAACCACAAGCACCTCAACCTGAGAACTAGACCTCCTATTTTCTAAAATACCCCTCCCCCACTGAACATGTTCTCCTTCCTATATTCCCACTTGCTTGCCTGGACTAAACATCACCCTAGATTCCTTTCCTTCCCTCACTCTCCCATATTGAATCAGTCATCAAACCCCACGCTTCTTATAGCTCTTTTAAAATCATCCACACGTTTTTATCTCCATCGAGATATTAATTGCAGTTCAGACTGCTATCAGCTCTCACTTGTGTTATAGTAACTTCTGGTCTCCTTGACTCTTGGCTTTTACCCTCCAATCCATTCCCACACTATTAAGTGATCTTTTTAAGATGCTGTGTCCCTGCTTAACCCTTTTAATAGTTCCCTGCTGCCCTTAGGAAACTATTTCTTACTCATCTCTACTCATCTATTTATTCAGCAAATATTGAGGGCCTGATGCATGACAGGTATTGGAGATAAACCAGTGAACCAGCCAGATCCACCATCTCCAAGACATTAACTGACATATGCAGGTATATTGTATTACATGATTGAAAGACTATTCAGGGAACTTAGAAGACACACGGATCACATACGTTAGTGATCCCTTTGTAGCGTACAAAACTGGTTTAGCTGACATGCTTCTGTTGAACAGCCTGTGTGGGCCATTGCCTTATTTTGTATTCATAGGATTTCTGCCTCTTGCATGCTGCTTCTGTGCTTGGAAGATCCATTGTAGTGTGTACCCTAAAGCCACGGCAGTCTTGGCACAGAGCAGAAATGGTCCTGCTGTCACAGGGGCTTCCTGATACTGCTTGCTGGCAGCTCCATCTAGGAAGGACACTGTCTTACCTGTGGGTGGATGAGAGTGGGGACATCTGGGCAGTATACAGACAAGCTGTAGTACTGTCCCTTACTGTCTCTTTGAGCAGGATATATTTGTCACCCCAGCTTCCCTGAGATGACGTCAGAAGCTGAAGCTATCAGGTTGCTATTGTCCTTCTCTAGGGAGTTGCATAAACAGTATGGATAGTTAAGAACACTTACTGAGCTCCCAGCGACTTCTGTTAGACTCAGGAAGAACATTTTAGGAACAAAACCAAGCAACCACAACTGTCCTAAAAGAACTTACGTTCCACTGAAACAGAAAGAAGGTCTACATGTCTGTACATAGACATAACACATACAAATAAAACGTACAGATTACCTGTACTATCCAGAAATACAGTCTATTCTCACTAATATACAAATTGTTTATTTAAAGAATTAATTTTCCAACATTTTTTCTAGTAGGGACAGTCATCAAGGATATGTGAATGACATATTTCACAGCTTAGCATTTGCAGTTTTTATGCCGTCATATGTATGACTTATGCAGCTTACTGTCTCCTTCCATCAGCGTGGGTAGTTTTAGTGGGCCATTTGTACCTTCTCTTAGATCTGGGGTAGTTTAGTGATGAAGAGAGTCAGGTTCAAGTCACAATTTGTCCCTTAACTATCTGCATGACCTTAGTCAAGACATACAACACCTTTTTGGTATTAACTTATCCCATCCTTGATATGGGAATTATATGGTCGGCCTACACTACAGATGGTGGCACTAGTATTATGAGATAATACATGAAAACTGTCAGATCCTAGATGAGTCAGTTCATCTGGGATTAGTAGATAGCATAATGCATAGAGAGTGAGAGATATTAATGATTTCTGAGCAGCTGGAAAAGTGACCTATTGAGATCTCTCCCTACTTCTAGCCGTAGACATAAACAAGTTATTGTGGTTTCCCTACTGATTGTCCTTTGTTTGGGGGGATTTTTGCCAGGCTCGTCACCAAGAATTGCTGTCTCAGCAGCAAAATTTCATCCTGGCCACCCAGTCTGCTCAGGCCTTCCTGGACCAGCATGGCCACAATCTCACACCCGAGGAGCAGCAGATGCTGCAAGAAAAGCTCGGAGAACTAAAGGAGCAGTATGTGACTTCCCTGGCCCAGTCAGAGGCAGAACTGAAGCAGGTGCAGACACTACGGGATGAGCTGCAGAAGTTTCTGCAGGATTATCGAGAGTTTGAAAACTGGCTGGAACGGTCTGAGAAAGAGCTGGAGAATATGCACAAGCGAGACAGCAGCCCCGAGGCCCTTCCCGCCCTACTCAAGCGACAGGGGAGTTTCTCGGAGGATGTAATTTCCCACAAAGGAGACTTGAGATTTGTGACTATCTCAGGACAGAAAGTCTTGGACACAGAAAACAGCCTTGAGGAAGGCAAAGAACCATCAGCAACTGGAACCTTAGTGAAGGACAAGCTGAAGGATGCAACAGAAAGATACAGTGCTCTCCATTCAAAGGTAGAGGAGAGGTTCCTGGCAGCCCCTGGTGAAACAGTCATGGCAGCCCTCACACAACTGTGGGTAGTTTCTGGGGCTTACAATACGAACCTCAGACACAGTGAACAAGCTGATTTGTAGATTGACCGTGGGTAGAATGAGTGTTTATGAGTTCTGAAAAATTGCAAAATATAGAGGCCCAGGGGCTCATGCCTGATCTGAGCAATATCCAGGGGTATGTCTCACTGCAGTGGTGAAGGTAGAAGTGCTCACCTCCCTGTGTCCTGACCAGCAGCCATGGCCTCGCAGGAGACAGAGCACAGGGAGACTTAAACCAAATACACAGTCTGTATTCCTGGACAGAACGTCTAGGGTAAATCCTTATCTTCCTCCCTATCAAAGAACTCCCTTTAGCTCCCAAGATACAGAATCCAGTCAGTTCTTCTTACCTGTTTTGTGCTTTTTGCCAACATCTTTCACCCCCAAAAGGAACACGTTTTGTACGTCTCAGTCCCCACCTTTGCCTGCCACCTGATGTATATTTCTTTGGTGGCTTGTCATACAACTAAACCTTCCCAGGTGTGTAATAAAGTGGAGGTGGATAGTATGGCTCAAACAGTCAGGACCCCACTTACAGAAAATGGTTGCTACCATCTATCTGTGGGGGCCCACACTAACCTTAACTGTAGTTACAGTCAGTTCCCTGTAACATAGCCAGAGCTCTTTGGACTGTGCCTGGGAAGCTGCTGCCTTTGGCCTGACCCACTTAAGTCTGCTTTCCCTTCTTTTTTTTTTTTTTTTTCCTTATGGCGCAGTGTGCACGACTGGGCGCTCACCTGAACTTGCTGCTAGGCCAGTATCAGAAGTTCCAGAGCAGTGCCGAAAGCCTGCAGGCCTGGATGAAAGCTTGTGAGGCCAACGTGGAGAAGCTCCTCTCAGAAACTGTTGCCTCTGACCCTGGGGTCCTGCAACAGCAGCTTGTGACCACAAAGGTGAGCCAATACACAAGCTGTTGTGCTGCATGGCTTAGAGTAGCTTCAGAGCGAAGCAAATGCTTGCATAGGTTAAAGGCGGTGGTTGGGATGCTGTGGACAACATATGATTCCTAAAAACTTTATTCTGATGTCTGTGGCTATGGATAAACAGAGTTTATTCTATAAAGCTGCTCAGTAGCTCTCAATCCCTAGAACCAGCTTTGATTATGCACTGTGATGGTTTTCTTTTGTCCTTTTTCATGGACAAGCAGCAGTTGCAGGAGGAATTGGCTGAGCATCAAGTACCTGTAGAAAAGCTCCAAAAGGTAGCTCATGACTTCATGGAAATTGAAGGGGAGCCAGCCCCAGACCACAAGCATGTTCAAGAAACTACAGGTATGAAGCAGCAATAGCCAGAGTGTTCCCCTAATTCCTAGTATGTGCCTCTGTTCTGTAACATATCACATTGTGTTGTACAAGTATCTGTGGTGCTAGCTAGGGGCTGTGGATATAAACACGAATAGCTCACCCTCTAATGAACTTTATTCTTACACCATACGAGGCCTTCACGGTCTGACTTCAACCTCTTTTCCCCAGGCACTCGCCTTCTAGCCACACCCGACTTCTTTCCTTTCCCAAGTCATTTCCTCATTACTTTACCCCTGAAGTTTTTCCTATTGCTTAGCTGCTAACATTTATTGAGTCCTTACCATGCATGATGAAATCTTGCTCATGCTTCAAGATGTAACCGGGAAGTTACTTCCTTTGTAAAGTCCTGACACCACCCCCGCCCCGACCCCCAAGAAGAAGTAAAAGATAAGAACTAATCATTCTTCCTTCGGGTTTCTCTAGTACAGTACTCCTAGTACCAATCTAGCACTTATGATTTTATTATTGTGGTTAGTTGATGTGCCTTCCACTACCTATGCTCTCTTTTAGAGTTTTAAGGTTTGTAAAAGGCAGGGACTTTATCATAATAATCTTTAGTCTTCAGCATCGAGCACAATTCCTGGCACTTAGTAGGTGCTAAATATATAATGCTTCTTGAATTTGGTTCAAATAGCGATGTATTTAGGCTTATTTTTCTTTCCGTTTGTCTTGATTTCTGTTGTTATTATAACTAACATGTACAATTTAAATGTTTTCTTTTTAAAGTGCAACACAAAAATTGTCCCCACTCTCTCTTCTCATGGCCTTGAATTTCCAGATTCCATACTCAGCCATTTCCAGAGCCTCTCCAGTAGCTTGGCAGAGCGCTCTGCTCTGCTGCAGAAAGCCATCGCCCAGTCTCAGAGCGTCCAGGAAAGCCTGGACAGCTTGTTACAGTCCATCGGTGAAGTTGAAAATAACCTGGAAGAGGAGAAGGTGGCACCGCTGTCATCAGGAGTCATACAGGAAGCCCTGGCCACTAACATGGTGAGACCTGCGCCCCAAGAGTTAGCATAGTGGGTATATTTGCCATGTTCCATAATGATATCATTTTGAAAAAGTATCAGGAAAAGAATTCATTTCCATGAATCTTCTAATAAGACTTAGAAATGTCGACTAATCCATGTAAAGGTTTGTCTACCCAATTTCCAAACCATTGGTAAGCTTGAGGAAAAGTGGTGATGGCAAAGTCACTGGTCACATGGGGTGGAGAACTGAGGGTATTGATGGTATTCTGAAGTTTCAGTTGCAATCCTCCAACCCTCCTTGAGGAGGTGAGCATGTAGTTAACTAGAAGCTTATTAGTTTGTGGCTCAGATATCCTGGAATAAGTGAGCCAGGAGCTGACAGACGTGTTCTTGATGACAGAAATTGAAGCAGGACATTGCTCGGCAGAAGAGCAGCTTGGAGGCCACACGTGAGATGGTGACCCGATTCACGGAGACGGCAGACAGCAACTCGGCCGCAGTGCTGCAGGGCAAACTGGCCGAGGTGAGCCAGCGCTTTGAACAGCTCCGGCTACAGCAGCAAGAAAAGGAGAGCTCCCTAAAGAAGCTTCTGCCCCAGGCAGAGATGTTTGAGCATCTCTCTGATAAGCTGCAGCGATTCATGGAAAACAAAAGTCGGTTGCTGGCCTCTGGGAATCAGCCAGATCAAGATATTGCACATTTCTTCCAACAGATCCAGGTAAGGATATATCTGCCAGATGGGCAGAATAAAGGGGAAAGAAAGGCAAGGAAAAAAAACATATTTACTGAACACATAATATGTCAGTCAATGCACTGGAAACTTTACCTGCATTGTCTTAAAGAATTCTCACAGCCATCCTGTAAGCTAGATATTGTTTGTTCATTTTTTAAAAACACAGACTAGATTTATTTTTCACTCATATTACATGTTCAACCCACATCAGCAGGAATACTTAGCTCATCAAGGTCACTCAGTCTTTCAAGTTGATGGAAACTTCATCCTGACATATGTTTTCACGATTACTACTGCAAGGGGAAGAGGACATATCATATCCATTTACATTTTATTAGTCAAAGCAAGTTTCACATGACCATAGCTGACTTTCAAGGGGGTGGAGAAATGTAATCCTACCATATATCTAGTAGGTGCAGAGCTGAAAATCTTTGGTGAAGAGTTATTACCTCCTGTAGATACAGATGTATATCCAGGAACAGAATTGCTGGGTCATAGTACCTGCCTGTACTTAATTTGACCAAGTAGTAGCTAACTTGAGCTCCAGAATGGCTGCACCTGCCCACATTCCCACCTGTAGTACCTCAACATGGTTGTATTCTCACATCGCTGCCTTGGGTTTATCCAACTATCTAACGTTTTCCATATTGTACTGCAATCTCATTGTTTTGTTTGGTTTGCTCTCCTAACTTTTTGCTTTTTGTTTTGAAAATTTTTAAACTTGAAAGTAAAAGGAACAGCACAATAAACATCAGCATACTTTCACCTGGATCTGCCAATTGCTGTTTTTTCTCTCTTTATAAATATATAAAAGAGTATCACTATGGGCTTCTATTTTCATTATCATCGTTGTTCTTTTTTATGCCCAAACGTTTTCAAATGTGGTCAGTGGGTGCCCCTTTAAGCTGTCTCCTGGTCTTTTTGACATGTCCCTACCAGTATATGAGTACTCTCTTACTTTCTGGCACAATAAGATGTGTCATGATCACCTTGTAGTTTCCCTGTCCCATACCTGAAATCACCTGTTTCTCCAAGGAGCCTTATTTTTACTGGGGAAGTGTAATTAGATATCAAAATCCAGATAAGTAGATGAGCCGTTAGGGTGTCATTGCTTCTAGGTCCCTTAAGTGGATAGGATTAGGAAATCTTGAAAGTTTTTTATATCATGTATTCATACTGATAATCCAGCTCGAACTCAACACCATAGGATTCTTCCTCCATTCCCTATTTGTGTCTTCCTCTGCTCACAGGGAGAACCCTCGTTTCCAACAACTTAATATATTATTTGCTATATCCTACAATAAAATAAGATCACTTTGGAATTACACTATTATTTCTACCAATAACAGACCTACTAAGTAAAATTCAAGATTTCTTTAGATTTCTTTTTGTCCTGAGACTCTGACCTACTGTATACTATGTTCAAAGTTACCTGAATTTTTTTTTTCCCTGTAATTTCTTACATAATTAGCTTTCTTTGTTTCTATTTGTATTCAACTCCAGGATTTTATTTTTCTTTGTAAAGTTTTATTTTTAAATATGTGAAACATTAAGAAAGCTCAGATTTTCCAAGACTGCTTTCTAAAGGATCAACAGTTGACTAAATTCTCATGGAATAATAATATCTATCTTGAAGAAACTATTTTGGGAATTAAAAAGTATCGGAGGTTGGAGATTGGTTCAAGATGGCGTAGTAGAAGGACGTGCTCTCACTCCCTCTTGTGAGAGCACCGGAATCACAACTAACTGCTGAACAGTCATCGACAGGAAGACACTGGAACTCACCAAAAAAGATACCCCATATCCAAAGACAAAGGAGAAGCCACAATGAGACAGTAGGAGGGGCACAATCACAATAAAAGCAAATCCCATAACTGCTGGGTGGGTGACTCACAAACCGGAGAACACTTACACCACAGAAGTCCACCCACTGGAGTGAAGGTTCTGAGCCCCACGTCAGGCTTCCCAACCTGGGGGTCCGGCAACAGGGGGGAGGAATTCCTGGAGCATCAGACCTTGACAGCTAGTGGGATTTGATTACAGGAATTAGACAGGACTGGAAGAAACAGAGACTCCATTCTTGGAGGGCACACACAAAGTAGTGTGTGCATCGGGACCCAGGGGAAGGAGCAGTGACCCCATAGGAGACTGAACCAGACGTACCTGCTAGTGTTGGAGGGTCTCCTGAAGAGGAGGGGGGTGGCTGTGTCTCACCAGCAGCAGAAGTTCTGGGAGGTACTCCTTGGCGTGAGCCCTCCCAGAGTCTGCCATTAGCCCCACCAAAGAGCCCGGGTAGGCTCCAGTGTTGGGTCACCTCAGGCCAAACAACCAACAGGGAGGGAACCCAGCCCCACCCATCAGCAGACAAGTGGATTAAAGTTTTACTGAGCTCTGCCCACCAGAGCAACACCCAGCTCTACCCACCACCAGTCCCTCCCATCAGGAAACTTGCACAAGCCTCTTAGATAGCCTCATCCACCAGAGGGCAGACAGCAGAAGCAAGAAGTACAGTCCTGCAGCCTGTGGAACAAAAACCACATTCACAGAAAGATAGACAAGATGAAAAGGCAGAAGGCTATGTACCAGATAAAGGAACAAGATAAAACCCCAGAAAAACAACTAAATGAAGTGGAGATAGGCAACCTTCCAGAAAATGAATTCAGAATAATGATAGTGAAGATGATCCAGGACCTCGGAAAAAGAATGGAGGTAAAGATCAAGAAGATGCAAGAAATGTGTAACAAAGACCTAGAAGAATTAAAGAACAAACAAACAGAGATGAACAATACAATAACTGAAATGAAAACTACACTAGAAGGAATCAATAGCAGAATAACTGAGGCAGAAGAATGGATAAGTGACCTAGGAGACAGAATGGTGGAATTCACTGTCTGTGGAACAGAAGAAAAAAGAATGAAAAGAAATGAAGACAGCCTAAGAGACCTCTGGGACAACATTAAATGCAACAACATTTGCATTATAGGGTTCCCAGAAGGAGAAAAGAGAGGGAAAGGACCAGAGAAAATATTTGAAGAGATTATAGTCGAAAACTTCCCTAACATGGGAAGGGAAATAGCCACCCATGTCCAGGAAGCACAGAGAGTCCCATACAGGATAACGCAAGGAGAAACACTCCGAGACACAGAGTAACCAAATTGGCAAAAATTAAAGTCAAAGAAAACTTATTGAAAGCAGCAAGGGAAAAATGACAAATAACATGCAAGGGAACACCCATAAGGTTAACAGCTGATTTCTCAGCAGAAACTCTACAAGCCAGAAGGGAGTGGCATGACATATTTAAAGTGATGAAAGGGAAGAACCTACAACCAAGATTACTTTACCTGGCAAGGATCTCATTCACATTCTATGGAGAAATCAAAAGTTTTACAGACAAGCAAAAGCTAAGAACCAGCTCTACCACAAAGGCTAAAGGAACTTCTCTAAGTGGGAAACACAAGAGAAGAAAAGGACCTACAAAAACAAATGCATAACAATTAAGAAAGTGGTACTAGGAACATACATATCGATAATTACCTTTATGTGAATGGATTAAATGCTCCAACCAAAAGACACAGGCTCGATGAATGGATACAAAAACAAGACCTATATTTATGCTGTCTACAAGAGACCCACTTCAGACCTAGGGACACATACAGACTGAAAGTGAGGGGATGGAAAAAGATATTCCATGCAAATGGAAATCAAAAGAAAGCTGGAGTAGCAATACTCAAGCAGGTAAAATAGACTTTAAAATAAAGAATGTTACAAGAGACAAGGAAGGACACTGCATAATGATCAAGGGATCAATCGAAGAAGAAGATATAACAATTATAAATATATATGCTCCCAGCATAGGAGCACCTCAATACATAAGGCAACTGCTAACAGCTATAAAAGAGGAAATCAACAGTAACAAAATAATAGTGGGGGCCTTTAACACCTCACTTACACCAATGGACAAATCATTCAAACAGAAAATTAATAAGGAAACACAAGCTTTAAATGACACAATACACCATATAGATTTAATTGATATTTATAGGACATTCCATCCAAAAACAGCAGATTACACTTTCTTCTCAAGTGCACACAGAACATTCACCAGGGTAGGTCACATCTTGGGTCACAAATGAAGCCTCAGTAAATTTAAGAAAATTGAAATCATATCAACCATCTTTTCTGACCACAACACTATGAGACTAGAAATCAATTACAGGGGAAAAAAACGTTAAAAACACAAACACATGGAGGTTAAACAATACGTTACTAAAGAACCAAAAGATCATGGAAGAAATCAAAGAGGAAGTCAAAAAATACCTAGAGACAAATGACAATGAAAACACAACGATCCAAAACCTATGGGATGCAGCAAAAGCAGTTCTAAGAGGGAAGTTTATAGCATTACAAGCCTACCTCAAGAAACAACAAACATCTCAAATAATCTAACTTTACACCTAAAGGAACTAGAGAAAGAACAAACAAAATCCAAAGTTAGTAGAAGGAAAGAAATCATAAAGATCAGAGCAGAAATAAATGAAATAGAAACAAAGAAAACAATTGCAAAGACCAATAAAACTAAAATCTGGTTCTTTGAGAAGATAAACAAAATTGATAAACCATTAGCCAGACTCATCAAGAAAAAGAGGGAGAGGACTCAAATCAATAAAATTAGAAATGAAAAAGGACAAGTTACAACAGACACCGCAGAAATACAAAGCATCCTAAGAGACTACTACAAGCAACTCTATGCCAATATAGTGGACACCCTGAAAGAAATGGACAAATTCTTAGCAAGGTATAGCCTTCGAAGACTGAACCAGGAAGAAATAGAAAATATGAACAGACCAATCACAAGTAAAATTGAAACTGTGATTAAAAATTTTCCAACAACCAAAAGTCCAGGACCAGAGGCTTCACAGGTGAATTCTGTCAAACATTTAGAGAAAAGCTAGCACCCATCCTCCTCAAACTCTTCCAAAAAATTG